CCTTTCCTTTTCCTTTCCTTTTCTTTTTAGCTTCCACGATGCTCTGATATTCATGTCTGGCGTTTAGACTGTATTCGCAGTTGACGAAATGGATGTTTCGGATACCTTTTTATTACACTTAACTTATTTTTTACTTTTTATTTATTCACCGTCGAAGGAATTAGTCTAATTGGAATAAACCCCTCTTGTATTTCAAAATAAGAATTTATCTGGCAGATGAACAATGCAAAAAAACAGCGCACCAGTCTATAAACTCCGAAATATCTATTCCGTATATACTATCACGTAGGCAACCTGTAATAGATCAAATCGCGGAACAAACTCAGTGTACAATGCAGCGTGTAAATAAATGGATATAGCTCGGAAAGGCTTTACGGGTTATATCAGAAGAGAATACCGGTTGTAGTAAATCAGAGGCTATCCTCGCCCTGTTGAGCTGCGAGGCGGTCGTGCTCTTCGATATCGACAGCCTCCCAAGGGTAGCAAAGCCAGACATCCTTGGTGGTTCTGGCAGCGAGGTACCTTGAGTTAACAATCTCTTCGGGGAGCGTTCCACGCTTTTCTTTGTCCTTGTTCTGGAATTACCGAACCTTATGTTAGAGGGTAACGATTATCAAAGACGGGGGATGTTCGGAGCACTCACATGGAGGACAAAGATACTAAAGTTAGTCTTTTCAGAACGACCTAGCTTTCGGCTTTGTTCTTGGACATCCTTCTCAAGCTCTTGGACAGCATACTGCAGAGTGGTTCTAGTGTCGTCGACCTCTATATTGAAACCGCTTTAGCATACTTCTTAGGTCCTTAAAAAAAGAAAGAAAGAAAGCAAAAAGAGGCGAAAATACCATCAACGATCAGTATGTTCTTGCCGATCAAGTGGTTGATAGCTTCAGAGCTAGGCATGAAATTTTGTGGTTAGCATCCGGGGTGTGGTTATGGGGAACGGCCTTGAGCGTGTATACCTGAACTAAATCCAAGCGGTTTGGGTTAGTTCGATCGTATTAAACTATAACATAGAGGAATCCTGGTGTCTGTGACTTACATCAAGCCATTGCAGTCGAACGACCTCGGTCCCTGGGGCCTCTTCAGGCTCCCCGGTTCCTAGGTTTTCGTATAGAGAGAGTCCTGAGAAAGGCGAATATATAAGAAGGAATGTTCACACAGAATTCCCTGACATCGACCAGATGAATTCGGAGGCAGCATACCGATAGCCTGGATGGAAATGTTCTTTCCGTTGGGCTGTTTCAGGAAAGATCTATTCCCAAAGAAAAGGAAAGGGGAAAAGCTGTCAGTTCTTTTGTTCGGGTGTTCTTGGGCTGAACGGGTTATGAGCAGCTAGAACATCGGGATTCGATAATTCTGTGGAACTCAGGATTCCGCCGGAACAAAGACTAACCTCAGAATTCTGGCTGGGATGTAACCACCACCACCGATTGCGATGATAAGCTCGGGTTTGAAGTCGTCCAAAATCCTTTGTGCGGACTCCTTGCAGAGTTTATGAACGTCATTGTACGTAACGTAAACCTTTTGGACCATTTTGACGGGGTTTATTGGGATCTCGGTAGTTCGTGGCTTAAGAAAACGTTGTCGCTCGGGTATGAGATGTTGTCGTCGATAGACCGCAGTAACGGCAATGCAAAGGAGATGGAGCCAAAAGTAATATTTCTGTTGAAGAGGCGGGAAAAAGAAAGCAACTTGCGAAAATTTTTTTGTCTTGACTTGAGGGTTTATTGCCTGGGTAGGAAGTTAGTCTGGTGGAGGTACAGATGCTTTGCCTGTGGTGCCGTAACTATACTTTAGAATCTTTTTGATGATTCCAAAAAAAAAAAAAAAAGATGACCAAAATCGGCAGGCGTCAGGAATCAGTTCCAAAAAGAGGGCAGGCGCGATGGCTTGCTCATCTGTTTGTAGGCGAGGCTCGGGTGGGGCCGGCGCACCCCCACCACGCGCCTTGCTTGTGCCCCGCACCGACTCGACAGGGTTTATGCAGAAACGGGGAAGGAAAAAAGACGGAGAAGGTGAAGTTTGAGGAAGAAGATGTCAGATGGGCCTTGAGACTTCACCACGACATAATAATAAAAAATAATAAAAAATTAAAATAAAAAATAAGAAAATTTTTTTAAAATAAAGCTAGATCTACTTTGGTTAAATTCGTTTCATCTCTACCCCGGAGAGCGTCGTCGTTTGTTGGGGACCGTGGCTGCGCTACCTGCTGTCTGGATTATGGGCGCCTGTTGGCCCAGCATTCTTTTTGCCAGCCATGTAGCCCCGTGTTCTTGATAGTCCGCCCTCGTTATTCGGTGCTGCTCTAATGCTGTCTTGTTGTTTCCAAGCGCCACCCCACCTTGCCACGCGAATTTAATAGGACTACAGCGCAATGTTAGAGGGGATGTCAAATGCAAAGCCTTTGTGCGATCAAGCAATAACCATGGGGTGGTTGAATGGATGGAGACATACTCCTCGGGAATACTAATCCGAACCATATGGTTCTCCGGAGCCATGGGGATCAACTCGGCTTCCCTATCCAGTTTGCCTAATTAGCCTCAGATCCACTCCACTCCTTCAACATCGAGAAGCCACGTACAAACGTTCCTTCAACCCTTTTAGCAGAGCATTGCCACCGATAAGTACAATGTTCGCTAGCAACAACGCCCTGTGTTCTTCCGGGACGCTCTCAATGGATTTCATGATGATCTCGGTGAGGCCAGCTTGCCGATATCCCACATCGCCAGGATGGAACAGCAGCTCTGGCGCCATAAACCTTTCATTTCCGACAAGTAGAGTCTGTTCCATATCTTTGCCTAAGTGGTATCTTTCCGGCACATCTCGTAGTATACCTTTGTGCAAATTTTTATAGTCCGGGAGAACATATTCTTTAACAATACCATTCCGTTTCTTCCGTTTGCAAATATCGAGGTCTCGTTTAGGGTCGCTGGAAACATAGCAACAGCTCTCTTTGATTTCATTGACAATGTATGTTTCATCCATCATGTTAAGCTGGCGAATAGAAAACATTTCCTTCAAGTAATTTGTAAGAACTTTCCCGCCAACATCGATACGTCGAATACCTGCTTGATAGGGCTTTCCATTGATAACGGGGATCACTTGAGTGAAGCTATAACCGCAGTCGACGGCCAGGACACATTCTGCGGCATTATGCTGGGTCTGTGTCCCCGGGTCGAAGAGTTGGCCGATGTCGTTCCAAGAAACCAACTGCCTATGTGTCGCTCGAATTAGCTAGGTCCTTTTGAAACCGGCCAATGCGTACTTCTCCCAAGGGGACGTACGATGCGGGGCATCTATAGTAAGCACCGAACTCGTATTCCTCGAAAATTATCTGGTCAACGTTGGTTTGAAGCGGAGTTGGCGCATTAGGCGCTTCGGTAAGAATTAGGGTGGTTGTTTTCGCATCACACTAATGGTTTTTTCCTGATGAGCGGAAACTGCTGGTTAACAACAGAAAGTGTATTTGGGAAGGGTACCTTCAAAGGCGATTCGTCGTCGAGAAGCAGCCTATCCCAGATCTCCTTTTGAGATTCCCAATTGACAATATATCCCTACAACTAGCAAAACCGCCGATGGTGTGGAAGCTGCGGTCAGTGAGCTGTTAATGGCCGGGGAATAAGCTAGGCAAATGTCCTGATGGTAGGGGTGCGCACCTTCTCCACAGGCTGCCGAAATACTATAGACCCGAAATCCTTGCAGTTCTCAAGTTGCTTTCCGATGTAGAGTCTCCGGTCCCGGGAGCGTGCGATACAATTGGGAACTACGGTGCAGTCTGAAAGGTCGGTGTTTCTAGCCGCAAATCCAGCCTTGATGGTGGATGCGCCATTGTCAAAGACGAGGACGTTGGAAAGCCGCGGCTGACTCGCCGAAGCCTTGACCATTGTGATTATCGGCTCATGTGAAGGATCGTATTTGAAGTATTTGAGAAAAATATAATGGTTGATGTTGGGTGGTCAATGCTTTTTGGAGATTGATGTTTCTTGAGGGTTTTGAGCTCAGTTCATGACCAAATAAATGCATGGCGCGCCAACAAGAGCGGGTGATGTGGTGAAGACCAAATCGCGCAGCCACTGTCTATTTCTTCAGGAGACACAGGCCCACCCGTATTTCCTCAACTCGTCTGGTGGAGTAAATTAAAACCACCAACCAAACTACCACCATCGGCATCGCCGTCAGTAAGCTATCGCCATACTATCATCACAGTTAATCATCATAACCCCTAGCAGTAACATATTCTACTCATCGACACCATAAATGTCTGACAGAGAGTTTGGCGGGTCTGGTAAGAGGTCCCCTCCCCCCCCGTGTCTAACTATGGCATTTCCGCTCGAAATCTAACGGTACTAGACGACCTTTCCCTGCCGAAAGCTACAGTACAAAAGATAATATCTGAAATACTGCCTTCTGATCTAGCTTTCGCAAAGGATGCCCGGGATCTGCTCATCGAATGTTGTGTCGAGTTCATCACTCTGATATCCTCCGAAGCAAACGAAATCGCCGAGAAAGAAGCAAAGAAGACCATTGCATCCGAGCATGTTGTAAGGGCTCTTAATGACCTTGGCTTTAATGAATATGTGGAAGATGTCCAGGAAACTGCTCTTGAGCATAAAGAGTCACAGAAAGTGGTATGTATTGGCTCTTACTATAAACCATATAACCGCACATATGGCGAAATCATACTTACGCACCTTCTCTAGACTCGTGAAAAGAAGCAAACCAAATTTGAGGCTTCTGGCCTTTCTGCTGAAGAGCTCCTTCGTCAGCAAGAAGAGCTTTTTGGTTCGGCTAGGGCGAAATTCGACCAATCTCACGCGGCGTCTGGACCAGCGTAGTCCGCTATTCTTCAAGCCGCGGGCCACCCCTCCCAAGCGCAGGAGCCACTGACGATAGAAACCCATCCTCGTTTGACAGAAGCCTCCGATAGCATAGTTCAGTTAGACCACCCTTAGCTGCTGCCGGCTGTCAACCATTGCATAGCATCAACGCGCCTATGGGTCGAATACTACTTGAGAGAAAAAATCTCCGTTAAATTCCGCTGAGCCGTCTAGGGGATTGCTCATGCGAATAAGGGAAGATTATTCAAAGGAATTTTGTTTAGCCCTAGGTAAACTTTACAAGTAGTCTGTGGGCGCGTACGCGCGAAAATTAAAAGAAAGGTAGAATTGCGTGTTCTATTTCGAGGATAACTATCCACCATCGAGTTGTGTTTCTGTCACTCTGTGGTGGATGGGAAGGGCTGGGATTTCAGGTATTTTGGTGTTATCTCAATCGGCTTGACCTTAGCCAAACTGCGAGACTGCAACTCATCTCGATTTGTTTCCCCAAATACGGGGGCAAGCATAATAATTAGCCTTCCAGTTTCCCCCTAGTCGACTTGATGACGGTTTGTGATAGAATGGAGGAACGAACACGGGGAATATAGAGGACAGAACAAAAGAATAACTCGGTCCAGAATAGACTACGAATGGATCAGATTAGTAGCCTAAATGTACATCGCTCACTTCTAATAACCTCGGGGTCCTCGCCCAGACAATATAGAAGATGATGATATCCAGTCTTGATTTCCTCCGAGTATAAAAGGTAGCTACTAACTCCGAAAGAAACAGGGAAACTTTTTGATCACGGCTTTAGATAGCTGTCTTGTTTATATTCTCCATAGCGGCCTGATTAGCATCTGCTTGTTTTACTACACCCTGTAGTACATTTTTCTCCTCATCCGAAAGTGAGCCTATTAAGTTATCGTACATCTGTGGTTGAGTATTTTTGAGATCTGGAGGGAATTAGTGAAAGCTTTCATCAAACTCCTAGACGCTTGAAAACTTACTAATGAATGAATCTCTAAAAAGTTGGTACGGTTCAACATTATCTAGAGGAGTCTCGAGTAACGATTCTTCTTCTAAGTCGCCCTCGTCATCTTCTGCAGTGTATGATTGGGGGTTGAACCTCTGGGCCTACAAGTGCATAATTAGCTTTATACAAAAAAAAGAGGATGAAAAAGATGAAAAATGAAAAATGGGGCTGTGCGGGCCAGGTGCTAACCTCTTGATTTAAGAATTCTATATATGCTTGTGCTTCTTCGTCGGCAACATCTTTGTCGTCATTTTCGTTTTCTTCCCAACCTTCATTTCCCTCTCCCTCCCATTCATTGTCACTATCAGATGGATACCCTTCATCATAGAGATCCTCCTTTTGCGCATCTTCGCGGGCTGATCAGAACGAGCTTTATGTTAGCAGTAACCCATAGCTAGATGCTAAACTCCTAAAGAAACACACACCTTGCATTGCAACAGGTAACGTATGAAAGAGTTTTACCAAGCCCTGGAGCAGCCTATTCCAGTACGGCTGAATGCTCGCAGGTATCTGCTCAGGCCTCAGGTCTAGCAAAGATACTATTGCGACTATCGACAGCTTCTTGTCGTGTACCCGATTGAAGTTATCGATGTTCGAAAACCACATTGTGAAAAATTTCGCTGTCCATCCATGTTGTTCAAGGAACTGAAGTGTTTGGCTGGGGTTGTAGTAGATACAGTTGATGACCATCTCCATGAGATGGACTCGGTAGGCTTTAACTTTTGCATGGTTTTCTGCTGTTAGGCAGAGCATCGGTAGTTCGATTAGCCGGCTAAGATAGACATCAGCATGGCCTCGCAGATTCAGCAAAACGGCCTCCGCAAGTTTGCAGCCGCAAATTCTATCCATGGCCCCCAACTTGTCATGAACAAAGATAGTCTGAATTATATCGTATATAGCTTCGAGATATGCAGGGTTTTGTTTCATGACATCAGCACCGTAGGTAACGTAGTTGTCAAGGGCTGGGAGCATCTCTTCTACATAGAATTCCGCTTTGTCTTTGAAAGTAGAATGGATGAGTCCGAAGATCATCCACATTGTGGGTGATATCGCCTTCGCAGAAAACGTGCAGCTATCAATTATCTCAAAGACCTCGTTATAGAGATCTAACGGGTAACAGGTCAGTGTTTTTTGCCCACTTGAGAGTATCAAGCCCGGGAGCACATACCGTAAAGCTTGTTCTCGAGTGTAATTTTGATGACCGGCTCCAAAATTGTCTCTAAGAGCAGAAGGATGTCCGGGGATGTTTCCAAGGTCAATATCAAGGTTCCGATTGTTTGAAGAATCCCAAGCGCTGTGATACTCTTATCGTCAATAAGTTCATTAAACTCATCCTCGGCGGTCTTGTCAAGCACTTCTGAGACAATTCGAATGTATGTGTCTCGAAGGGACTTCGTCAAGTCGACTGCGAATGGTGTCAACTGTGTTGCAAAACTTTCGACGAGCTCTTCCATAACATTTGCAAGCGAATCGAGGTCAACTTCGTTTGTAAGCTTCAATAGCTGTTGCATGATCTGCACAATCGTGCCCTGCATCTGAGTTTTGATGTACTCATGCCTGATGAGGGGCGAAAGAGCCAACGCTGCTTCCACGCGCACAGGAAGTCTTTCGTCGTTGAGGCATGTGATAATGCTTTCATAAATCAGGACGATATTCTAATACAAGGTTAGCCGATTGAATTATTAAGTGTCACAAGTGTCTTACGTTTTGGTCTTGGAAATCAAGATCGCTAAATTTGTCGACAACATCACATGCTCGAGCTCTCAAAAAGGGGAATCTGCTTTGAAATTCTGGGAAAACGTGCCGGACGAAGAAGTATTCGATTTTATCCGCAATAGGACTCTTTTTCCCAAGAAGAATAGATGACAGCGACCCAATCATTCGAAGCGCTCCTTCTTTTTCTAGCGGATTCTTTTCGGCTTCCGGGCATTGCTCGTATCTAGAATGAATCGTCAGCCTGAAAATGTTGGTACTGCCCGGCAGACTGATACCCACCTGTTGACAATTTGATTAATATAGTTGAGAACATTGAATACTGTAGTTTTCCTGCTCTTGGTGAGAGTTACTAGGAAATTGGTAGCTGCAACATCCGGGGCGGATATATCTTCGTAAAAGTCTAGATAGAAGCCGACGTTTATTAGAAAAATAGGAAGTCGACTTCCGCCTATTATGCTAAAAATAACTTACTCAATTTCCTGTGGATGTATTCAACAGGTTCGGATTCAAACATTTCCAGATCGTCCGAGCTTTGACAGAGAAGGGGAAACAATACATGCGAGACGAGAATGTCAACATGCGGTTTGAGCAACTGCCATGTGTTCTTTGGCTTGATACTGGGGGTTTCGTCAGCCAAATATAATATGCATACCCCTAGTCAAAGATGAAATTACCATTCTTCAAGAAAGCTCAAAGTAAATGAAAGACAGTTTCGGCTGAGCCATGTTTGTTTCTGGGCCCAAAGGTCGATTTGGCCAAGGTATGCCTTGACGATTTCTGGCACAAAGTTTTCAATGAAATTGTGAGCAAACTGTTCGTACTCGGCCGTTGTGGACTTCGACAGGCTTTGTGGGTTCCCGTATCTAGCTTTTTTTCAGCATTACATTCCTCAAAATGCGAGCCGCAACCGTTAATATACCGAACAAACAGCCTATTCAGATTAGAATAAGCCCACTTCTTAGCCTTCCACCAAGAATGCATTTCTCGCTCGTCGATATCCTCAGGTAGAGATTCAGGAGGAGGGACCTTGTTGACAATATTGATGAATAGAGTAGCCCAGCGGACGATTGATCCATGTTCTCGCAACGTTGCGAGGAGCTCGTACTATTACATTGGCAGAATTAGCAAAAAAAATTGGGTAAAATACTGATTGAAGCTTACATAAATAGCATGCTTGTAGCTTTTGAATATGAGCCTTAGCATTTCACCCGAATCCGCATCGTTTTGATTTGCCAGTTTGCTGCCGATATCAAGAATCAAAGGGAAAGTGGCTTTGATAACGCCTTCGAGTTCCTCCCGCTTTTCCGTGGCACTCTTCAGCCTGTAGACCCTGCAGATAGCCAAAAGGCACTGTAGTCCCGAAAACACGGATGAGGCATCGTTTGCTTGTAGTAGGGATATCGTACTGTGCATATATGAGGGCCATCGTTCTGGGAAATCATAATGCAGAATTTTACCCATCAAAGGTAGCATTTGATGTCGAATTTTAGGGTTGGATCGAGTTAGAGTCGGAATTAATCGCTCTCTGAATGCAGGTTTCTCGTCTTCTGGGATCGGCGAGGGTTTTACGTCTGCCGCCGAAGGCTCCCAAGATCGTAGAACCTTGTTTTTGAGGTACAGGACGGCTGGAGAAAGCGAGTCGAAGCGTTAGATAGATGGGATTATCAGTTCCTTACAAACTCCCGGTTTTGGGGCTGCCCCCTGAATTGTAGATGCTTACCGGATAGACGAATGTTCTCATCGTGGTCGGTATCGACAATGTGTAATAAGGCTCCAATGAAGCCGGGAGCTTGCTCCGCCTAATATACACACAAAAAAAAAAAAAAAAAAAAGAGGTAAGTTAGAGATCTAAGACACACAGATTTGCTGTAGCAAAAGAGAATACTCCCGCGAACTCACTTGCTTGAGCTGTCTTTCAGCATTCCGGCGAATCTCTAGGGTATGGTCGAAGGTCTCGACGATAGATTGCCTCAGCAATGGATTTATTTGATCCATCTTTGGCGGGTATTATGTCATCCAACCTTGTCAGGGGTCAAGGTAACCTCGAGAGAATAATAAGGCGTGCAAATCGAGGATGGTCGTACGTAGGCACAGTTGTTTAGACCTGGTGCGATTAGCTACTGTGGTGTGCTGAAGTACTGATTCTGCTTGCTCGCTTCAGTCGGGGTTGTGGTTGTGGAGTGTTTTTGTTCTGGTGGTTCTGGTGGGGGCGCAGATTGGGTTTTCTGCCTCTCTCGCTCTCTTCTTCTTCTTCTTCTTTTTTTTTTTTTTTTGAACCCTCTTTTCCTGTCTCCCCCTCCCCCCCCCTCCCTGCTTTCCTTCTCAGCAGGCCCTCCTCTACATAAATCCACCAAGTCCTTTCTAGCCGAGTGTCTTCCTATTTATTCATTACCTGAGCACCTAATCCTAATTGAGTCGTTACTTTGTACTCACTTAAGCACGATACTCAAATACTTACCTCTGGCTACGTGGGGATATACTTCGTAGTTTGGATTCCAGCCTTCCACTCCCAGCTCTCCTTCCCTCTCTCGCCGGGTATATAAGTAAGTACTTTACTCAGTACCTACCTAGGTACCTACATGGGTACTTAAGTACTTAGGTAAATACATATGAATTAAGCACTTCTTTATATACTCATATACGTATTTCCTTAGCAGGCGTACGCGTTGATCTAGGCCTCCGCAATAAATATATGAAACCAATGGGTAAGACTAGTAAAAGTACAAAGATCTTAAGACATAATTCTTTTCGAACCTTTCTGGGATGTGGACTCTATGGGTTCTTTGATATCAAACATTATCGGAGGCAAAAAAAAAAAAAAAAGTCTATTTGAATCACTGTACGACCTCTGGAGCTCGGATATCCTGTTTATACCTTACTGATTATAATATTACTTTGGATTCCCTTGGCTCGTGCTAGCTTTAAATACACGTTACATACATGGAACTAAGCTAAGGACTAGAAGTAGAGAGAGCCGCATGATATAATGTCCCTCCGAATAATCTCCTGGCACTTCTCCGCTTTTTGATACAGCGCCGGGTCCCCAATGATTCTGGCTGCATTTCGGACCTCTCTGCATGTTTCGTCCAATCGTGTAATCACCCGAACAATGGTGCCCTCCAGAACGTCTGTCAGATCTGTAATCCGCTCGAAACTCATCCCCTTTGCCCATTCGTAGACCACTTCCATGAGACCGAATCGTGGACGCCCTTCGAAATCGTCCGTCTCGGCGTTGATTAGAACCTGGTGCTCGGACTGTATCTCATTGACTCGTTTGGCAATCTCCAATATTTTCTCTTTCCCTCGCTCAAGCTTCGGTGGTACTACCGGGACTGTGTCTGTTTTCTCCTGGAAAACAAAAGCAGACAACAGCGCTACCATTTCCTCCGGTTCAAAGTCAGCAAGTGTATTCTCGAGGATGAGTTCTGTTAGTACTAATTCATTCGCAGAGTTTATCTCGCATGCAACTCTCCCTTTCAGCTGGACCCGTGAACTTTCATCAATGAAGTCCAGTTGTTTTAATACTCTGACTCGTTGCTCGTAGTCCGGCAACAGTTGGAGATTTTGATCGGAAATGAGTTGTTTGAGGTTTTTTATTTTCTCCTGGAGTTTGTATTCTTCATTCCTAGCCCGGAAATGTTTTGCGAATTTTGGGCAGCTTAAGCTCTTGCATTTTTTAATCTTTTGCAATTCGGCTTTTCGCCCTTTCATCACTTCCTGGAACCGCATGTCTCTGATTTTTGTCCAATCATTTTCTGTCCATGCAGAGTCGTCGAGGCCCTGACCCAGTTCTTTCAGTTCTTGTAGCAATTGTTTTACGACGGCCGCCTTCCCTGTTCGGGCCTCTGTAATGCGCGCATCGACAACAGTTTTCGATATATATTCTATTTGTGAGAGTGGCACCGCTGTCTCCTTGATTTTAACCTTATCACCTGCCACCTGTCGAATTACAGGGGCGAAAAGGGGGTTGAAGGGGACAGCATCGCCTGGTATCTTTTGATCATTGCCCCCGGTGAGCTTCAGAATCTGGATAACGGGATCCGCACCCGTAGTTTGCGAGGGCCGTATCAAGACGCCGATAGTTCTGGTACTATCTTTATCTTGAAGTATAATAACTCTTCCAGAACAGTACATCCGTTTCCCTTGGGGGTTCTTGAGAGCTAGCGTATGTAATTCCTGTGTCAGCTTCTTGTATGTTATCCCTGCCTCGTGAAGTGTATCCAGGTCTTCGTTGCAGTAGATACAATCCTCTCTTATAAGTTTCTTGAGACCTTCCTCGTTCGCTGTAACCATTTTCTGGTGCTCGGGAAGTAGTGTTTGTGTAGCGTTTTCACTGAAACTTCTCTTGATCATCTCTTCAATCTTGAGGGCCTCCACACGCAGTAAATTTAATATCATGTTATAAGTGAGGCGAAATTGGCTCTGTAACTTTGTCGGCTGTCCGAGGATCATAGTCTTAAGGGTGCCTGCCGGCGGGGCTTCATCTCCGTTGCCAACTATGATTACTGTCCCGGAACTATCCAAACCCCTTCGGCCGGCTCGGCCCGCCATTTGAATGTATTCTCCGGAAAGAAGGTCCCTAAACGATCTTCCATCGTGTTTTCTGATTCCCGAGAATACCACCGTACGTGTAGGAAGGTTTAATCCCTAAAACGAGTAAGAAATCGTTCTTCGAGAATATATGAGAGACTTACCATGGCAAAAGTTTCCGTGGCAAATAGAACCTTTACTAATGATTTCGCGAAGAGGATTTCGACCATTTCTTTGACAATTGGTAGCAAGCCTCCATGGTGGACCGCGATTCCCCTAGAGAGGAGATCTCTCAAGCGGCGGATTTGAGGCAGTTGCCTGTCTTCGATTCGTAACCTAGCTATCGACTTTTCCACAATCATATGAATGGCGCTTTTTTCATTGGCTGTGCAATAGTCTAGGTTTGAGAGAGCGTCGGCGTTTTCTTCGCATCTTTTCTTGGAGAAAACGAATATGCAGCCTGGAAGAAGATCCTCTTTTTTTAAATGTTGGACTAAATGGACCCAGAGATTCTTGTCTTGGTTCGCCGTAGTTCTACCCCCCCTACCCCCACGGTTGAAAGACGCCGCTCCGCTAGCCCCGCGCATAACATTCCCACCCCTTCCTCCACGGGCGGATTGGCTTCCACGGTGATTTGGACCGCCCCTCTGACCACCTCTCTGGGAAATGTTTCCGCGAGTAGGCACCGATTGGTTCGGTCTCTCGTCTTTCTTCCCAGACATTGCCTCGTTGGCGTCTCTAAGTCCGGTCTCCAAAAACTTCTTGTTCTGGTCGACAATCTTATGCATCTTCTTTCCAGCCCACAGATAATGCTCCAAAGGTACTGGGCGCTTCGGGGTAGATATGACATATATGTCCTTCTTTTTTGTCCGTCCAACCCAGCTTGCAAATTCCTGTGTGTTCGGAACAGTCGCGGATAGCAAAATAAGATTCACGTGATCTGGGAGCATGATAATGACTTCTTCCCAAACCACACCCCTTTCTTGATCATTAACATAGTGAACCTCATCAAAAATAACAAATTCAACGTCTCGGATGAGGTCAGCTCCACGGTAGAGCATGCTGCGTAGAATTTCCGTTGTCATTATTAGACAACTAGCCTCTGGGTTGATTTGCACATCACCGGTCAAAATCCCAACGTCATCGAATATATTCCTGAAGTCTCGGAACTTTTGGTTGCTCAGTGCCTTGATAGGTGAGGTGTATATTGCCTTTGTCATATGCTTGGCGGCTAGTGCAATAGCATACTCAGCGACGACGGTTTTTCCAGCCGAGGTATGTGCCGCAACGAAGACTGAATCTCCGTTTTCAAGATGGTAAACCGCTTCTTTCTGAAAGTTGTCAAGCTCAAAAGTCCATTCCCGAGCCATGTTGGGCACAAGTTCTTTAAAGTTGGTCAAATCTTGGTTGATGTCAACCATATGAGCCCACTCTTTGCCACGTGATACGGCGGATGAGGGAGCAAGTTGGCCTCGCGGGGCAAGAAGTGGGAATTCGACTGGCAGTAGGTCGTCGATACCTTCTAGTTCAGATATAGCGACTGTAGATTGCACTCGTCGCTCATTCGATCCGAGTACGTCTTTCAGTTGCCGGATTGGCTTAACATCTCCAAATTGGAATCCATCATCGTCTTCATCCTCGTCTGGCTCACCGTCGCCTTCTACGCCCAACCCTCGTAACAACCCAGGGGCGATTTGCAGCATGCCATCTCTCCCGTAGAGCGAATCTTGGGCAAACTCAACAGCAGCGAGATCTTCTGATACTTCATTCGACGATCCAACTTCTAGACCTCCCGGCGCGAAAGGAAAGAAACCAGCTTTTCCACGAACAAAATCGGCCCTAGTTCCTGGTTTCCGTAACAAGGACGTAGAGTTCTTAGCGTTGATAGACTGGGCTGGGACGGATACCTCCTTGTACCCAGTGACACGGCCTTCTAGGCCTTCGCGTGTAAATCGAATAACAGTCCTTGTCATGGTAGAAGACAGTGCAAAGAGGGAATAGTAATCCGGAGGGTCCTCCCATCGCCTAATGGTGGAAGAGGGTGATGTCAGGATCGTGGAAACAATGGAAACAAGAATCAACTGGGTCTTTGGATGCCACACTCTTGTAGATTATTTAACCATTCTACTGGAAACTGGTCGAGAGGAGTGAGGAAGTTATGTTCAAGGTCATCTAGACGCTCTTCCCGCCGTCTCTTAATAGGCGGTCGAGGCTTCGGTGATCCAAGTGGTGCATCGATGTTGATTTCGCCTGCCCTTTCGATATCGAAGTTGTAGATAGTTGCCATTTCTGATGATATATTGGATTCCCATCTCAATATGGCTAGTCGTGGTCGTGGTCGTGGTCGTGGTTGTTGACTGTGGTTGGCGGTATAACTACCTGTGGCAGTAAAGTGTGGAGGCTCTGGTCTGTTTGTGTGCTAAGGAATGGCACCAAGGCAATTCGGAGGTTCCGTTCGACCTTCACGAATTTTAAATTCAAGATTCTACTAGTATCCCCTCCATCCACTCAGAACCGAACCGGACTCGAAACCGTCCTTCCCAGTAGCTCCGATAAACTACAATTGGTTACCCAATATTGCATCTTGATAGTTCCAGAGATCCATAGACAAGATGGCTGTCCCTCCAAAGAAAATCGACCATCCGTACCCTGTCAGTATCCTTCCGTCGCGACTGGCGCAAGTGATATGATACTAACATCAAGGAATAACTAGCTTATAGACAATGATCCGTACGGCCCTCCCTTTCCTGCTTGAATTCTACCGGAACCCTAACAGCTAGCACTAGGTATGTCACCCGTGTTGTACGATACTTTCGACCGTCCGACTATGCGACAATTGCTCTTTCAACGGCGGCAGCTCCGGGTCTCTACATGTTGATGGAGGTGTGCGCACCACAATACATGGGAAGGACGGCAGTCATGTCTGGAATGCGAACGAGCGGACTCATTGGCTTGACAGGCGGATTCCTCATCGCATACCAACAGAGTTCTCGTATAGTTGCCCCACTATCCTCCCTCGAAACCAATAGCTGATTCCGGAATCTCCTTCAATAGTCAGGTTCTGGGGGTGGAGAGAAAACGAACGAGAGGTCAAGATGGATATGAGAGAAATGATCAACAAAGTCAAAAAGAAGGAATCTCTGTACGGCGAGAGCAATTTGACACCCTATATGCAAGGTGTCGCTGCTAGGAATAGCCGGTACTCACAATTAATGCTATACGTTTTCCCATGGTTCAATCTCGCAAATCATGACCAGGTAGGGACACCAATCTTACTGTTGTACCCGTTCATTAAATAGACCTCCTAACTGACCGTTTGTGGTTGTGGTACAAAGCACGGCGTTGATACCGCAAAATACTATCGGGCCGCAGAAGAAGAAATGGAGCAGGAGAGGCTAGCTAAGGAAAAATCGAGCTGAGATCTAGGTTTGGGAAGAAACGATAAAAAGGCTAGCTCCATATCCCGTCCACGGCAGACGTTTTTTTCCTCTTTTCTTTGCTTTCTGTGGGTTCTAAGGTTTGCTAAATTCTAGCAGCTCTTTGTACATAATGCTTTGTATGCTTTTGAAAATATAAAATTTTCCGCCTTTCTTCCCGATCGAGTCAAGAAAGAATCTTCTACTTAGTTAAATTGACCTTATAAGAGCCTCTAGGGACGGTGATCCTTCCCCACCAGTCCACCTATGATTCTCGTCTTCCCCCCCTCCGACTGTCCAGCGGACTGCAAGATGTTCGTTTTCGACTTCTACCCTTAGGCGTTTGTATTGGGCTTGTTCTCCAGCCTTCGTCATCTCGTTACTCATCGCAATCTGCTCCCATTCAATTATCCTACCGGTTATATAATTTATGACACTTCGCTCCAAACACCACTGTAAGTATCTTTGAACTTCTGCTTGAGAACTAAATGAGTTAGTGCCCATCAACGTGGCACAGCTACCATCGTGTGCGGTATGCACGGCGAACCTTGTCCCGAATATAGATGGGCCAAGAAGCGTCTGGGTCAAAACGACAAGTTTCCAGCTTCCTGGGAGGTAAATTGTTGCTTTTGACTCTAGGAGCCCGATCAACGAATCAACAGCGTCTTCAGCGTCTTCTATATCCTTCGACAAACAGTTGTGGCATTTCTCAAGTGTGAGGCGCGCGCTCAGGCCAGCCGATTTCGCATAGCTAATGAGTCTAGATGCAGAAGCTTCGAATTCATCCGTGTTGCTCCGGTGCCGAAGATGCGATACTATCGGCCGGAGTAAGTTGAGAGGCGGATTTGGCGTCGGACGTTGTGTTAGTAACGAAGGTGGAAGCCGCCTTTTCATAAGGCTCTGTCGATGAGCGTGAGATAGGAGGAGATGGAGAGCTGTCGAGAGGCCCTGCGCCAGTTCGTTGTCGTTATCAGAAGTTGTTTCCAGAACCGATATATCTGCATTGCTCGTCTGGTTTCTCCTGTTAATATACCCCTTTGTGTCCTGGATGAATATGTGGAAAGCTCACCATATCAATGATAATAGTACTATCCGTCGCAAGCTCGAATGTGACCGCCTCGTCGACATTTCGAAACCCAAGATTTGCTAGTGTCCTTGCCTCTCGAGCAATTTCGAGGAATAACTCATGTTCGTAAGCATAGTTTCTAGAATTTTGGATCATTCCGGTGATTCCCGATGTCTGTGTGTCATCTTCAAATGGTTTTGATGTCCCTGTAACCCGTCCACCGCGTGAAACTCGCACTCGGACTGAGCCTCTGTTCAGGGTTCCATGGCTAAGAAGATCTTGCATTGTTATCGCTCCATCCGTTCCTTTACGGAGCACGCCTAGTCCACGATACTTCTCATCCGCACCGGCTGTGAGCAGTTAGCGTGGTTCCAGTAACAATTATAGTGCCGAACTGAACAGCGAAAGGTGCAATACCTTCTGAGAAGCCAAATCTGACCCCTAGGCTTTGTGGCTCCCTAGGGACCCGGCAAATAGCCCACCCTTCTCTTTTCACATCAAGGACATCCTCCCAGTACATCTGTTCTCGTTCGGATTCCTGGGCCAGGCGTGAGGCGGCGTTAAGGAGCGAGCTAGCTGACTGCACCAGGGACTCGGATCTCCAACCCTTTGAGATTGTTTCACTGTCCGTCTTTTCAGCCTGTGTAGAATCTTTCTTTCGTACTGAGTCGGATCCGAGCGTCCCACTTGATATGGTATCTTTTAAGTGTCGAGACATCGAAGCTTCGGCGTGTGTCGGACGAACGTTGGATAAGAGCAAAGAAACAAAATCTAGAGCAGACATAGCATCGAACTGCGCATGCCTATAATGTGAACATGGCCTCGTTAGCCCATTGAATTTCCGCGTTTGCTCTATAAAGCCTTCATGAGAGAAGACTGACGGAATTGAGCCTAGAGGAAAATGCTCACTCGATCAATTTGATGAGTTCTTGTTTTTTAAGGGCAAGAGTCTCCCGTGGATTGGGCTGGTCATCGGCAGTGATCGGCAAAGGGGTTGGGTCGTCATCGCGTATCGCGTCCTCGTCGGATAGTTTCTCTGCAGCTACTATCTCCTCGTTGAGACTGTCTTCGGTGACGTTTTTGAAAGGACCGCGTTCGGATTGGATACGAGGAATGAGAGACGATAAAGATATTGTCTGTGGGTCTGGGTCCGGCCAGGAGGTTAGGGAGAGGAGAAGGTGGTCGTCCATGTCTGAGTAGGTTGATGGATGATGGATGATGATGGTGTGAATGGTGTGAATGGCGATACCAAGAGCGGTGGTGGTGGTGGTGGTGGTGGTGCTGAGAGTACTTGGCGGCGAACCAAAGGTAGGTACTTTTAAGCAGAAACAGGAACGGGGAATTAAACTAAGAAGAGATAACAGCAAGATAAAAGCAGATAAACCTAAAAACGAAGAAAATATTCTCCAGCTGAGCGAGCACTGGGATGCTTTATTTAGGAGCGACTTTATTGACCCCTTGTGAAGGCAAGGGTAAGTAGGTAGATTGGGAGGAGCCGAACGAGGAGTGTTAGGTTGGTGCGAATTATTTCTCGCTGTCCTCAAAGACCTTGGTAGCTCCCATGAACAGCCCGGCTTGCAACCCCCCTAGTGTCCTGATCTTTTCTGCTTGGTTTGAGGTCATTCGGAGTAGTTCTTCCATATCAGACAGATTGGCTTGAAGTTGTGCCAATTGACCTTGAAGATGCGTATATTGTCGTGTTTTGTATGATGATGAACCCGAGCCTCCTGTGGTCAGTCCTGCCGTTGAATTTGAAGACATGGATATTGCTGCCCTTTTCCGAAGAGTATCTTTGGTATTCCTGGTGATAGATGGCCGGGTTTGTGAACGCTATTGATATCGATGGAGTCGCGGATGCGGATGCGGATACAGATACACTTGGTCGTTTTTGCGTGTGGGTGGTTGTGGATGGTTGTGTTTATGGTGGTTGATGCTAGTGTTTGCTAGGATAACGAGGGCCACTAGAATGTGGGTTGGAGTCCCGGGTCAATCGAGGCTCCCAGCCATCACCGTCACCACGCTGTAGCGAAGAGTAACCATCACCATCACAACCTCTTCCACCACCCGCTCCAACCTCCGTCTCAAGCGGGATCCCACCTCCTGCCAGCATTCTACTCCAGCCTCAAAGCTCACGCGCCTCTGGTACCTGCCCCCATATCGTATATTTCATCGATCCTTCTTCCCTCGGTCTCACCAAGTCATCGAATACCGGTTTCGTTTCTCCCATAACGCGCCATGGCGTCACCGACGCCCCAAACTGCTTCTAAGACGACACCAGGGCCGAATGGCCCTCACCCGCATCGAAAGATCCGCCGCGCCACTGGTGACCCGCTGGTTAGGCCAAAGCCCAAGAAGCCACCTCCAAAAAAACCTCTCGGGCCCGCCCCCAAAGGTTTGAAGCCTGCTATCAACGAGGATCCCGAACCCGACGAGGATCCATCAACCTATACCCAGTACAAACTCGTCACAACTAAGAAAGCTTTGCTCCGTAACATGCGCTTCCACTGCATGAGACTCTACTCGAAAAATGATGTCAACATTATGGACCCGGAGGAGTTTATCCGACCCATTAAACTACATAGAAGAGATCCTCGCGGTCCACTGCAAGGTGCAAAGGTTGACCCTGGAAGTAACGGCGCACCATTAGATCCCGATGAGAAGGACATTGACCCGGAAGAAAAGGCGAAAAGGGAGGCCGAGAAAGCCGAGAAAGAGAGACAGCATGCCGAAAACCTGGCAAGGATCGCGCCTCATGGAGGAGCAGTTAAGCAGAAGAAAAACATGTTCAAGAAAAAAACACAGCAGGTTTTCCAGCGCGACGAAGAAGAGCGTCGGCTCAAATACGAAGAATACTTTCCTTGGTTTATTGAGGACTATGAAAATAAGAATACTTGGATTGGTAATCTCGAGGGCGGTCTCAGTGGTACTTCTGTCATGCTCGTTATGGATGACGGCATGTTTAAGATGATACCTGTTGAAAAGTTCTATCGATTTCAGCAACGAAACACTTTCAAGACTTTATCTGCTGACCAGGCAGAAGCTGCCATGAAACAGAAGGAGAAACTAAACAGATGGTTCATGGATGTAACTAAAGCCGATGAAAAGGAAGCCAAGCTCAAAGAAGAACAGGAAAATTTACGTGCTACAAAAAGGCTCTACACTGTCAAAGGGGATCGGTTGGAGGGCCGTGAGGCAAAGCCTGGCTTTACAGATGCCGACGAACTCGATTTCGAGGAAGACTTTGCGGATGACGAAGCCCCTCCGATTATAGAAGGCGATGAAGAAGAACTTAAGGCAGCGACAGTACGCATAATAATCCTTCAATAATAGCATAAAGAAAATCGGTTTGCTTACTCTATTCACAGAAAAAAATGCAAAGAGAACAACTTTCTGCCAACATCTTCGACATTCGCGACGAGAAGGACTACGAAAGGGAGGAACAGGAAAAACGAGCGTTAGAGAAATCTAGAAAGGCTCACGGGCGTAAAGTTAAAAAATATCTGAAACAACGCGAGAAGAATGCTATATACGAATCCGATTCGGATGAAAACCCATATGCTTCATCGGTAGGTTATTTTTAGACATCTACCCACCATTAGATATGGGTCTTAAGTTATCAATGCAACTAACATACCTCCCAGCAAGAGTCTGTGGACAGCGACGAGGAGGCGGCTAAGAAGGAAGAGGAAGAAAAGAAGAAAGCTGCAGAAAAGGCAGCTAAGGAAAAGGAAGAGGAGGATAAGAAGAGAGAAAGGCAGGAGCAAAAGGAAGCCGAAGAAGTCGTCAAGTCATTGAAAGCCGCAGCTGCAGGTAAAGCGGCATCTCAGCCAGGCACGTCTCCTCCTACAGCTACCACGGCCCCAACTAAACCTTCAGCCGCCCAAACGGCTAAATCTTTAAAACGATCCGGATCTCCAGGTATACAGGATGCAGGTCCCGAATCCAATGCGCAAAACAAACGAGCTAAGAAGGACGACCAATCCTCGAGCGCCAAATCGCTCGTGGCAACCAACGGTCAGGCACCACCTCAAAGCCGCCTAATTGCTATCAAGCGAGAGTCAGACACTGGAGTTCTGATCCCGAATAGTCCTGGTGATACCCCCAAGAACAAGAACATCAAGAAAAGAAGGAAACCAACCGGGGCAGGTAGTGGTAGTGAGTATGAAACTGGTGGCGAGATGTCAGACGGGGCCACAAGTGAAGGAGGGAAAGCACCGAAGAAGATTAAGATCAGAGTGGGTGGAGATGGTTCTGCTAGTGTTCCAGCTCGATCTGGCAGTCCCCCCATTGCAAAAACGGCAGTGGGGAAGAAATCCCGATCCGGTTCCCCAAGTGCTGGAGTAAGCAGGGACGGCAGTCCAAGCGCCGCCGCAGGTACGTACTCGCCCCACTGCAAAAGCTCGCCCTTCAGCCCACTAATAGCTATTTAGACAAATCGAAAGCACCGATTACGGAGGATGAGATCAAGGCGGTTCTCACCCCAGAAGGTATTGACTTCGCGACTATTAGTAAGAAGTTCCACGGTCGTGTGAATCCGAGCAATAAAGCCGAGTTCTTCAAGAAGCTCAAGGGTCTCAGCCGGCTCGTGGATGATAAGGAACGTGGGAAGGTGTTCTACCCTCGGGAGGAGACGTCATAATGAAAATTGTTGTCGCTACATTTTATATTTGATATTCTTCCAGAAAAAATCTTGATGTTTGCATCAAGACCCGCTGAACAATGCTGTTTGCCACCCCTACCCCACCATCTATGCAAGCGTGCTGCTTGCCGCAATTCGGTCGAAATACGATGGTGTAATTTTTCAAACCCGGATGATACATGGAGCTACTAACAGAAAACTCGGCGAATCCCCGGCGAATCAAATCCCAGGCTTTACCAAGTCGAGGCTAAGCGCGGGTTTACATCCGAGCGATTTCCCTCAATTTCGCCGCCTAGAACCTCGCCTCGAAGCGGTCGTGCACTGTCGCACAGTTCAATCCATGTATTTTATCTTTATCAATTACTTAAATCAACCGGCCGTATGGCATGACACTGTGCTTACACTCGCGCTTCTTTAAGAACGCATCCCATCGCCTCCACCCTCCCTAGCCCAGCCAGAGTTTGTAGTGATATAAAAGTATCGTGCAGTGTCCTTACCCTGTAATTCATCCTCCACATCTCCCCCATCAACAGTACTTCGGCCACCTACAGCTATATCCACGCGAGTCAAATCATGGTAAACGCGCCCTTAACCAGTACCGAGATCGCAAAACACAATTCGGCAGAATCTTGCTGGGTCATTATACACGGGAAAGCATACGATGTAACCGATTTCTTACCCGGTAAGTCAAAGCTTGGAAATGATCACTACTGAATAAACTACTGTACTGCATACAACTTCACAGCAAGCATTTACTGACGGAATGCATGACGGCGCCTGCCTCCAATAGAACACCCTGGGGGTTCCAAGGTAAAACAGACGGGAACATCAACTTAGACATGTGTTCATCACCACCTCTAATTAATATTCTGTAGATAATTCTAAAATACGCTGGCAAAGATGCTACTGAGGTAGGCATGAAAAAGTGAAATATCAATTACAAGCCAATACGCAAAGTACCCTAACAATACACGGTTTAATAGGAATTCGACCCGATCCATCCGCCAGATACGCTCGAGAAATATCTTGACCCTTCAAAGCACATGGGCGAAGTCGATATGTCCACTGTAGTCGCCGAAGTGAAAGCAGTAGACCCCTACGAAGCCGAAAGACAGTCATATGTCGAAAACAAGCCAGCACTCGACCAGTGCTATAATCTCCTAGATTTCGAAGCTGTGGCCAAACGGGTAATGAAAAAGACAGCGTGGGCGTACTACAGCAGCGGAGCAGACGATGAAATTACACTGAGGGATAACCATTCTGCTTTTCATCGAATTTGGTTCCGACCGAAGGTATTAGTGGACGTGGAGAGGGTCGACATGTCGACTACTATGCTAGGGACGAAGACTTCAATACCCTTTTATGTCACTGCAACAGCTTTAGGCAAGCTAGGTCATCCTGAAGGAGAGGTTGTTTTGACAAAGGGCGCCGCGAAGCATAATGTCATACAGATGGTAGGAACACCTTCATTCACCGCATAAAACCCCAGGTTAATTTACATCATTAGATACCGACGTTGGCATCATGTTCATTCGACGAGATATGTGACGCGAAATCAGGGGATCAAGTTCAGTGGCTTCAACTGTACGTCAACAAAAACCGTGAAATCACCCGGAAAATTGTTTGTCATGCAGAAAAAAGAGGATGCACGGCCCTCTTCATTACCGTGGATGCGCCTCAACTAGGGCGAAGAGAAAAAGACATGCGATCAAAGTTCGAAGACAATGGCTCTAGTGTCCAAAATGACAACGGCGACTCCATGGATCGATCACAAGGTGCCGCTAGGGCTATTTCCTCCTTCATTGACCCATCTTTGAGCTGGAAAGATATACCCTGGTTCAAAAGCATCACCAAAATGAAGATTGTCCTAAAGGGCGTCCAGCGGGTAGAAGACGTTATCAAAGCATGTGAGGCCGGTGTTGACGGGGTAGTATTATCGGTAAGTTTTCACGATTTCGTTTTTAAACTTTGCTCCACATATCAGGTTGAAGATAACCCACTCACGAAACCCCCTTTCACTAGAATCACGGCGGAAGGCAATTAGACACCGCACCCAGCGGAATCGAAATATTGGCTGCGGCTATGCCGATCCTGAAAGAAAGAGGGCTCGAGAATAAAATAGAAATCTACATAGATGGTGGCATCCGGCGTGCATCCGACATCGTGAAGGCACTTTGTCTAGGTGCCAGGGGTGTGGGCATTGGAAGACCTTTCCTATATGCCATGTCAGCGTACGGGCCGGCCGGTGTTGATCGCGCGATGCAGCTGCTTAAAGACGAGATGGAGATGAACATGAGACTAATTGGAGCGCCAACTATTGCCGACTTGGAGGAGAATATGGTAGATACTCGCGCAGTAGCCCTGCATTCTACAGCCATCAAGGATACATTGAGCTTAAGGGCATATGACCCCCTCGTGGCCCCCGTCTTCCGATCGAAACTTTGATGGATCAATCCACTAAGGGGTGAGTTAGTTTAGATGAAATTGTGTGCTGGGTCTTTTAAGCGTCTATCATGCATATATGTCATCTAATATAGAATACAATCTGCTTGGATAATGAGACGACAATATCTAATTCAGAGCCTTCGGCTGAAAGGGGTCGGCTAAAAACCTTCCATTTCTCGCATTACCGCCATAGCATCCTCAAATTCATCATCAATATCTATTTCATTCCTTGCACGAGAAGTTATACCAAGATTTCTATTGGCACTGGTGTCTTCTATGTCCCTCATTATAGCATCCAGTTCGTCAGATTCGCTTATTTCACTGCCGCCCAATTTCTTAACACCTGTTGCCCTTAAGACTTGCGAACTCTCCGCTTGCTTTATAATTTCATCGAGTTCATCGAAATCATCTTCGTCCTCGTCCTCGAAGAACAAGGAATTCCCGTTCTCTATTCTTCCCGTGGTTGCACTGTCTCCATCTGGTGCGTCGGTCTCTGCCCCTAGGCCGTCTCCTGGCCCTATTTCAAGCCTCTCTCCTGATGCTGGCCCCCCAGGTTCGCTCGAGGGGTCCGCAATCCTCAATACAATCCTCCCTTTATCATCGATCTCCGGAGAATCGGCATGCAGCACTGCTCTCGCTTTTTTTATTAACCTATCGTCTTCATTCGCTCGGGCCGCCTTGAACTCCTCTATCCATTCGTCCCTTCTCCTCTGCATGCCCCTTGAACTTCCCATTTTCTCGATCATATCGATGGCATCCTTGAATTGCGCTTTTGGGTAAAGCTTATCCGCCCAGATTTGATAGAATTTGAGCAACCTCTCTAGGTCTGCGATCTCATGTCCTTTGCCTTTGAATTTAATCTTTTGCGCTGCGTGCTCTCGCAAATATGGAATACCATCTGGCCCCAGTAGCCTAACCAGAATTTACGTTAGCCATGTATGTGTGTGTGGGAAAATAGGAATCTCGGAGAAATCCATGAGATTGTCATTTGAAATTACCGGTCCTCTGTAAGCTTCACCTTGGGCTTTCGGGTCCGGATTTTTATTTCCTCATCGACACCCAAGTCTTCATTGGCCGCGGCCCCTTTGCCTTTGCTGGTTTGTTGGTCATCAGCAGCCCTGTTTGCGTCAAACGTTGTGTCGATTTTATCGATGTCGTAGTTGAAAAGCTCGTCGAATTCATCATCGCCTTCGATATCGAAGTCTGACATTTTCACCAGCAGAACTAAGTTCTCGAAGCCCGTCGGTACCGACAGTGGTTTGGAGGCGAGAGGTTGCAATTGCAAGAGCGATCAGATTGGTTGCCGTCCAGGTGCTCTGTATAAACAAGTACATACCTGTCCAGCAGCTTGAGCCCAAGAGACAGAGTAGAACCGCACCGAACTGTTTTTTGCGTTGCATGTTGGCGTGTCAACATGTTTGTTTCAACTCTTGAATCAAGATTAAATTTACCTAATATGAAGGCGCTTAGCTAAGCAAATACCTACCTGGTATTTACTATCTGAATGAGGCTATACTTGGAAATTAAATCGAAACGTATTAGACTTTATTTTCCGAAAATTGTAAAACGGTAAAGCCGGTGCCGGTTGGATATACACGATGACAGTACGTAATATTAGTATGTGTTGAGGCTGTTGTATTTGACGTAGACTTGGCACGTAATGGAGTCAGGTCAGGTACAGGGTAGGCTATAATTCAGTCAGTAAGCTAGTATTAGTACTAGTACCTACTTAGGTGCTTAAGTAATTATAGGTAGAATATAACGTCTGAATTGAATGTAATTTAAGTTTACATGATCGAATAATCACACTACAGGACAAAAAAGAAGAAGAAGAAGAAGAAGAAAACTAAGCCGTTGCGGCTAGTTCAAGGAATTCGTCAAGAATATCGACGGTTTCTGCCGGGGAAGCGACCCAGCATGTTGTGCACACCATTCGGGTCTGTGTGTACATAAATTTCCGTTAGATGTATTGGACTCGCAAAATGGAGTAGAAAGTGCGATAGAAGTAATTATTACTTACCTTGAAATCGTTCCCACTAACCGAAAGGAACTGATCGCCGACATGAAGGGTGTTTATGCCTTGGATATCTCCAAACAGACGCTGGCAGCAAGCCACACCGAGTCTCTTGTCGCCGATGTCAACGAAAACATCGTTCCCACCTTTCGAGGTTCAGGTTCAGGTTAGAGATTTAACTATGAATTTCTTGGGACTAATCAACTGAGCAGTTCGAAAGGGACCTACCATTAAACGCACAAAATGGGAGCCGTCTCCCAACGTCGCTTAACTCTACGACCTTCTGAGCTGCAAGAACAGTTTCTTCGAGCTGTTCTCGAAAGAATTTCGTCCCAGGCTTAGGTACAACCCCAACAGCCCTGCTTTTTCTAATAATATCGGCATTTAACCTCATAGCCTCAACCGAGTCGTTCAAAGCAGCTTCGGCTATGTCGAGGAGCTCAGTTATATCCTCATCCTTCCATGCTCTCATTTCATCCAAAGCCCATATCTCCTTTGGAATGCTCTCCAATAGATGTGGTGCACTTGAATTGAATTGGAACATGAAATTTGCTTCCCCCCCTAGGACAATAAAATTCCTCTTTTGCTCCGGAGTTATCGCCTCGGAGGAGTTTATGGCTTCCAAAAGCCCGTGAAGACGATCATTGTAGCGTTTTGCCTCCTCATACCCCGCCTAAAACACACCATTAGCATGTCTTCAGTGTCCAGGAGAACAAATACTTGGATGCAGAGACTGTGACTTACAGCAGTAACAACACCAACTCTTATGCCCCTACTCATGAGAGCAAGTATTCGCGAACTAAAGGTGTTTAAGAAGGCTATACTCAGCTCGTATCCGTTGAGTAGATAGAAATACAACTCACATAACTTGATTTGACGGGATCAAAGACTATGTAAATGATAGCTTAGCATCGGACTGTCAAAAAAACCCATAGTTGTTTGGAATTGAAAACTTACGGCCCCGTCATCATACTTGGCGGTTATACAAAATAATCAGTTGGTCTTCATAAAATTCCCCAGCTAGCATACAGCGGCGAAATATGGAAATGCGCTTACCAATGTGACGTCCCCGTCAAAAGTAACGAGCTGGAGGGGGCCACCTTTTACCAAACTCATGATTTGAGCTGTGTTCAAGATGAGTCGGATGTCGTTGAAAGACTGCATGCTTGTCCCCACAATGTATTAATCACTGTAGGATACCCGAATAGAAGGCCATGAAATGGCGGTATCAAGACATACGGGCGAAACAAATCTTCTAGAGCTGATAGCCCTTTTTGCGTCTTGTGCCATAAACGCCTCCTCAAGGAAGAGCGGCGTAAAGAAAATACTCAAAGACGGGACCAGCAGCTTCAACTTCGATCTTTCGGGTATTCCCAGCCTCTGATGCTCAACTAATCGGCCCCAGGCGAACAGGCTGTTACTACGAGATAATTTTTGTTCAGGCCTGTCGGGGTTGTTTAGGTTCACATACTGTGATCATTGACAAGTTGTTCGACATCCCGCATAATCTCGGCATATCGTCTTCTCGCATTCGATGCCGTATCACCCGTCCTCACATGTGTCAATGCAGCATTAGGCTGGGAGTGAAGAACAAAAGGCACGGCGAGCAAACCCTATTGAAGTTCAGAATTGGAACAAAACGATATCACCGTTAGTAGGAAGCTAGCCAAGCATCGCGCAGTTGAAGGGCTACAAGCAACACTACGATGTATGTAACATGTATATAACGAACCTTTATCCCTATTGATCAGCATCGATTCTTAATTAGCATTTAAAGTCTTTTTAAAAGCTTCACAAGACGAGCGGGGGAAGGGGGAAAAATGAAAAAGGAATAAAGGCAATACATTCAATGAATTGGTCGCGACGATGGGTCTAAGTGATTTGTTTGTCAGCTCGTTTCACTATATATATGAAATCGGTGATACAAAGTATCGTATCCGAACCTTCAGCGCATCTAGAACAAGGTAGGAAGCAAATATGTCAGCTGCCAATGCAAAGCTAAATGTCGTCCGGGATACGGAATACTTGTGTTGTGGGCGTTGTGGGCGTTGTACATTCAACACGATATCTCGACGTCATGACGTCCTTGTTGGCGTTCTCGATTCCGAGATCTAGAGCCTAGGATATCAGCGGATAAAATGGAGGATTGATCTCAAGCTAGGGACCTTGTGAAGCTTATTTCTGGGGTTTAAAATTTTCTGGTGATGCTGTTAACATCGGGAGTTGGTCAATTGCGACTCTGTAGCTGTGTGGTACTAGAAGACTTGGTGTACGACACGCTCGCGCTCAGCCAGGAAGGAGCTCGATCCCAAATATATACTGCGCCAGCTGGGGACTAACCGTGAATCGCTCGTTAACTTTCCGTTGTTGACTACTCTGGGGACACGAAGTTTCGGTGATAAAGCATACGATTGAAAACAATGTGACACCTTCGTGCATGAGGAAAATGCGATTATTCCATAACTTATAATGGCACGTGGACATGTCCGCATACGCATATATGTAGGTATGTATCTATACGTAAGTATATACCTACACATAGCTTAGGCATAAAGCACAGCGCCGGCTGCTAGCCGTGTATTTTCTTAATTAATTGGCGAATGCGTATAACGTACACGTAGGCCTAGGCCTCACTTTAAATATTTCAATGGTAAATTTAATGGCTATATGGGCAAGACCTAGACCTTCATATATATAGCTCGTCCGCGAGGCACATGTAACTCAATATTCTAGGGCGTTTAAAACCAAGATAGGGCTTGATGATTCGGATTTGCGGAGCTATCAGCTACCGGCCAAGTAGAATCCGCTATCAAAACCTTGCCGTGCTCCCGGACCGAATCAATTGATTGATATTAGATGTCAGAAGTATGCACACCATCCGATATACCTGGACCAGTTACAAACAACCCTGTTAATACGCACCCGAACCTTTCTTTTCGAAGAAAAAAAGCAGACAGGGAATTGCTTACATCTGAACCAGGTTGTCGGTGTTAACGGCTTGTTGTATCAGTTCTTGGACCTGTCCCTCTACCGAAAGAGGGACAGGGTCTCCAGCATGCAAACCTCTCAGTTTGTTCTCGATGCTTTCCAAAACGTCCTTTGGATTATCCGGAGCTTTACTGGGATTGGTGGTACGGCGCTATCAAATATCATTAGTCTAGCCTCCGGGAAGTCTCTCCGAGAATTCTTGCCTTCTTAACCGCCAACCACTCAACTAGAGGATCGTGGAGAAATGTTTCAACCACCGTCATCAAACTTTCTTCATTTTGTCTAAGTATACGCATGACAACCTCAGATGAACGCCGGAACGGGCCTTCGTATCCAGTTAAACCCATTGCGTCGACCATATTTTGGGTCAATCGGAAGGGCACGCGCTCTGGCTTTTCAAATGTCAAGCCTTTATCGAAGAGGCAATTGAAGTCGACATGCTGAGTCTCCCCTGTCACTTCATCGTAGAGAATATTTTCGCCATGTCTATCGCCTAGACCTAATATATATCCCACCATAGACATGACGGCTGTGGTCCTAACATAGGATAGTCTTGCTGCGAACCAAGTCTCGGGCTCTGGAAAGAGTTCAACAAACCACTCATGGAACACGGCAGGAAAACTACATCACGAATTAGTAATTTTAGTTGTCAGGGTCATAGAGTTTCGAAAAAACACAATACCGTGCAACGACCACATCTTCAAATCTGTGATACTTTGAAGGACTTGAGCATGCATCATCCAACAGGACCCGAATTTCTGCGTACTTTTTCTAACAGTTAATAAAGGGCCCCAAGCTCCGACATTATACGTGGGCTCAATTCACAGGGCTTACATTAACGGAGATATTCTTGGCTCTGTATGATCTGAGGAGAATATCTCTTAGAGGACGAAGATTGTTCACCCATTCAATTAAACCACATTCTTCGTTTAACGGTGTCACAGCATATGTGCGAATTTCTAGAGTAGGAATGTTAGAGGGTAGGCAAATCAAGGAAAGGGGCAAAATACATACGTAACTGTCTTCTACTTGACTCATCATCTTTCTTTAATAGGCGGTTGATGATCGTATTGAATTCCATTAAACGTGCGTCCTTCCTGAGATCATCTTTTGGTTTGCACATCAGCGGATAGCGCCGTCCGTCACTCCCGATTATCGTGATTTTCCGGGGCTTTTGGAGCGAGCTCATCACGTCCGCCTCGTCTTCAAATTCTGAGTACGACCATTAGAGACGCTCAAGATTATGAAACCCATGGGTTGACTCACTAGAGATTGTGGCTTGGTCTCTGGAAAAAGGGTTATGGCCGAATTTGGGCGTTAGCCCATCGGCAGGAAAGGAGAGTGACAGGGCCGATTGGACTGGTATAATAAGGGCCACAGGTGCCACGTTATGCTGGAAGTTTAAATCGTCCCGAAGGCTAACGTGGCTCGGTTTACCCTTTATCTCAAAATTGGATAGTGCCAATAGCTCTTGGACCAGTTTCTGAGCAGCAACGATGAATGTTTTCAAATCGACGTTAGCGGCTTTTTCGGTCTATGCCACATTAGTTTCTTGAATAACTTCTAATTTTTCGTTATTAGGCAAGATGTTACCTTCAGCCGACTTAAGATCTTAGTAGCTCTGTTCTTTCTGTCAGGCTGCCCAGACTTGAATACGGCAAGGATAGACCACATGGTATGTTGTGGATATGCGACCAAAATCCTTAATATAATCTTTTCCAAGACTGCCCATGTACTCTCGCTTTGAATGCCAACCCGAGACATTATTTGCGGAAGTGCAGATAAAAACACGAATGTAGGGATGTTGTGAAGACATCCCCTTTTTATTTGAACTAGCAAGTCGGCAATCTCGCTTTTTCTCCGCGCTGCAAGATGATCTCGGAAAACCCTTGTGCATATTAGTTTGAAAATATCTTGAGAGAATTTAAGGTATAAACATACTCGACTCCAACTTCGGGTTCAAACGGTGACTCAGATTCCAGACCAAAATCCAACCATAAGTTGAGAAACTGGGGGAGGGTCTGGAATATATATCTCGTCCCGTACATCATTGCTCTCATATAGTTGGTGCACACAAGCTTCACATTCTCGCCGATAAGACTTGCGCCAAGTTAGCCTATCAGGTAGATTTATTGTTTCTGTGAGCAGAAGAGCAGGAAACGTACAGGCTTTCGGGGCGTTTAGTAAGTGGCAATGCCCTTTCGGTCTTAAGAATGTTGTTGTAGTGTCGTCCGAGGTAGAAGTGCCCCTTCTCCCAACTATCCGCGATTTAGAGATATCCCAAAAGTGCTCAAAGTAAGGGCCTACCTACCGCGCGTACGAATTGGCAACCGCCCGAAATTTATTAACTAGAACTTTCGACTGAATTTGACCAGCACTATCCATCCATCTTGCCCAAAGAAGCATAGCCTGAATCCGATTTCGTTAGAAAAGCAATTCTTGTAACAATCAAATTCCTATTGTAACTTACCCTCGCTTTCGCTGAACTTTGGGGGTGTCTTTTGCGAGTTTCAGAAGCATCGAGTTCCTGGAACGAGTCTGTTGTTGGTAAAACTGCTTCGAACGCATTTGTCTCTATTGCGTTTTCAAGCAATTTGATAGCTCTCCGGTGTCGACCTTCATCCCAGGCTAATTTGGCTTGTTCGATAGGGCCGTTTTGGTCATCATTCGAATTTAGAATCGCAGTAAAAGCCTGGTGGTAATCTTTCTTTTTGCGGGCAAGTTTTGCAGTAGTAAGCCATAGTGAGGAGATATAGGGCCGGGTGAAGTTGTCGAACCCACTATACCGCCGTGTTAAATAAATGCCCAAGATTTGAACGGGATCGTTTAAAAACTCACCGACACAAAGATAAAAGGGCACGGCGAAGCGCCAGGATATATTGCTTTTCACGGTGCGATGGTCCCAACAACGTGAGTCTTGCGTCCATATTATGCTTGAAAGTGGCCTCATCGATAGAACCTTCCTGGATAGTTGAGGTAATATACTGGCATTCCGCCAAAACTTGAAACTGAAATAGTATTTCATGGGACGATCTTATTGAGTTTGTGCCAGATATTGTCATCGATCGCACTAACTGATCTCGGCCAGCGTGGATAATCCTTTCTAACGACTTCCTATCGCCGCTTCTGAAAGCATTGATCGTTCGCCCAATAGTAACATCGAATGAAGTCTGTTCCGGACATTGCTGGAGTAAAACTTCGAGCTTGTCCCAATTAAGAGACCTCCAAGCCGATTCAATTCCAAAGCCTAGTACACGGTATAGCAGTGAATTATGCAGACTAAGGATCGGCTCCATGTGTACCAAGAGTGTTTCTAATGCACGGTAAGCCTAGATATCATGGTATTATTCGAAGGATCAGGCATAGCTACCATGCTGGCCAGACTCTTTCAGGCTTGTAAGCAAGCCGTATTGTAAATCAATGTCCGTTGGTTTTTCTTTCAGTAGATGTTCGTACCAGCTTTGCACTGCTAACCACCTCCCAGCCTTGCGATGCTCTAGGATTTGTTGTTCGATATTAACGACGCTCAGCTTTGTCGAAATCCCTTCAATGCCATCTGGTTCATCGATTTCGGAATAAATCGACTGCATCTGAGTGTAAAGAGTTTCCATATTGGTCTGCTCGCTACGGCACTTTCTCATGTACTGTTCCCAGTAGAACAATGCTCGAGAATATGACTGGCACTGGATAGACCGCTCACCAATCAGTTTTGGGGGGAGCTTGGACAATAAGTCTTCTACAGATGCGATTGAAACATCTGGACCCTGGTCTATAGACTCGGTCACCTGGCGTGACATCTGCCGTGCCATATGGATAGCAGCGCTGGAGTTATACCGTCGCTTCTCTCGTATCCATTTTGACATATGATCAACTAGTATGAACACACTCTGGGAGCCGTTAGAATAAAAGATTTGTCCAGGGGGGGGTAATCAGGATCTTACTTCACTACATCTCTTGACCACTTCGAACTCTAGATTTCTATCTGCTGGCATTTCGTGTTGGAGAATCGAAACCATTTCGAGAAGAATATTGCTCTTGTCTTCCGCAGTGCCGCTGATGACGATGTGGAGCACAATATATGGCAAAATAAAATTAAGGATGGATAAATCCTGTCCTTTGACGATCTTACTTATGATCTCTGCAAAGAGTGTTTTTGTGTGAACACCCCGCGCCTTCGGGAGGAGATCAAGGAGAAAATCAGTCAGCCATTCTCGGTACGATTTGGTGGTTGAGAATATGGGGTAGGTGGATTTGTGGCTTGTTGCAGCAGTTGATAGAATATACTTCGAACTCAGATACGGTGAAAGCACGTTCCTTCCAGTAACTGAAAAATCTCTCCAGCGGGTTTGACTCGGGGCGACTGTAAAATCTGTATTCTGTTTGACCAAAACTTCAGGGCTGAAGCCACAAAATTTCAATAGTTCTTGCATTGCAAAAGAAAGAAACCCTTGGGCGCGCGTGTCTGTTGCTGATAGGAATGCCTTCACGAGATGATGTTCAAGGAGAAAATGAGCAAATCGAATGCTCTCCTCCGTTTTTTCAAAGTTATGCAAAATCATCAAGTCATCCTGTTTTCTAGGGGTTTCGATCCGGTTTGGATCGACCGCCCCTATCATACCCAGGCATTCAGACGCAAGTTTAGCAATGGAATTTGCGGACTGTCCATGTTTAACACAGACATCAAGCAGATTACGTATAACTTCAGCGGCGACGGAATCGGGAATTTCGTCGTTTGTGATATCTCTGATAAAATGCTCGTTGGTTCCAAGGTAGCCTTTCAATTCGATCAACGCCCTTTCAACAACAAGTGGATTTTCGTGAGTGCTTCTAGCGGTCAAAATTCGGAGCTGTTCTTTGAGATCTTTGTTTCTAGAGGTGGAAAGCGCCTTTTCGTAATGATCGAACTCCGGGATGACACTCATCAACGGAAGTGAATCCGCTTCGTCTTGCAGTGTAGGATTGTGCACCTCGAAGATCTGGGAAAGTAGCGATCTCCCTAGCCGTTTAGAATGTTCGCCGAATTCGGCCCAGAATTTGATCAAAAGACATAGAACAACTGGGAAGTATGGCGCGATGTCCGCGGAAGGGATCTCCGTCATTAATGCGCACCATACGGATAGCGTCGTGTCTTGCAATCCTTTCATCTCTAAAGCTGAAGATAAACAAGCGGAGAGCTATATATTTTTTGCTCCCATTTAGCGTGCAAGTTGAAGATGTGACGGATCAATCGGAAGCTTACCTGGGGGAGTCCATTTATCAGTCCTCCCTTTCCTAATTTTATCATATCCTCGATTGCCTTTAGATTACGTCGCTTCTCACTTAAAGAATGTTTGGCTCGAAGGCTAAACAGAACCTCAGAGTATTGAGCGATAATCCCTAGAACGTGGATTTCGAAGAACGCGTGCAGCATATCTGGGTTTTTTTCTCTTTTTACACCAACCGGCTTTCTATAGCATACTGTAGCGATCTTTTTGATAGCTTTTTCGGCCTAGAGGCTGTTAATGAAGACCCTCACCAATAGTATTAGTGTTAAGAAACAACTGACGTTTGGTTTGGCATCCGGGTTGAGGACGGCGTAACATCTGATAGTTTCCGCCATAATAGCAATAGGATCTGCTTTGATCAACTCCGCAAAATCCAGTCTTTGAAATGTTGGGTCTGCATGTCGAAGCAGAGACATGGTTTGCTCTTCGATATCATCATGCCGTTGAACCAGAATGAGCCCTAAGATAGATGTAATATGGTGCATACACACTTGAAAAGTGGATTCTATCGAGTCCTTACTACAGCTATTATAAGCCAGTACCAAATTCTCTAGGACATCCAGCTTGCGATTAAGAACCATATGCGGCAGGGTGTACGATATGGTGTTTGAGAGAAATTCCTGTGTAGGTATCCCCAGGAGCGTAGATACGCTCTGGATGACCTGTGGTTTTGTTTTGAGAAGACTCACAACCACGACACTCAAATCCCTCCAGAATTGCCCCAATAGTGTCGACATCGATAAGTTCTTTGCCTGGGCTACGGACTCGATCTACGTATTTTCCATGAGTAACGGCTAGACAAAAAGAAAGATTGGGTTAGGGTATGTTACTTCATTATATGAAACCGCTGCGAGATAAGTATTGCTATGCCCCAGGTAGCCAAGCAGCAACCCAAGAGCGAGATGAAGATCATCCCCCTCAAGAATTCTAGTAACCGAGTTAGGTCGTAATATAAACATACGGGCCAGGCGAAAACCAAACTAACCTTGACATCCTGCCCCAAGCGATAATGCAAGTTTCTTGTATTGTATCATCAGAGACGGAAGATATTTCCCGGACCTTTAGCAGGCAAGCGGTTCGCTCCGATACCGAATTTTCGTCATGGTCACCAAAAATGGTAAAGTGCGGGAGTGTCATCCTACGACATGAGCCAGTGAGAATGTGAACAGTTGCGAAAGGTGTAGGGGTCCATCCTACACTGCTAGCATTCTGAGATCTCGGTTTGAACTTCTTAAAGCCTGGAGGCACCACTGGCCGAAAGGGTGGCTAGTAAATCGGCCATCGAGAACGGTGGATCCGTGTTTTACTATTTTCCGCATGGCTTGCATTCCGGACACTCGCACGTTACTACTGTGTAGGAATCCCTCGGACTTTTGGATAGTCGTGAAAATCCGTATCAATTCATCGGATTCCCTTGTTGTATCTTCATGTTCTCTCATACATCGAGCATCATCGCATATCGTACAAGGAAAGCGCCTTAACTCCGTACTTATCCCTAGTATTTCTGGTTTGGGGGATACATTTGTCGGTAAGCAGATCAACAGACCAACTTCGTGGAAAACATCGGACTGTTCCCGGATCGAAAGCTTTCCAAAACCGTCGCTGGTATTTGCTTTAGTTCCAATCCGCAATACGTAGATCAAAGTCGTGGGTGAAGAAGTACTTACGCAACGATAGCATATAGCCCTGCCAGGTCCTTGTTCGACTGCCCACCAAATTTTGAATACACCCGTGATATCGACTCTCGCCTTAGTTGAGAGCTATGATTAGCTATGTCCGTATCTATTTTCCGCCTCTTTCTCGGGCCATCTAAGTTCCCAAATTCTATCTTGGGTATGTGCGCGTGTGATGTTTGGGCAGAGAGAAGCTGAAAGTAAAGGAGCTGCAGGACCGGGCTCTGGAATTGCCATTCGGCTCCTGCAACCAGCTGAAGGTTAGACTTCAGCATTTGATGAAATGCGTAATCTTCAGAGCACACCAAAGCAAACTTTAGAAGGGTAACCTATATTTGATAATTAGAACTGTACATTTGCAATCTCGGGAAATATTTTCTCCAGATTGTTGCTTCGTACCTTTAGGTCTCGGTGTCTCGCTTGCCATTTAATTGAATCTTGGAGGATATTTTTGATGCAAGGAACGAGGTCGTGTGACAAGCTTATCCTGAAGGGATTAGACCTTTCGGCAAACCGTAGGAGCAGCAAGAGCAATGCAGACAAGGATATCTCGGTCTCTTGGTCGATTTCCGAAACCGGATGAAATAGAAGCGCTTGTATGGACCTTGTGCTTAACTTTTGAATGAGCTTGAAAACCGGCCGATCCGGTTCTAGATTATCATAACTAAGGATCTCTGCTAATGCCTCTAGTGTTTGCTTGTGTATTTGTACCAATAGCCGACTTCTGATAGGAGCTGCAACCCAGGCCTTAAGTCTTTGGCAAATCTGGATTAAACCAGCGAGCAACGCAATTGAGAGGTCTAAGCACGGCTTGCTAACTTGCGTAGCATGATGGCTTAGCCCGACTTTTGAAACGGCAAGTGTTATTTGAATAGCGAGCGAGCAAGCTTCGACGGGATCATTGATTGTAAAGCACCATTCAGGGATATTCGCCACACCGGGTCGGGAGTCGGGTTTGCTCCTAGGCAGGATGAATTTGGTATTCGGAAGGGTGATGCTGAACGACTTCTTGAGAGTCGATTTTATATCCGACCTGCACATTTCAACGATACCTTTAGGATAGTAAAGTTAGGCTCAGACAACATCGGCGAAATTCAGCCATAAAACTACACGTTGGGCATACCGTCTACACATGACTTCAAGTACATGCGGGCATGGTTAGAATGATCTCCATCCATTGTGTGCCGTCCAAGTTCAGACAGAACAACCGAAAGGGTGTCCACCATCTCTCTTCGAAGCGAAACCATCCTGGTTTGACAGACAAGAGGTAGCATGCGTTGCAACAGCCAAACCCACGAGGGGATGCTGCAAAAGTTTGAATCCCAGCCATCACCATCAAACGTTAAAGGGCGTATGAGGATTCTCGGCGTAGTTTGGGTGACCAGTCGAATTATAGCAAGGCAGTCTTTAGATATAGATAGTCGAGATTCCATTGTGAGGAAAGGATCCTCGTTGTATAACCCGTGATGGACAACGCTCTGGACGAGATTGAAGTTGACATCTTCGTTATCGGTGGGACAGGTCAGCGTGTCCTTGGAGGGATCGTCGGTGCTTGTGTGCTCGGGTCGGTATATTGCGAGGACTTGTTCAAGAATGGTTTTATCTGTTGTTCCGATTTGAGTACTGGGACCTTCGGAGCCGAGATTCCGTCGAATGGCCTGGGCGAGGAGGGTACCCTGCGGGGCATTTGAGGTCTGGGAAGACATTGTTGTTTCCATTAGGTAAAACAGGACCGAATAACATGATACCTTTCCCCCATGGGCAAAAGTACATTTAGGTGCATTACACGTCTGGATGTTGATCAAAATGCCTGTGGTTTCTAGAGCCTAGAGGAATGCAATGTGAAGTATGTACTCGGCGAGGTATGTAGGTAAGTACCTACTAGGAGGTAGGCAAGCCTGGGTAAGAAATAGGTATGTCAGTAACAAGTATTTAGGTATGTGCGAAGCATGCACGAAGTACATGTATGTGCATGTACCTACCTACTTACCTAGGTACTTATCAGGCACTGAAGTATGTAAGTATGTAAGTAAGTACTTAAGTAAGTAGTACTTATGGATGTCGGTTGAGGCAGTGAAGTTACGCAGCTTTGGTGTGTTTAGGCGCCCACGCGAGAAACTAAGTTTAAGTTGCTTGGTATTACAAACTTATGCAATGCGACGCGGCATTGGATTTCGATCGAATAAGTAAGTGGGCAGCCCCCTGACCATCCACGCACAAACCACCATCCATCCATCCATCCATCCATCAACCAGTCAGTCAGTCAGTCAGTCAATCAATCAATCAGACTATTATCACCATCCAATTCCCTCCACGACTGGTCTTGCAAGGAAAGACCTTGGACTTTGGACTTTGGACTTTGGACTTTGGACTTTGGACTTTGGACTTTGGACTTTGGACTTTGGACTTTGGACTTTGGACTTGGACTTGGACTTGGGCTCGGGCTTGGACTTGGACTTGGACTTGGACTTTGGGGTCCCAAATTGAACTTGAATCTGCATCTTCCCCTAACAAACAAAGCTTCAATATCCAGAGACGTCCTTCTTCCAAATTCAGAAAGAAAGAAAAATAAACCCCCATGCAAGCGCAAGCTCTTGTCATTATCCCTATCCCTATCCCTATCCCTATTCGACAATGGCATCTAAACTACAACTCCCACCTCTAAATTTTGAGTCTAGGGGCTCGTTGACTGCCGATTTGAAAGCCGATTTCCACATCCCCGACTCTCCTCCCCATTCACGCCCGGGATCCCCGTCAAGATATCAAAATGTTACCGATGCTACTAACGACAGCTCTAACGCGTCGGCCAGGACTACAAAGCCAAGGGCCCAGCTTGGATTGACAAATAAACCTTCAAGCTCCAGCTTGCAGGTGTCGCCCAATTCTCCTCCCATGTCCCCACAGTCCCCTCGACCGGTGTCTGTACGCAGGCTTCTCTCCAAAATGAGTCTATCTGGTTCATACAAAGAATCTGATGAGGCCTCCATCATGTCCCTCAAGTCTCCAACCAACACTTCGCCATCCTTGCTCAAGGACCGGGATTCTGATGTTGCGAGCGAAAGAGCTCTATCAATATCCAGCAAGGGTTTCTTTTCCAGCTTCAGAAGGAACAGTTCCAAAAGATCTGTTAGTTCTAGCTCTGGCCGAAAAGCCTCTCTGCCCCCGCCAACTCCCAGAGAGCGGGAGCCTACCATCGCAGAAAAAACTGCAGAAGTTGTGAAAAAGGAACCTGCTCCCCAGATCCCAGATCTCCCTCAAACATCTGTCTCCTCTTTTGACACCGATTTATTCAAGAACATATAAATATATTAATACACCGGCGGGATTTTGATTCATGAGATCGCTTTCATAAGATATATGTATATGTATATGCATATGTATACGTATACGTATACGTATCAGCTGGTCATTTCCATTTCGACCACCTTATATTAATGTAATATGTCCGGGTGCATGGACTTCGGTTTCTAGCATAGAAGTGTTTTGTCGATTTACATTTTCCTACCTTGCGAGCTTCGCACTTTCGGTCTGGAGACCTCATTTGCATTTGTATCCGCGTATGTGCATACTTAAGTATACATGCATACGTTACCAAATCATTCTAGTTCAGAGGAATATGCTAAGTTGGTAGCAGGATTTTGTTCTTCAATTCGGATATTTTTTGATGGCTTTTTTGCGGGATGTTATTGGGTCCTGTCCGGGTGGCGTTAATTGTCATTCGTAGAGCATTCGTCTTCGTCTTCGTCTTCTTCTTCTTCTTCATCTTCTTCTTCTTCGTCTTCGTCTTCGTCTTCTTCTTCGTCTTCTTCCCTTCCTTCTTCTTTTCCTTCTTCTCCTTCTTCTTTATTTGCATACCTAAATACTTGTAGGTGTTAGCTGTCGCTCGGCTCAGATTAGTAACCATCTTATCGATTAATTATCCCCTGCTTAATTCTGTATAACCCCCAACCACCAATCTCACAACACCAAACACGTCCCTGACGGAAATCCTCAGTACTTAAATCGCTTCGCACCGCTCATGCTAATTGAATTGCATTCCTTTGAATTCAACAGTTAATACTCACTTCAGTACCAATTCCTTTAAATATCCCCTTCGGCATTCCCTTAAAAAAAAATTTAAAAAAAATTTAAAAAAAAATCAGAAAAAGAGGAAAAGGAAACAAAAAAGAACAATCACAAACAATGGCAAAACCGATATCAAAACGCCCGCTCGATTTCTTCTACAGATCGGTCTTTTCTTTGATCCTTATCATAGCAATAGGTTAGTGTCATCTGTACATGAAATGCAATTCGCTATATTACCGTATATGAAGTATACTAACCCCGCTCCGCCAGTTGCTGATTGTTCACCATTGTATCCCGAGGCACTGCGGCCGGAGTTTGTGAACCAGATGCACAAGTTTCAATTTGAGACTTTCAAAGACCCATTTTTCAACCCTAAAATCCACCGACCGTGGTTCGAATCTCTCGTTGGATTGGAGCTCTTCGTTCTCGTTCCCCTAAACGCCTGGCTGCTGTGGGGTTGGACTGTTGGTAAGCTTCGAGCGAAAACCCGAGTTTGGGAATAAGTACTTAAGTTCTTACCTAAGTACTTACTTACCTATACTCGAGTATTATTTGTTATATCCTAACCAATCAACTGCTCCTAGATCACCCACTGGTGCCTGTCAACATGATTGTGTATGCATACCACATGTTTGTAACCACTATCCCCTGTCTGGCAGAGATGTACCATGAGTTTTCTCGTGGCGCATTATCCGGGACGGAAGTCAGCATATTGTTCAGCATGTACGGCCCATTTGTCGCTTTACGTAGGTTAATCCGATTTTCACCATCTGAATGGCCCCAGGTTCACTGATCTCTTCATTGCAAAATCTCCGCTAGCGCTGTATATGGTATTCGATGCTCATCAAAGGATATCACAAAAATTATGGGCTGCTGAAGTATCAAACACTGCTACGAAGACCAAGTAATTGGAATAGATAGAGATATATTAGCCTCCAATCCAGGCGCTCGAGGCGGAGGAGATATATACTAGTTAAGTACTTAGTACTTACCTAGGTACTTACTTACTTATAACTGAACCTATAAACTAAGTACTACTTAAGTAGCTCCCTACCTAAGTACGTAATAAGGAAGTTGCTAGATACTAGGTAGGTAAGTACTTAATCTGACGTCTCGTGTATTCTAATTCTATAGAGTGCTGTGGCCGTATCGATATCTTAAGCTTAAGCTCTTAGGCTTATAGGTAATATACTTACTTAATTCTAAGCTAAGCATAGGCTCTGAAGATTATAGTAATATATGTACTTAGGTACTTAAGTACTTACTTAGTAGGTAAGTAGGTAGGTATATATTCTAGTTCCAAGCATAAGCTAAGGTATCCCAGATCTCACGTGACTGGCTCTTGAACACCACAAAAAAAAAAACAAAAAAAAAAAAAAAGATTTGAACTGGCAGGAAACGTTGAAGACAACCAACGGCCAACAAAGAATTCATTCTGCACATTAACCTGCTTATAGCCTCAACCCTCCCCAATCACCATGAACGTCGTCGTAACGAAACATACTTTGCTCCCAGCGGAGCCGGAATGGCCTCATGAAGGCGGTTTTCACATCCTCGAACATCTCTCTGAGCCAACTCACCGAAACCTCGAGCCTGTGGGCCCCCACTACCTGGCTCACGCCCGGAGAGTATGAGCTTCAACGGACCCAACGTTTTGAACATCAAACCAGTACTAATTTTCCCGTTCCAATGGCTATAGAAACGTCATCACAGAACTTTCTCCGAGGACGACCGCATTGTTGCTGCACAGCAAGCCAAGAATGTCGAGGATGCCGACCCCGGTGAGATCAGTGAGCCCGAAGATGCAATGCTTCTCTCTCGGGACCCCAAAGACTGGAAGGTTAGAACCTCCGGCATTATTTTTTTATGCGCTATCTATGATGAGTTCGTATAGGGATATCCCATTCTAATATTTTCTCCTTATTCAGAACCAAGATCATTATGCAGTCCTCGGAATCAGCAAATATCGTTGGAAGGCAACCGATGAACAAATCAAACGGGCGCACAGGAAAAAGGTTTTGAAGCATCACCCGGACAAGAAGGCAGCTGCCGGTGGTGTCGATGATGATAACTTTTTCAAATGCATTCAAAAAGGTATACCAGAATGAGAGCATTATATCATTTCCATGAAGTACCAAATCCTAACAACCGTTATCCTCCATCATAGCTATGGAAATCCTCACCGACCCCGTCAAACGTCGACAGTACGACTCAGTTGACGAGTCGGCCGACGTTGATCCTCCTTCCCGCAAAGCCAAGGGAAATATCTACAAGCTTTGGAACCCGGTTTTCGATAGTGAAGGCCGTTTCTCTAAAAAGAAGCCTGTGCCGCGTTTTGGTGACGATAAATCCACCAAAGCCAATGTTGAAGAATTCTATAACTTTTGGTACAACTTCGATTCCTGGAGAACCTTCGAGTACCTTGACGAGGATGTTCCAGATGACAATGAAAACAGAGATCAAAAAAGACATGTTGAAAGGAAAAACAAAGCTGCTAGGGCAAAAAGAAAGACCGAAGATACGGCAAGGCTCAGAAAGATTGTCGACGATGCCCTAGCTATGGACGTCAGACTGCAAAAATTCCGTAAGGAAGAAAGATTGCAGAAAGATGCTAAGAAAATTGCGAGGGAGGCAGAGGAAAAGCGTTTGGTAGAAGAGGCCAAGAAGAAGGCAGAGGAAGACGCCCGAAGGAAGGAAGAAGAGGAGGCTGCTATGAAGGCATCAAAGGCCGATGCGAAAAAGGCGAAGGAGGCCGCTAAAAATGCGGCAAAGAAGAACAAAAGAGTTCTTCGTAAGGGTGCAGAGGACGCTAACTACTTTCACTCCGATGGTGCCGCTCCACCAGACGTAGTCGCAAATGTATTGGCTGATGTAGAACTCCTTATTACTAAGCTTGACAACGAAGAGCTTGATGTTGTGGCTAAGAAGCTCGCCGGCCTCAAGGTTTCTGATGAGATTAAGTCAGTTTTGGTGGACGGCATTCGTGGCAGCGTTGGCAAAGGGTCAGCAGCTGAAGGTGATTTTAAAGTCCTGTTGAAGTAGTCGACCGTAGATATAGTCTTGTATTGCAGAAGCGCATAGATATAGACATAGCAGCAAAATGAGGAAACATTTTAACAAAATCGAGCAGAAAATAGGTTTCTGATATCTTTGCCCACAGTAGCAATCTCTAAACGCGCTTATTTTCTAGCTAACGCACAGAACTGGTGGAATAAAATCGAGGGGGATTCATTTTGCATTAATTAGGGTACATAGCATCTAAATGCTATGCCCCAAGTCATTAGCTCTATCTAGAAAGGATCTATATTACACGGGCCACTATGGGGTATGCTGTTTCTAAAAAAGAAAAAAAAGGGAAAGGGTTTGCGTGGCCTCACAGCACAGGCGGTATTCAAACGCTCAGTTCGCAGGAATTAAAGGGGGTACAACGATTAAAGTACTATAAGCCATGAAAATAGTGCGTGAGAAGAGAACCAACCTTTAAGTCGAGAAAAAAAGGGAGGAGAAGAGAAAAGCGAAGGGGGGAGGGAGGGAGAGAAAGAGAGAGAGGGGTAAAATAGACTACGGGTTGGCGGGCTTTCTTGCAACAGCAAGATACATAGGTGTGAATAGCTTCTTTTCACCGCCTTCGACTAGGGCATCCGCTGCTGTCGCAAGGGAGTCGGCAGCCTTTCTAGCACCTTGTGGCGCGACCCCGACGGTCTCAAGGGCACCGACCAAGTAGTGGGCAAGAGTTCGGCCAACCCATGTCATTCTACCGATAGTGAAGATATCTGAAAGACTAGCGCAGTACTTCATGTTACCAGCAAGCGGGTAGTACCATGGGATAGGGTCAGGACGATCAGCTAGATCCTCTTGGTATTCGATTTCAAAGCCAACAGTTTTTAGTGCCTTGATACACTCCTCGATCCGGACCATTTGAGCGATTCCATCACCCCTAGAGTAAGAAAAGAAACAGTTTATTAGCTCCATCTTCATATGAATTATGGGAGGGGGGGTTAGATGATGAAGACTCACAATTCGATGCCTCTGCGGATCCTCCTGTGGTCTGCGTCGGAATCATCATAGTTTTCGGTCATGAGCCATTCATAGACTCCGAATACACCACCGGGTTTGAGGACTTTGAAAATTTGTCCGTAAACCCCGGCAAGGCTTGGGGCATGGACGGTTGCTTCGATAGCGTAAACAGCATCAAAAGAGTTCTCTTCAAATGACATTTGCATGAAATCCCCCTTGGCAAATCTCTGTAGGGTTAAGTAATAAATTAGTATTCAATGGAATTATGGATCCTACCTAGAAAACAACCATCTAGGGCAAGGAAGGAAGGGAATGATTCCGTACCAATTGGTTGCTAAGACCAGCTTTATGCGCATACATTGTTGCCCTTGCAATCTGATAATCATTGTTGTTGAGACCAGTGATTTTGCAGTCACTAAAACGTGCGATCTCACGTGCTGGGCCACCAACCCCACAGCCGACGTCGAGAACGTGCATTCCGGGCTTGATACCCATTTTCAAAGCTAAGAAATGCTCATGACGGGCGATGGCCTGGTTGAAAGCCTCGCCGGGATAGAATCTACAGAAGTGAAAAGATTGGCCCCAACCATTTTCGTAGAGATCGGTTGCAAGATTGTAGTAGTGACGCGTGAGGGTAGCATATTCAGCCAATCGCTTCTGCTTCTCCTCTTCGGTTTCATTACCGTCTTCGAACCCGTCCCAGTGTTTGAAGTACTCCTTAGCAGCTTCGGCGGAAGCTGCTTTATCCTTGCCCATGAAACCAGCAAAATAGCCAGTTTCATTGACTTGGCCGTGCATAGCCTTGGAGAAATCAGCATCACGCTGGTGATTTTCTTGTTCGAGTTTCGTCGCGGCAACCATGGTGAATTTGGGTTTTAGTTTGAAGGTGAAGAAAAGTGTGAAGAGATTCTGTTGAAGATGGAAGAAGTAGAATGAAGAAAGGTAAACAGGAAGAAGAATGGATTGACGAAGGAGGATGGTAGATGGAAGAACAAAGGAGTGAAGGAGAAACTACCAGCACCTGATAGTTAAAAGGAGTCAATTGACTGGACGGTGGTTGTTTTTTTTTTTTTTTTTTTTTCCTTTCCTTTCACGGGCACCGAAAGACCTCCCCAGATAGCCAGTCGGGCGAGAGTTACATAGCACATAACTACCGCGGGAGGTGCTCTGTGGTGTTGGCAACCGACACCTGCGCTGGGATCCCCTGTCAAACCCCTGCCAATACTGCCAAGATTATTCCGGCCGCCGGGCTCCTGTCGGCCGACAAGAATCAAGATTGCTGACTCAGTCATGACTCAGCAACACAAAACTTGCTGGTCAAACATCAAACAACAGTGTCGCCTCTCTTTGCAACATCCTCTCCAACACATTCCATCATCGTCACTCATCCACGCCAAATATACATATCGCATCATATAGAAGCCCTTCAAAATGCCGCCCAAGGCCGATATAAACAGGGTACGTCGCGTTATCTTGTGTCCCCTGCAAAAATTTTGTCCCTTTACTAATATATTTACGCATCTGACTAGTCTGGATCCGAATCCACCGACTTCCCCTCGGTCTGCGAAAATTGCCTGCCTGAAAATCCCTACGTCCAGATGATCAAGGAGAACTACGGTGCTGAGTGCAAAATCTGCACTCGCCCTTTCACCGTATTCAAATGGCTTCCTGATCGCAACAGTCGTTACAAAAAGACAAATGTATGCTCTCCTTAGACCCTTTCTTTTCATAACCACTGGTTACTAAAACATCTGCAACACTACAACAGATTTGCCTAACCTGCGCCAGGTTAAAGAACTGTTGCCAATGCTGCATGCTCGACCTTTCGTTTGGCTTGCCCATCGTTGTCCGCGATGCCGCTCTCAAGCTTGTCGCCCAAGGGCCCTCTTCCGAAATTAATAAGCAGTACTACGCCCAGAACACCGAAAACAAATTAATCGAAGGCCAGATACCCGAGGAATATGAAAAAACGGACTCCGCGGCTAGAGACCTTTTGAAACGACTGGCAACCAGTGAACCATACTACAAACGACCTCGAAGGAATAGAGATGATGGTGGGATCGCGAATAAAATTGGCCCAGGCCCGGTTAGGACGCGGGGGAGCGGTGGTGATAGAGGTCGGGGGGGCCATAAAGGTCCGATTCGAAATTTCCCATCGGCAGCTCAGCTACCTCCAGGCCCACAAGATACCGAGCCCCCTGCCGATAGGAGCATCACCTCTCTTTTCCTTCTAGGGTACCTACCCCTTCAATAGCAATCTTCCTATTGCTAAAACCGCGCCTTTGCCTATTTGAATAACCAATACTAACTAATTTCGACTTACAGCGTTGAAGACGATCTTGCAGAGCACGCTATCCGCACTTTCTTCTCGGCTTTCGGCCAAATACGATCTATCGTTTGTGTCCACCATTCTCGATGTGCGTTCGTAAACTTCCATACTCGTGCTGGAGCGGAAGCCGCGGCGGAATCGTGTCAAGGAAAGGCGATCATTGCAGGGTGTCCTTTAAGAATAATGTGGGGGAAGCCGCGCCCTCTCGGGAGCATGGACAGGACCCAGATTATGGCAATAGCTAAAGCTAGCCCGAAGGCTTCTAGCTCGAGCGTTGCCAATAACGGTGAACCCAACAGCGACAGCAATCCAACTGCCATGAGTCTCAATACTACACTGGCACCGCCCGGGTCTGAGGAAAGCGGGTTTTTATACCCCTCGCAAAGGCCGGAGTAGTCTTTGTTTGGGGAGGTGGTGATATTTTGCGCTTTAGGGATTTTTAAGGGTGTTAGGGCGTCATTATCAAGCTGTCAGGTTGCATTTTGGTTGGCGCGTTTATTGCACCGGATTTTTAGGCCTACACATTCTACCTAGGATTTGTACATTAATTTGTATATTCAGCTTGCTGCTTCTTGTGAACATCATTCGGTGCCTGGTTTCTTAAGATCTGAGGGAGGGAGGGGAGAGAGGAGAAGAGAAAAAAAAAATTTTAATTAAATGAAAACTAAAACTAAAGCCGAAAGAGTCGTCCTCTGTGGGCTTTTAGCTAGCTGCACCTCTCGAATTTTCCAACTCGGCCTTTCAATGGAGTTTTGATACTTTCATTGTCTCCTCTCTCGGTTTCTTCGTGTAGCCGTAATCCTACCCAGCGTTAACGCGTTAGATTGTCGTCTACTAGAGCAGGATTCGTAGGATAAAACGATACGATGGATCGATTCAGAAGTTAGGGGAGGTATCTACGTACTAAAATTTTCCTGCCCATCCAGTTTCTCTGCCTGTACCACATTCTGCTTGAGGAACTTGGCTACCTCGAAGGCGTGTTTGACCTTTTCATCCTTATTATCCATGCCACCGGGGTCTAGGTTACGCTCAAATTGCGTCCTAATCTCACGGTGTGAAGCTAAGAGTAGCTTAGAATCGCCTGTTGATCCGATATCATAAAAAGTCAGTTGGTGATGATCAAAAAAGTATTATCAAGGAGTTTTCGAATCAAAATCCACATTGATTGGGTACAAGGAGTCCGATAGATCCCGTAGACCGAACACGAACAGAAACGTAGACACCAACCTTGGAATGCTGCTTGTGCAGCACGAAGCAGTGCCCGGTAGGCGTGTAAAGCGCTCATTTAAGGTCATGTACCTAGTATTAATTCGGGCGGGAAATAGTAGGTACGTAAGTAGGTAGGTACTCAAGTATATAGAATATTGCGACGGTTGCGTTGAGAAACAGTCAACTGCAGAGTTTTTTTTTTTTTTCTTCCTTGCAGGCTGCTGTTTATAGGTAGTTATAATGTTTAGTCTAATCAAATTTAATTCATAGATCTGCTGGTCAATGCAATGCAGAACCGCGCCTGTGATGTGCAAGCGCTAGCTAGTTTTAAAATTTTGCAAAGCACCGGTTTTATGTCTATATGGATGTGCTTGGGTAGGTACTTAGGTACAATGTATACCTAGGTACCGGCACCTAGGTACGCACACGTACGGAGTTTTCGTCGCCATGTCTAAATCTGTACAGTCTTTGCGAAATATAAACAGGTAACATAAACACTAATACCATGGAGGACCGGAAGTTATCCGTTTCCCTTGACGGGAGGGGGATGAATGAATAATTTTGCGACACATGTACAACGCGATAATGCTAGACCGAACACCTATTCCCTAGGATGCCTGTCGCTTATACACGCAACAGTTGCGCAGCTTTCCTAAAGATAAGGTCTTCGTCGGGGAACGACATAGCCTCTAGCCCCTGAGCGTATGGAGTAGGAACCTCAGCTCCCGTAATTCTCTGCGCCGGTGAGTCTAGATAATCAAACATGTACTCCATCGAAAGGGCCAAAATTTCACTCGAAACACCGAAGCTTGGGAATCCACTCTCCACGGCGATCAAATTACCAGTCTTCTTGACCGACTTCACGATCGCCTCGACGTCCATTGGCTTTATAGATCGGAGATTGATAACCTCGGCCTCGACTCCATACTCTGATTTTAACTTCTCGGCGGCAGTTAAGCATTGTCCGACGCAACGAGACAGAGAAACAAGGGTGATGTCTTTTCCAACCCGTTCGATCTTCGCTTTCCCGAACTGCAGGAACAGTCTGATTTAATTTCACGTCTTTATGAGTTTTGCTCTGGGTCCTGGAAAACATACCGGAATAACAAAGTCATCCTTCTGAGCGGCAGCGCTCATTGGGAACGATTGTCCGTAGAGTAGCTCGTTCTCGAGAACCTGTTTATGCTACTATTAGCGGGCCTGCCTCGAACATGGTGTTCGAAGGTTCCTTACAACGACAGGGTTCGGATCTCTGATAGCGGCTTTCAGCAAGCCCTTTGCATCTTCGGAACTCCATGGGCTCACTACTTTCAACCCTGGGATCGAACCGTACCAGGCCGTATAGTCTTGGGTGAAATCTGGCAAGCTACGTCAGGCGGAAATTTCATTACCTGTCATTGTATGAGACTTATCTGTGTTGGGCAGCGACACCAGCAGCGAAGCCGTTGGGCCCACGAAACGTGATATTACAAGGTTGGATTCCTCCGCTCATGTAATGGGTCTTGGCAGCAGAGTTGATGATTTGATCAATCGCTTGCATAGCAAAGTTCCTATGCGAGTTGCTTTAGCCAATTGAAACAAAGCATATAGAAATTTCAACGAAAGGGATCACTAACCAGGTCATAAATTCCGTGATTGGTTTGAGCCCCGCAAGCGCAGCTCCAACGGCAAGACCAGCAAACCCTGATTCTGTAATTGGAGTATCGATAACCTATTGGTTTCCAGAACGACAAGAATGAGTATTTTTACGCGAGCAGGCAGATTGTGGCTGTAGACATTTAACCCACCCGATCAGGTCCGAATCTATCCAACAAGCCCTTCGTGACCTTGTATGCACCGTTGTAAAGAGCGACTGTGGTGTTCACATTGTCAGTGACACTCAACTTAGGATGTTTTTTCGTAGAGATAGTCGGTATACCTTCTTCGCCCAGTATGAAGACTTTAGAGTCAGCCTCAAGCTCTTCGGCCAGTGCTTCGTTCAGGGCATCACGGACGGTGTACTCCTTGACATCAGCCGCCGACGCCAGCATCCGCGTTTGGGTGGTGTTGTTAGATTTAGAGAAATTGGTGAGAGGGCGAGAGGTGCGAGAGGTGCGAGTCAGCGATGCTATTGACCGACAGCCTGGAGTATGCGAAACGCTATGGCTAAGCACTCCTCGAAAGCTACGAGATAGCAATCGTGTCGTCGCCAATGTCGCCGACATGTCGAGATATTAGGTTCGAGACTGAACGTAACTGGAAGGGTTATTGTGGGAAGAAGAATTGTGAACACCAATTCCTCACGGCCTGTTTAGGGAGTGAGTGTTCAGGTATGTACGCGGTATACTAGCACTAGATGGCTGGTGGGAGCGTGAGTGATGTTGATGTTGTAAGTCAGTACAATTTTGCGGTATCGGCAGGGTAAGGGAAAAGGCGTTGGGGAAATCAAAAATTGAGAGTTAAATTGATGACATCCTCCACGCCCGAGCGATTTAAATTTAGTTAACCATGCACACTCTGGCCAATTGCAATCTCTGCCTAAGTCCATACCTCATACCTCATACTTAGGTATGTAATTAAGTACATATATGTATAAGAAGTATCTATGTAAGTAGTACTTAGAATATCAACCCCCACGTCGACTTTGATAGAAAGTATGGCAGGCCTGGAGGTACGCGGGTTTGCATGCGTTTGTTGGGCGCTGCTTATCGATTACCTGGGTACCCGGCCAGGGCTGGTTGGCTTATGCTTTTACTTATATTCCTAGGTACTTGCCTAAGTAGGTAGTATACTAACTAGGTAGGTACATAAGTACTTACTTCCTTAAGTAGGTACCTACTTGGGTAATCCGGCCGGCAGCTTATAAGCTTCGATGTTACTAGCTCCTTCTCAAGAACTACTTGGGTGGCTTGCAATGTCAATGCACTTGAAATAAGTACTTGAGTACTTATTTACATACGCACTCGCATTTGTACTGTTTTAAAGAAAGTATCTGCACGAAAACTATCGCGCATAACAGGCAGCGGGTAACAAAAAAAAAAAGAAAAAGTTCAATTCATCTCTTTCGGCTCCATCATGATCGTACGTGATGAGCTCGCTATTTCGAACCCTGAGCTCTCAAGCCACCCCTTGAATTTGTTCCTCTCCAACCCGTTCCCCAGTCGGTTCCTGACCCGGCTCTTCTTGAGCTTGCCCTTGGCCATGCTCCTGAGTTTGCTCCTGAATTTCATTATCATCGACAAGATCTGCTGCGTCAAAGGTTTGTTTGCGACCTGAAAGGACGTCGACAATCCCCCTAAGATTGCGCCAGTATGCCTGCTTCGGTCGTCGATTCTCCCAATCTGTGTCGGTCGCCTCTAGAATCGCCATCGGTGTGAAAACAACCGCGGCTCCTTTGATACCAATCACCGCTGCCGATTCTGGGTTGTCGTGCACCTCCGCCTTAGTCCCTCCGTGGGTTTCCAGATACTGGATACATTTGGTGGCGAGGCGAACAGCCCGTACACGATCCATCGGCGATGGAGTTCCACCTTGCTGAACATGGCCCGGAATCGAGGTTCGGGATTCAAAGCGACCCTGTGCTTCCTCGCGAATCATATTGGCAATGATCTCGGTCGTGTAAGTAGCTGACGCCTTCTCATTCCTATACCCCATAGCTCAGTCAGCATTGAGATAACTCTGCCTGTATGGGAGAAGCGGAGAGGGGGTTGATAACCTCACCTTAAAATGATTTTCCCCGCTCTGTTCATTCCTTGATCATTCGCAAAACTTCCTCTTAGAGTATTAATGTCTTTCATGAGCGTCTCGAGCTTGATACCCTCTTCCGGCGTGTAGACAGCCAAAGCTCCTGTGGAAAGACCGCCCATCGTTGCAACATATCCACTGCGCCCTCCCTGGCATTCAACACTAGAAAGAGAGGGAAAACCCCCCGGAATTAGGAATCAAAAGTTGGTGTCATTGCCTTAAAAACATCAAGGCATGGGAATGGGGCTTCTTACACGAAAACTCTTCTTCTGCTGGCGCTGGCACTCTGTTTGATAGCGTCGCAATAATCGATGAGAGCGTTCAGACAAGTATCACTCCCGATTGAATATTCGGTTCCTGGCACATTGTTGCTGATTGTTGCCGGAAGGCATACCATAGGAATCCTGAACGCAGGATATGACTGCCGAGCCCCCCGGAGCTCCGACAAAGACTTATAGGCTTCGAACCCGCCGATAAGTAGTAAACCATCGAATTGGTACTTTTGGAAGTACCAAGCAACCATACCTAAGTCTACGCCAGGTTCCGTCCTATTGGTACCTATCTCACTTCCTCCACGAATAGCCCAGCCTTCAACACCAAGCCAAGTTAACTCTCGAACAGAATCATGACGTACCAGCCCCGGGAAGCCATTGTGAATAGCAAATGCCCGATGACCGCGACTTATGCAGTAAAGAGCTGCTGCTCTGGTTGCTGCGTTCATGCCCCCGGCGGGTGCACCTACGTGGACGATTGCGTATCGCTTGCGCTATCCCAGCTTATCAGCATATGAAAATGATTAATTGACTGAATGGAGACTGCATCTCTATATCTACCTTTTCTTCAGGGAGTCTTTCTTTTTCCTTCCCAGGTACGGTGGTTGCGATGAAAGCCCGATAGTACTCGTCGAACTCTGCATCCCGAAGTTTCATGGCGCGGTCAAATTCTTTGTTTTTTATGGCTTCAGCGACGCCTTTTGTCTACAGAATTAAAATTAGTTTGAACACACGGGGGGTTGTCTCCCTATAAACTGAGATGGAGCCATTTTACTCACCATTCTTACAGCCTCGACCAATGGCTTCCTCGTGATTTTGTTTTCCGTGATAGCTATCATTGGACTGGGGCTCCCAGGTTTCGCATTTACGATCGCTCTCACTGCTTCAACACCCTGCAACGATGCGAGCATCCTATCATAAGCGACGGCAGTGCCACCTCGTTGGACATGGCCTAGGCAGGTCACTCGTGTGTCGAGTTTCAAAACGTCAACAAGAACTTTCTTGACATACTCCGAAGTTATGGGCTTCAGATCCCGATCGATAGCACCTTCAGCGACGATGACGATCGTTTTTCGCTTCCCAAGTTTTCGGTGCTACAAGTTGCATTAGTCCCTATACCGGGAATTGAAATTCGGTGTATAAGACCACTCACCCGAGCTATAATATCACACATTTGTTTCTCCCAACCCTCGCCGGGAGGCTTTTCTGGGATAAAAATATAGTCTGCGCCGGTACTCACACCGGACATCACGGCCAACCAACCACAATGCCGGCCCATTACTTCGATGATGAAGGCTCTTTGATGGGAAGCAGCAGTTGCGTCAATGTAGTCCACAGCTTGGCAAATTCGGGCCAAAGAAGAGTATGCGCCGATTGTGGCATCCGTACATGACATGTCATTGTCGATAGACCCAACAAGTCCCGCAATATTTAACGTTTGGAAGGGCTCTGCTTGCTCCTTTGTTATCTCCTCATTGTTGATCAACTCTTCAAGAAGACCAGGCCACTCTTCTCGGAAGAGGTCGGCTCCGGTGAGTGAACCGTCACCACCGCAGACAATGAGCCCATCGATCCCATTTATGACCAAATTTTTGGCCGCTGCTAAGCGGCCGTAGCGCTGGCGAAAAGCAGCGGACCGAGCAGTTCCAATGAGTGTACCCCCCTCTGAGAGCCAACCGCGAACGTCCTCCCAACCCATTTTTTTGATTAGATCACCGCCTTGTACTAATCCCTCGTAGCCTTCGTATATACAGTACGCATCGTGACCCATTGCTATCGCGGTGCGAACGACTGCCCTAACAGCTCCATTCATGCCAGGAGAGTCGCCACCGCTAGTCATCACAGCAATTTTCCTCCTTTTAGCGTCCAAAGTAGGCTCGACGCTCGGGAGGATAGTTGGGTTCTGCTGTGAAGCTGTGGGCAATGATTTGACGATCGTTGTGAAGGGGTTTGGCTTAGATGTAAACCCCACTAAGGTGGACAGTGGGTCGTAAGTGTATATCTCAAAGGGGGCATGTTCGTTTGGTTGAGCTTGGTAGGCATATCCTTTCTTCTGGAGGAGCTCGATTATCTTGTCGAGCTTTGGGGAAAACAAGACCAGGGCCTGCTTTGCACCTCTCCAATCTCGGATATCCGTGGGTGGGTGCAACGTGGAGCTTCTTCTTAGAAGTTTCGGGGATGACGGTTCTCCTTCCAATCTTGTGGCTGTTACCAGCCGGATTTTGATAGTTATGGCGGTACCCTGATTCTCTTGCTCCGGGTCGGTATGAAGCCAGGTTTCTCTGTCACTGAGAAAGCAGAGATCGTCTTGATGTTTTCCAGCAGTAGGGTTAGCCCTGTCGTAGACCAATGTCTCCAAGAATCCAAGGTCGGTGTAATATGTGATCGTTTCATAAAACAGATCCTCATCGGGGGCGACTAGGGATATGAAGGAGACACCACTGAAGTGGCAGTTAGTATATAAGTCAGATCGAATTAAAGGAAGGGAGAGTTACGCAAGGTAGTTGTGGAGGTTCTGAGCGTCAGGAGTTACCATTGTGACGAGCGGTGGTGGTGGTACTACGGATAGCTGTCGCAGCCAGGAAAAGCACCAATTCCGTCCCCGTTGGAACAAAGACGTCAGCTTGGAGAGGATAACCGGGTGTGTAGGCTCGCTCAAACACTTTGAATGAACGAATGAACGAATGAACGAACGGATGAATGGATGTGAAGCTTGATAGCAGAATACCGGTAGGGGATAGCGATAGCGGTAATGGTCGTGAAAGTATGTACCTGACTTGGTATTGTAATAATAGTAGGGACTCAGCTCAGGTAGGTGGGAAGTAGGTTGAGTGACAGGAAGATGCCGATTCGAAGTGTTTATTTATTCCAATCGGCGCAAACTAATTGCTGGGACATAAATGGCAATTTAATTGGTTGGCTACCCATACTAGTACCTAAAGCAAACTTAATTAACGGCAGGAATCAAATCGAGGGCCCTCAACATTTGCATTTGCATTTATTTGGTACCGGTACTCTGTATAATATACTTAAGTATGCATACTATGATTGCGCATCGGCTGCAAACTCTCACCCGAAGGAGGGGTTGGAATTTGGAAACCAGCCAAGGTGGGGGCGAGGTCTTAAATACTTAGTAAGTACTTAGCTTAAGAGGGGCAACATCTGAGTACTAGTTAAGAGAGCTCGGGCCCCCACCCACCCGCGTGGACCCGCATGGATCCACAACCACCTTAACCAAGTATGTACGCGGTACATTACTTAAGTAGATTGGTTAATGCAATGGCTGATATCATTCTGAGACCACACCCGGTTCTTGGCTCGGTATAATTCGAGGCTACTGCGTAAGGTGCGTATAATATACGGCATGCAACATGCAACGCGAGTTTCCCCGACTGGACTATATACTACTACGACCCTGCATCTGGACAATGATAAGTACTTACAAGACGTACTATGTAAGTACATACCCCGACCTAGGTATTTAGTCTCGGAATCAGTTGTAATAAAAAGGCTATGGAACCGTAAATAATTAAGTTCGTACCTTACCGGTTGTCTCATATGCTCACCTAGCTATAGAGGCTTACTGGGGAAATGCACCGTGGAACCACAAATTCAAGTCGGACATGTACAGTCCGGAGCAAAGTATTCATATATGCATATTCATGCGTGAATTAAAGTAATACCGGGGAGACAACAGAAACCCAAGCTGCCGGAAATACCTATCACGCGTTGAACTAGCTGTCCCAGAACCAAGGGTGCTAGTATTTGGTCTGCATGCTGTTTCCCGTAGACAAAAGGGGGGGAAATAAAAGAACCTCAAGAAAACCACGCAGATATGAATGGATGAAGAGTACATGAAACACGGGTGAATGAGGTCAATATACTGCCATGGTGGCTGCTGATGCTAGTTTCAGAGGCTCACACGAAGTCTCAGCGAGTTCTGCCTCAAGGAGTGCATCCGAACGCGTATTGTCGATGCTCATATTCTCGACGATCGTGTTCAGGATTCTGTTCCGCTTCGCGGTCGGATTCGGCGCTTTACAGGAATCAGTCATTCAATGTTACCACGAAAACACGTGCATACTCATAAAGTGTGCGTGTAAGGGGGGGATAGCATACCTTTGTCGTTTTCTTGGAGATAGAATCGTCGCAACAACATTATAGCCTCCTCACGGAAGATGCCTCCAATTGCCGGATAGCACCTATCGATTCCAGCACTATGCATGAATCGGATCAATACTCTTGCAACCTTTCAAACCAGATACTTATTAGACAGTAAGGGCTTACTCCAAGTTGACGTGAAGGACTCCACCACACCCTCCGAATCGATCGTTGGAGCATCCAAAATAGACGGCACGGATTCCAAGTTGTCTGAGGGCAGATGCGCACATGATACAAGGTTCGACCGTGACGTACAAATCGACATTCTTGAAAACGGAGGCTGGGTACTTGCACAGAACAGTTTCGATCCCAGCAAACTCCGCATGGCGGTGGCCCTTTGTAACACAAAAGAGTTAGCTTTTGCGAAGAAGAAGAAGCAGACCTACGTATTTCAAAAAATGGCCCGAGGGGCAGAAGCACTTACGGAAAGAGAACGATTCGTATCATTCATACCCTTGGCGATAACCTTGTTATCCAGAACGAAGACACACCCGACTGGAACCTCATCGATAGAAAGTGCAAGCTCACCCTAGATAGTGTAGTAGTGAAATTAGTAGAGGCTCCAGCTTGAAAGGATGAAACTGGAAGTCAGTAGCGATGATTTGATTTAATCTCACCATTTCGAGAGCCTGTCGCATGAAGTATTCTCTGATAAGGGTTTCATCTTTGAGGGGGAAGTAGTAGTCGGCCATTTTGAATCTGAGTTTCCGGGTGATAGATGGTATCCTGAGGAATACCAAGATCTAGATGAAAAATCAGAGTTTGATGTCAGTTAAGGGTGCTTTGTTCTTTCTTGATACTATTCAAACAATCCTTCTATTTATTACGGTATGGTAAAAGAGTTGGCAAACATGAAAGAGACAAATATGGATATAGGAAATCTGGGAGGTGGGAGAACAGTGGAGAGGGAAAAACAAAAAAAAATTAGGATGATGATGATGATAATGATGATGAAAAGAAATTTATCAGCCCCCGGTAGCTATTACTTAGTAAGTAAGAGGTATCTGCTTAACAGCTGCCTAACAGTAAAGAATGGATTGATCGTAACAATGTAATGAATACGGGAGAAGCAAAGCACTTGGGGTCGGCAAATGTTGCTTTGGTAGCCGGTTGGTGAGGATAGCGGGGGGAGTGGGAGTAAATGAAAGAGAGAAATGATATAAGACACCTGCTCAAGTACTATGCTAAGCTACTAAGTAGGAAGTACCTACCTAGATACCGACCTGCTAGGCAGGTTACCTAAGTAGGGGGTGGGAAGGAGGAGATAGGAAGTCAGTTGCTATGTGAGCTGAGGCCCGCTGAGTGCTCGGCGATCTACGCTGAGAGCCCAAACTACTGTAATAGCAAGCCAAGTACTTAACTTGAAGTACTATATATCATATCGGTTTTGATGCTCACCTTCATAAAGAGACCCCGGAGGGACGCCATTATCGCCATTATCGCCATCTTAGCTTATAATAATATAGTCGAATTGGGAGACTAAGACCGGCCTATATATCAAAAAGTATTTTAGAAAAATGGTCGAAGGAGTACAAACTTGCGTTCGTGGCCGTCTCCCTCGCTTGAATTAAAATAGCATAGCGAGTACTAGTACTTAAGTAAGTAAGTAATTATAAGTCAGCAGTGAAATATAAATGTGCAAAATGCATATGCACCATACCAAGGTACATGGTACACGCGAAAAAGCTAATAATAAAGAAGAAAAAGTTGAGCGCTGTTTTAAGCAATTGAAAATCTCGTTGAGCTAAGCTGGGTTTGAAAGTTATAAAATTAAGATCAAGGGGCCGGCTGTGTAGTACGTAGTACGCGCGTAGACGGGGGATATATGATATGCATGCGCATGTATTAAATTTGAATTTGAGGCTATATACTTACCTAATAGCTAATTTGCTTACTTACTACTTAAGTACTTATATACCTAGTAAGTATATAATATATATTAATTATTAATTATTAATATTAATATATGTCCGTATGTGCTTTTGATCTGGCCGGCTTAAGCTTATATTGATGGTTAAGTTATTGCATTGTATTGCAATGAATATAATATTATATTGCAAGCTAAGCTAGTCCGTCCAGCTGGACAGGATGCAGTGCAGGGGTCCTGAAAACTTTGTCCCAACATCCGCCAACACATTTCCCCTCCAAATTCCCACAATTAAATTGCACTTGCAGCAATTGCAACTAGCTACAACGAATGTAATAAAATAAATGCAAATGTACTATAGATACTACATGATCATGATCATGATCATGGTATGATAAGTATATATATAAGTACATGTACAAAGCCTCACCTGGCTAGGCCTCAGCTGACAATGCAACTGGAATAATATTAAACCACAGCAGACTATATAGTACTAGCTAATATAACATTATAGCCGGTATCGGTAACCAAATATAAAGACGATCAATTGAATCGAATCGAATCGAACATTAATCGAATAAACCCCTTTCCTATATACGCCCGTATATAGGTACCTACTTACCTGTGTACCTATATCAAGTACGTATATACAGTTAATACCACAGCTTGTACCTCAAATTGCAATTGACTCGACCCCGGCTCCAAATTCTAGCCATTCCGTATACCCTTTAACAACGATGGCGGCCAAACCCATTGTACAGGAAGCTATCAAATATCTCAGGAATATTCAACAAAGGAACGGGTTTCTCAATGCCTTCGTGCGTGTTTCCCCCGAACAAGCCGTCACAGCACAAGCGATAGCTGCTTCTCAGAAATTCGAAACAGGTGACAGACTTTGGTTTACCCTTCCCGACCCTAGTATTATCATGGTAACATTATACTCATGTTTCCCCCCAACTGCCTAGGGAAATCTATATCTCCGTTAAATGGCTCAACTTTTGCTATCAAAGACAATATTTGCACCAAAGACATGGTCACTTCGTGTTCTTCATTGATGCTGGCTGGTACTTGACACTATTCAGTACGAAATTGTCTATCTAACATTAAACTAACCCGTGGGCATCTTGCCACGCCCTTCCAGACTTCATTCCAGAATACGATTCAGCCGTGGTCGCAAAATTAAGGGATGCCGGGGCGATAATTATCGGCAAGACGAATATGGATGAGTTTGGCATGGGGTATTGCCCCGATGTGACTTCTTTTTATTTCCCAAAACCAGGAAGATGAAGCCTCAGGGAACACATTTGTGACGAACTGCTAATCGATAGTAACCCTAAAGATCCCATTCTACCACAGGCCTTCACGGTCCCGTCAAAAATCCTAATTCTTCAAAACTCTCCGTATACTCTGCTGGTGGGAGTTCTGGGGGTAGCGCAGCCGCAGTGGCCGGGAGTTTGTGCTTTGGGTTGGTTTACCCCAACCTTCTAGGCTTCTTTAAGTCCAGGCCTGCATGGATAACTAATAACCAAAAACCAGAGCCCTAGGTTCGGACACTGGTGGATCAGTTCGACTTCCGGCTTCATACTGTGGGGTTGTTGGTTTTAAGCCCTCTTATGGATTACTTTCTCGACAGGGTGTCATAGCCTACGCAAATTCTCTGGATACTGTTGGGATACTTGCCCGAGATGTCCATTCTGCGCAACTAGTATTCGGTATGAACTTGAAGTCTCTGTAGAGTTCAATACCTTTCTTTCTTTCATTGCTAAACTAACAGGGTTTATGCTTTAAAGATTGTTTGAACGAGTATGATCCAGCCGATCCATCGTCCCTAGATGGCCACTCTCGACGCAAAATCCAGGATCATGTGGCCTTTCCGAAGCCTGCGGCAAATCAGAGCTGCCGGTGGAATTTCGGTGTTCCAGTCGTATGTTGAAAATCAAGTTGACAAATTCAGCACCTAAGCAGCTAATTCTCGTCCCAGGACTACAATGTTGTCGAAATATCCCCCCAAGTGAAAAAGGCTTGGATATCGACTCTTGCCATTCTACGTGATCTAGGTCATAATATTAAACCTGTTAACATGCCATCGACACGGCACGCTGTAAGTTCATATTATATAATAGCGCTCGCCGAAGCTTCCTCAAATCTCGCAAAATATGATGGGATCCAGTTTGGACCGCACATACTAGCCATTTCAAAGCCCGCCAACGGCATCTCCCCTTCATTGCAGTTGGTAGTGGCAGCTAGGGAAAGGGGTTTTGGGAAAGAAGTGCGCCGCAGAATTCTCCTCGGCAGCTATAGCCTAACTTCTGAGTATGGCCTTCGCGATCTAAACAGATCTGAGTGGTTATTCAAGGCTAACTGGAGTATTCTGTATACAGGGCAATGGAGAATTACTTTATTCACGCGCAGAGAATAAGACGGCGGATTAAAGAGGAATTCGATGGTATATTCAGCTCCCCGAATCCTCTTGGTCCGACGCAAGGGTCACATTTGGACCCCGGGGCTAGCGTTGATTTCCTAATATCTCCTGTGTCGATTTCGTCCGCTCCAAACCTCGAGGAAGTGACAAAGGTGGACGCCTCAGGAGTGGACGGTTACATCAATGATGTTTTCACAGTTCCCGCCAGTATGGCAGGACTTCCAGCTATATCTATTCCGGTACACGGGGCTGGAGGTTTACCAATAGGCCTTCAGGTAACTGCGCAATACGGCGATGAAAAAAATTTGTTCGAAGTTGCTACATTGATCGAAAGCCTGTTGGAAGTCGATACTAGGTCAACTTAAAAAGGAATATAAAAGAAGAAAACAGTTAGAATGGGTTATGAGGGCTCCTGTGTGAAATGGCAGCGAATCGTGGAGGGGCGTTAAGAAATTTTGTGTGCTCGATTTCCATTAACTATCCTCAGTCGTCTTCCATCAAGAATATTCCTTTCCTCCCACTGTACTCTGATATCCCCCTTTTGACCGGCTCCATCAAGGTTTCCAACCCAGTAGCTTCTGACCATTTAGTTATTTCATAAGGGATGTCTCGAAATTTCCCATCACGAATCCAGCCAAGGATGTCTATGATCATTTGAGACTTAACTGCCTCGTTTCCCTTTGACCATGCCGATATCCAAAATCCATGGCAATGGATGTTCTTAAAAATCAATGCACTGGCGGGTACTGAGAATGGTAGCTTTGACATCGCACCGTATGTAACAAGGTGGCCATTTTGCCTATATTATGGTTTCGCCGACGCATCAGCTTTAAGATCCGAGAACAACTTTATGCAGATATACCTCCACATTTAAGCTTACCCCAGAATCCGAGCCAGGTTTGTTGCAGATTCACCACCAACACAATTAAGTGCTAATTTAACTGGTTGCCCTCCCGTCATTTTGGCCATACTTCTTCTATCTTTGGCCTCAGCTTCTGTGATGACTTCGGTGCCGCCCAGGGACCTAAGCTCCTCCTTTAGTTTTTGAATTCCAGGGCGGTCCCTGACAATATTGATACTCTTGAGGCCCCATAGCCTACCAATCTGAATAGCGGATCTTCCGACTCCACTATTGGCAGCGTTTTGAACAAAATAGTCCCCGGGTTCTAGTCCTGCGAAATCATTGAGCATACGATATGCCGTCGAAGGATTCACCGAGATCGTAGCAGCCTGTACAGGAGATATTCCCTCTTTGTCGGGTATCATTATTAAATTGGCTTCTCTAGCTTGAGCATACGTTCTCCAAGTGCCGAAGTTTGGGCCCGACATTATCGCCCATTGGCCAGGCCGGATAGAAGGGTTAACCTTGGACCCGCATGATACAATCTCGACAAGACCTTCATTCCCTGGAACTGCACTCTTGCCACCGGTTCCTAGTTCCAACGTGAATTCTGGCTTTTCAGGGTACACCCCTTCTATCTTTAGTTAGCAGAGTCAGCGTGGAAAAATCTAGTAATAAATTCGTCGTATTATCTTTGGTTCTCGGTCGGAACGCTAGGCCTCTGTCGTGGTATCTACATATAGATTTATGATTGTATAAGATTCGAGAACGTACCTGGTTAATATCTGCAGGATTAATCGGCGAAGCAATAAACCTGACATTTATGATGTCATCGTATGGAGGAGGTACCGAATAAGAATGTAATCGATACGAATTGTTAGCCTAACGGGGTTCATACAAAGGGGAGGGCTTGCTACCCACTTTAAAACCTTTTCTGGTTGACCAAAGTCCGAAAAGACAAGGCACCGGCTGTGCGCGTAGCCAAACCGGGTGGAATAGTGCCTGTTGGTTGTCAAAACACGCTTGGCTAGACCGACGCGGCGGAGCATATGTGATGGTGTTTTCATTTGTCCTTGAGCCTAAGTTAAGCTCAAGTGCCCCCCTATTGCATTTGATATCAAATGATGTTTACCAACTCGAAGGCCTCGGAGGGTCGCGGCGGTAATGAGTACCTAAACTTAGTATAACGTGAATGCCGGTGCCGCGTTATTTAATTTAGTGGATGGGGTTTTAAGAAATCCCGTGGGGGGGCACAGTCGATCAAGTTGCAGTTGCAGGCAGTTGAACGTTGAGGAGTCCGCCGACATGACATATATTAAGTAACTAAGTAAGTAAGTAGGTAAGTACGTATAGTAGGTACTTACTAGGTACTTACTTAAGAAGAATCAACATGCAACATGCAACACCCGCCGATTAAATCAAAGATTTTAACTTACATTCGGTGTACCGGCGTTATAATTACCGCCAACCGAAATTTCGTGGGTATAATATATATATATATATATATATATATGATGTAGGTATAGAACTCGAACCTCGCATCTTCGGTCACAATTGCTTTGAATTCTGACATATGCATAGGCCGCCTTCACCTTCTTTTGCAAATTTTGGGCTCCAATTGCTTGAGCCCTCACCTCTGACAACACCCGAGGCATCCGTGCCGGAAAACCCGCTATTCCGAGCTGGTTCTCCGGTAGGGCCCCGTCGAACACGAATGACACACTACCGTATGTACTGATACCGACCTAGGTATTTCCCCGAATACCTTTGATTCGCTGTTGTAAACCGATACTTCTTTATTCCTATTCATCCTCGGATTTTACCTCGACATTCGCGTCGGCTTGCTTTGTTTATCCTTGAGTTTTTCTTCTAGTTCGATTCTCAATGTCCTTTTGCCCTTTCAAAATTTTCTAGGGCTGACGATATCATCAATGTTCTGAGGTGCAGTTTTCAAGACTCAACAAATATCTTCATACGTATTTACCGGATTCCTAGGAATCCATTGGTTTACTACCGGCATTCTTCCTCTAGTTTCAAACCCGGAGGCTGTGGATAATTCCCTGCTTCTTTCTCGGGTGCTCTATCAAAATGAATTTATAGAACCTTGCATTGTCCTCGGAAGCGTTGGAACCCACGTCTTGTCTGGTGTGGCTTTGCGTGTTATTCGCAGGGCCCAACGATATAAGAACTTTGACCAAATAATCTGGTTCAAAGACCTAAATATCCTACAGGGCACTGGTTATCTCTTGATTCCAACGGTTGCTATTCACTTTGGCATCATTCGGCTTCTGCCTTTTCTCAAAGATGGGGGAAGTGAAAGTATTGGGATCAAATTTTTGGGACACGGATTTGTCCAGTTAAGATATCTCAGTTGGTTGATCTACCCCACTCTCGCGGTAGCTAGCACATTTCATGTTGTCCAAGGTAATAACACCACATTTATTCCCCTTTCTAGCAGATAACTCGCTAACCTTCGTCTAGGCTGGGCTCGATGGCAAGGTTATCCGAAACGCTGGAAGAGTCCAACGGCGTGTCTTATTGTTATCGTCTCTGGGGTTTGGCTTGCGAGCATTGTAAGAATATCAAGGATTGGAAGAGCTGTTGGCCACCTTGGGAGGCATTATGATGAACTTTACAATGCCGTACTTAGTTTTAGCTGGGTTTAATCAGATTCATCCGATGTGAACGTCTATAACCTAAAACTGAACATGGTCCTAAGTAGTTATCGCATATTTCAAAGTGTAGGCCTTGTAGGGTCGTATACGTCGTAATCATAATCGTCATCTGTATCACTTGGGAGGTTTCCGCCTATTTCTCTCGGCTCTAAAGCTTCCATACAAGAAACACCGCCTCCAGGCTCGTCCGTAAATGCCTTCTTGAAACCCATAGGCTGCTTCTCTTTTTTGTGCTGATCATCGCTAAACCCAAAGGCACTCTTGAATCCCTTTTTTCCAGTGCGTGATGCTGAATCATCGGAGAGCTTCGAGCCGCCATTGTCTCCTTGTGGCCGGAGAGGCTTTATAGTTATCAGACCGGCTTTCTCTTCTGCACGACGCTCCCGTTCTCTTCGTGCTTCAACGGATGATGCTCCCCTCTGCATTTGTTTCATTTCCATGAACCTCTAGAAACAATTGAAGGGACAAGCGATGACGAAAAACACGTTAGCAAAAATTGTTATGGTGTAATATATGAGGTTCATACCTTCTTATGTTGGTGGTCATATGAGGACTCATGAGCCTCGAATTCATTCATTCGTCCATAGCCCTAAGCCAAGGGGGGTGTGACTTAATAATTTGATATTTATAAGACTATATTTTGAGGATTTATCCCCAGAATCAGGGGGGGGGGGGTACTGAGATACCTTGCCGCATAGCTCGCCTTTGGGCACAGGGCGCGAACATTGCAATGGTTAGCTATCCCGAGTAGGGGGGAGGAGCTGGGGAGCTCGCGGGAATTGCTCACAATAGAACGATTTTCTAGCATCAAGTGCACTTTGGGTCTATATATATAGCAAATATGATTGTGAGCATGATTCAAATTTGGTTGTTTGCGAGCTTTCCAAGGGAAGAGGGTGTATATTTACCAACGGAACAGGGACGGAAGTCGAGTGACTGCCTCTTCCACCCTATGTGTATGTGTAGAGTTTGTCGTGAGCATCATATGATCGCTACCTAACCAGGTTAAGTATTAGGGTAGACTCACCCGCGGCATGCTTATTTGGCGTGAATGAAACGGTGCAAACCGGTGCTTCAGCGGGTAAGTAAAGCAAGTAAGCAAGCAAGCAAGCAAGCAAGCGAGACGGTATGTATGCGGATTCAGCTATGTCTGCAATGTACCTACGGAAGTAGGTATTTATGACTTGACGCTACCTCGGATCCAGGCTAGTATGTATGTACATACATTGGCTAGGTGAAGAACTTTGGGATTACGCGATTTCGATGTTTGTGGTTGTATTCAATATCAATATTTGCGGGTGTCGCGCACGTGTGAATGCGAATTCGTGAAAAATCGATCGACGTATATCATATAAAGTATGTACTTAGCTACTTACTTACTTAAGTAGGTACTTAGCCTAGTTGTGAAGTACGTAAGTGATGCATGATGGACATATAATGTGCATGCAAAGTCGTGTTTGGTGTGGTTGACGAGAAACTGTTGCCAAGCCTCGCGCCAAGCCGTAAACTCGTTCTGGAAACCTCCCCCAAACTCCAACCTTTGCTGCCTGGCTTCTGCCAGGAACCCAGCCGTTGTTACCTCCTCGCAATCTCATGGAATCCTTGCAAGGACTGCACCGGGGCACCTCCTGTGGAAGGGGTAGATCACGGCGTCCGGCCCGAAGTGCTTCGTCAACTCAGCATACATTACTACGTACATGTACGTATGTACGTCGACCTCACCTCCTTTTAAGCTTTTCATCCTCGTTGCAAATGCGACCCCGCGGCGCTGTGAATTTGGCTTTGATATTTACACCTGAGGCCCAGAGTACATACGAGGTACGTCAGTCGGATAACAATATACTGCTGAGCATGTGCTGATACGCCATCCTTACTCGGTACGAAACACATGTTGAGGGTAAACAAACATCGCGAAGGCTAAACCTGGTCTCGAGGCTAAGCCAGCTGCAGCACATACGGGCAGGATTTGCATACGCTTTTCCTGTCAGCCATTGTGAGGTGGCGGACGGACCCCTCGAACCTAATCTCAAACGCCACACCCCTGGCGAATATGGGACCCAAAACACAGCTATGGCACGGGTGCTTGTGCATCCAATCCGCACCTAGCGGATAAACAAGGGAGGTTAACTTGACTGGGCGCAATCTGATACTATGAAATTGTGTATGAACATGAACATGAACATGAACATGAACATTGCATTCTGTGTGCTGTGTATGTACAAGTCGATACTCTACTTTGTACCCCGTAGATGTGCACCTGCTGGAGACGCATACAAGCGATTCCAGATGCATTGCGCAGGGTTCTTATATCTTATAAGTTGTAAGCTGCCAAGACACTTCTGCTTCGTCAATTAATATTAATATACCTACCCACATGAGATTGTGCATACGTATTAATATTACAATGTACATGTACATGTACATGTACTTGTACTTGTACATACTTACATTATAATTAACGACATTGAGTTACAGGTACAGGTACAGTGCGCATACACAGTCCACCGACTCTGATACGCGGACGGAAGCGGTATTGTCGGTGCAAGGTTTGAGATACGATTCATTTTTTCTGCCTCCCGACACTAGCTGCAGCAGTGCTTGCTGCTACACCACATCCCCAGGCGCCCCATCGAATCAGAAAGCAGCGCTCGGATTAGAATATACCATGTTTGAATTAAAACCGACGGATCGAAGGACAAGACCGAGGCGGAAGAAGAAGAAGAGAAATAAGGGCTCCTGCGCTGTGTGTGTTGGATAATGCCCACTGAGACGACAGATCCCGGACCCTGCCCGTCCTGAATTTACATGTCAATCTTCATATAATTCCGAGGATTGTCCGCCTGGTTGGCCATTCCTTCTCTTCCTTGTGCTCTTCTTTCCAGTTTTTGTCTGTTTCTTTCGAATTCACTCCTTTGGCACTGGTTTGGTCATTTCTTCCTCTCCTTCTTTCTCTTCTTCTTTTTTTTCCCACACACTCGCTTGGTCGCTCATCCATACCTCCAACATCATCTACTTCTACTTCTGCTTCTTTTTTTTTTTTCTCTTCTACTATACTTCCACTTCTACCTCCACTTCTACTACTACTACTTCCTCTTCTTCTTCTTCTTCTTCTTCTTCTTCTTCTTCTTCTTCTTCTTCTTCTTCGTCCTCTTCTACCTTTTCCCGCCCGCATACTGCACCGACAGACGCCTCTTTTTCTTTTCCCTTCTTTTTTTTTTTTCCCTTCTCTCTCTTCCCCTCCTTCTCCCTCCCCTCTTCGCTCCCTCCCTCTCGAGTCCTCCTTATATCATATACTCAGTATATATCTATATATAAAGTAGTATATATATATAAATTAAAAACCCCCCCGATTCCGAACTTTAGTTTTTATATACACCTACTTAGGTGTATGAGAAAGCTATATAGATAAGAAACGACTTGCTTCCTGGGGATTCCGACTCTTCTCTTTCTCTTTCTCTTTCTCTTTTACTACCTAGCCGGTCTCGAGCTCGTCGACTTTTCTTGAGCTTAGCCTCAGCCATATTCGAGGTCCTATACGGATAATAAGAATCAAACACCACCTTCATCGCAGACTCATCATACGGTTTCTTGCATATCTGCGGTGCTGATATGCTGCCAATGAGAACTTCAAACTAAACATACAAGGTTAACAATATATTCAAAGTCGCCCATCAGTTGACAGTTTGTCAACGGTCGTTCTTTTAGCTGGGTGCATACTTTATATCCGTGTCTTTGTTTATATATATCTATTCCTTGAACGATTAGTCGACGGCATCTCATCTGTACCGATCCCTTATTTGGTGTCCTACTTACCATACGGCTGGTCCTGTTCGGTGGTCTGTATCAGCAGCTTCTCTCAAGCTACTGGTTGTCTGGGATTGTTCACTTCAGCCTAGACCTATCTATATTTCCAGGCCATAACTAAAAAGGTCCCATATCACCATTCAAAATTTCCTAGAGTTAGCATATCATCCTGGGGAAAACGGCCCTCCGAGATCAATGGAAAGAGCAATGTACGAGCCGAGATTCATCTCGCGGGATCAACCTGTTATGCAACCCGGGGCTAATACGGAGAGAATGGCCGGCAATAATGTTTTTTTGCGATCACCAGTCTTGAACTCGTTCGGTGATCGCGGAGATGGGGTGGATCATAGTGCGGAAGGGGCTGCATCAGAAGCATCAACAGTCGGCCGTGCGGATCATCTATCCCACAATTCTAGCATCGGCCTTGATACATCTAGAGAATCAGCTCACCTGGCGCCAATGGACCTCAGCAAGTTAGATAAGCGGAAAATGAAAAGGTTTCGGTATGTTCTCCCTCCAGCTTATATTCCTTGTTGACTAGGCTGTATAAATCATCGACTTAGCACCTTATATAGGGCACCACAGCTGACTAGGCGATCATAATCACAAACTAGACTTACTCATAATCAAACCCGATACCTGATGAGCGAGTTCGCCAGGCAGGCCCACCCGGATGCTGCCCATCGGGAGAGGTTATCAAGAGAAATACCGGGACTGAGCCCTCGCCAGGTTCAGGTATGGTTTCAGAACAGACGAGCCAAATTAAAACGAATGAGCAGCGATGACCGTGATCGAATGATGCGCTCTCGCGCCCTGCCAGATGAATTCCCTCTTCTCCAGACCCTGCACTCGTATGGGTCCTCGAAGTTGACTGAGGCTCAATCGTCCCCGGTGGATACATATACAGGCAAGCACTCGGATATGAAGCCCATTGGATACCAAACGATCCAGAGACATGTCGCTCCGGATGTCGCAGCCGGTAGTACTCCCCATAACCCGGCATATACCCCTCTTCCTTTTAGCCCACCGCGTCCTATGGTCGGACTTCCATCCCCTGTTTCCGGTGCAAGTGGCGAAAGGTCCTCTTTTCCATTTCTATCTACCCCGGTCGGACCGAAGCAAACTCGAGGGAACCCATTCTCGTCGCCTCCCGGCCGCGAAGGTTTTAGAACCCAGCACCAGCACATTCCTCAACAAGCCAGTGTCCCAAGGACCTTTTCAGACCTGGCCAGTCTCTCAGAGGGTCAATCACAGACATATTCCCCCCCAGCTTTAAGCTCTGAAGGGTTTACCCATGAATCGAAGGGATTTTTCTTACACAACCAGACTGATGGGTTTCCGCGTAATTCGTCAAATGGCCAAGTAAACCAGGCTTCCTATATTACGAGCACCTCAGGTAAGGAAACACAGCTTTTTATCACTTTCCTTGTTTCTTTCCTTAAGACGCGTCCGAACTGATAATGATGTAGTTTCGACCTCACAGCCGTATCCATCTCCCCACAAACCAGATTTCAGCCCTCCTCTGAATCTCATCCCCTATAAATACCAAATGCCAATGACACCACATACAGCTGGTACATCTTCATTCTCCGAGCAAGCGCTTCAAGCTTCACCAGAAATGATGAATTTGCCGCAACAATTAAGCGCCCCACCCGAAGCCACAACCTTTAGCACATCATACCTAACATCGGCTACTTCCAATCCATCTTACTCGCCTCACACTGCATTTTTAAGTCCAAAGTCACCTAGTTCAAAGGCAACATCGTTTGGTCGCTGGTACGGCCACAGGTCGAGAAGGTCATGCTCGCACCCGCCTGACTTGGTACATGCTCCAACGGCTACAGTATCATGAGTTTGCGCTCCTAAATTGCTTTCTCTTCTACCTAGCTTCTGGAAAATGGGCTCCCTCGAAAACTCGCCGTTTGAATAAGAACTGCTTGTTATCATTCTCACTCTCACTCTCATCCTCGTTCTTTCTTTTCTCTCATTTTTTTTTCTTTTTTAAAAGGGTAGAATGAATACTTTTCCCGCAGATTTGCATCACCAGGATAGAACATGATATCTGGGAATATCTTGGTTCTATTGCTGACGAATCTTCTTTGCTATGATTTGACTCCTCTGCGCAAAGCCGTCTTGATGGATTATGTCTTATACCCTGCTTTGTGCTGTTTTTGTCTTTGTATCCCCAAGCCTTGGTCTTTGGAACTTCCAAGTTAGCGATTCTTGTCTGATATTTTTTCCAGATATTTCTTTTGTCTACTCTTCTGAGCCGAGCTGTCCCACGGTGCCATGTGCATGTCTCGGACCGTCGCTGCGGTTGATTGCTCTTATGTTCATTGTTTTCGATATTTACCACTGTACATACATAAAACACATTTTGCAGGCATACGCATGCGTAAGCTTGTCAGGCATGGCTGGCCGTTGGTAAGTAGTGGTCTTCTTTTTCTACCGTCTATCTCGCCACGACCCCACCCAAGCCTTTCCATATACCAGTACTGTTCCGGACCCTTCGAGTTGATATCGAGCGGCATTTGAACTGCACTGATTTTCTAAGTGATGATACTGGGTTTTGAGAATCCGCAATGCATGTACATAGATCTAGAACTTCGAAAATACAAGAAAAAAGAAAATCAAAAAAAACCACCCCCTATGATAAACTGTGGTATTGTATGTTGGTCTGAGCACTTAGCTATGATAGAGTGGTGTGTATAAAATAAACATATAAACATACATACCAGCCTTGAATCCGGGCGCTCGCGGCGGAGATAGACATACTTATCCTAACCTGCTTGGAATTAAATTAAATGCAGATGGTGTTGGCTGTGTTGGGAATTCTATTGACAAAAAACAAGGTCGAACTTGTGGTTACACCGCCAAGCCCGCCTCATCAGCCTCCTCAAAACGCACGTCAGCCCTCTGTCGGATGAGACACCCGGCCCTGTCGCATTAATATTCAAGCCCGCTTGAAGCTTTCTTCGAGGACAAAAATCCGTATCATAGACGCATCTGAAGACATTAAATCAAAACAGGTTTTTGGAACATCCAGATATCCCTCCTCAACCTCGATTTTTCTGTCGCTATAGGAACACGTTGGAAAACCGCATCTCCCGCTTATCTTCGGAGTTACAGGATCAGTTTTTGTACGAGGGCCCACGTAACGGTATTTACTTCTCGGGTCCTCTAGCTGTGCCTCAAATATAAGGCGACTGGAGAGCTCAAGGCAAAATGTCCGGCTTGGAGAAAGCCCTATTTAACCTCAAGGTGTGTAGCGCGCCATAGATCCCATGTTTGCTACCGGGTTTGCTGATAGTACACCCCACAGTTTACGGAAAAGCAGCTCACCCGTCAAGCGGCGAAGGCGAAGCAAGAGGCTGCAAAGGATGAAGCGAAATTAGAAAAGGCTATGAAGCAAGGAAACCAGGATATCGCCAAAGTATACGCCCAAAACGTCATTCGAAAGCAGAACGAGCACCTCAACCTTTTGAGACTTGCGAGTCGTATCGATGGTGTCGCAAGCCGGGTTCAGACAGCCGTAACGATGAGACAAGTTTCGAATAGTATGGCAAATGTCGTGAAGGGGATGGACGGTGCTATGAAATCAATGAATCTTGAAAAGGCATTTATTACTTAGGCCCGCTGAGCTTTGCCGCTGCTAATAATTAAATATAGATTTCGATGGTGATGGACAAGTTTGAATCGCAGTTTGAGGATTTAGATGTTGCAACTAGTTATTATGAAAATGCTACTACCTCAGCCAACGCTATAAACACTCCACAGGAAGATGTTGACCGACTGTTGGGGAAGGTGGCGGATAAAGTGGGAGTTGAGCTAGATCAAGAACTCAACGCTGCGACACCTGCGAGAGGGATACAACAACCTACAGAAGTTGAGGAAGAAGGGCTAGGGGAGCGTCTGAGGGCCCTCCGGAATTAATGCAAACAGCCCTGGTACTGCACTTCTTACTCGTGGGATGTTACGGGAACGAGACTAAGGTGTTACGTTGGTAGACAAAATTTAATTCTAATTGCCAGGAATTGGCAACAGGTTTGGTTAAGGCTGGGCCCTGGCATCTTCATTGTGAATTAAATCCGGTCTTTTGTCATGTACGCTCGAAGTACCATTTTGATCATCTGGCAGCCCTGGACCAATCGATGGCCAAATAAGAAAGCTTCCATCTGCACATCCCATATTATTATTCTTGGGTCCCAGTAGCTATGGAAAGCTTGCGGATCATCTGCAGGGGGTATGATATGCTTAAAAGATTTATACGGAGGGAACAAGTAGGAGTACAAGTCTAGTCGTGTACAGCGAAGGCTACGGCTATCGTGGCATCAACGGCGTTTTGGGACCGAGACTGGGAGTACATCATAGCAGAGGCCGCTTCATCTTAACCAAGTACATTTTAGCCCCCCATATATATTTTCCTATAGAAATTTCAGCGGTAGATTTAGTTTACGAGATAGATGTCGTGTATAACTTTGTATCCCAGTGCAAGCTCTTGATGTTTTTTAGGTGAGGGTTTAAACCATACCAAGGATTGGCCCCGAGACTAACCAGGATAAAACTTATGGGAAATTTCCTAAGGATGATATTCATTTACGATGCGGATTTCACACCGTCGGAGTCCATGGTAGCATGTATATCTTTTTTGTTGTCCTTCTCTGCTTCTCTGCCCCCTGCAGTAGCCCCGTCCTCAACTGCTATTAGTGATTTAACAGACAAGTCGTCGTCAAGACTTTTGAATAATTGAAATCGATCCCGTGAAGCGATCCGCAGGGACCTCCAAGTAACATTTGAGATTGATTCATCTATGTCTTCTTTCTCTTGTTCTGTGGATGCGAAGTCCTTGTCGAGGTGATATACTTCAATGGACTCGGTATAAGATCGGTAAGCAGGAAGGTTGATTCTAGAGTCATAATATTGTAAGTAAAGGACGGGAAATGCGGGGGAAGGGAAATTACTTCTGGGCATTTGAGCGGATTGATGTGACCTCAAGCGAATTATCGAACCAGACCCTTGTTAAAGCTGGTGCACCAACCACCTTCCCTAAATTATTGATTAACGTGGCGGCTTCATGTCCAGCTGATTTGGATACAGCTACATGTTCGGTTGATGCTGGCTCCATTTCAAATGACACGCAATTCTCGGCCTTCCACTTAACCCAATTTTTTTCCCGCGTCAGCACGGAATCAACGGTACGGGAAAACAACAACCCATCCATCCCAGATTTATAATTGAGGGCATTGACAACATCTTTCTTTGCGGCTTCCGCCCATTTATCCTTGAGGTTGGTTTAGAGTGTTAGTGGACCGAGATGTAAGGTGAAAATGGTGGTAATACCTACATCTTCCTCAGACAATGTATAAGCAAATTGAACAGACCTATTTTTTGCCTCTGCTTCAAGATACTTCTTGTACTTGGGAGACAAGCTCAGAAGAAACTCAATTACGATGAGAAACTGAACTAGTATGTGTCTCCGGAACACTAGGTCGCGGACCTAAGTAGCATAGTTCATTAGAAAACGGTCTTCTGTTTAGGCGGTGGAAGGTGCGGACTTCAAGATCAAATAGCTCCCGGCTCGTTAAGTACTTCGGGTTGTAGCTATCTAGTTCGTCATGTTTCACCTCCCCGTCCCACTTCCGCTTGTGACTGCGTCTAGTATCTGAGGCTACGACAGGGGCATTATGTCCATACTCGTCGATGGATGACCTGAACGCTTTTATAACAGTATCTAACGATTCTTTGAAATTATCAAGGATATCTTTTTGGAAAAGTCGGATCGGCTCAGCAAATTCGTGTTGGGTGGACCATAGAACAGCGTATAGTCTGTTACACGCATCGGCAGCTAGAGCTGCTTCCGAGGAATCATTGTCCCTTAAACTAGGCGAAAAGTGGTCCGGTTGGTTCCCGGCAAGCTGGCTCCACCGTTCGTCGAATGTGGTTTTGTTTTCCACATGAAATTCTCCTCGAAGATTTACACCGGAACGTTCGGAGAGCGGAAAGCTTTTAGTTAAGAAAACGAAAATTCGCCCACAGAATACCGTGTCTTCCGATTTCGATAGCCGCCGAAGTAGCTCGTTGCATAGCCTAAGCAAGATAATTCCCTTCCCTTTTGTCCCATCCACGCCCTAGCAGTAGGGTAAAATTAGCGATCGCGATCAAAGCTCAATACCCAAAAAGGACTAGTGTGGGATTGTAGCCGGTTCATACCACGGTCAAGCGCTCAATACGAGCTTCCAAGTAAGAGAAGATTCGTTTGCAGTTGTCTATCGGTTGCGTATCTAGCGTTTCTTCGATCAGGGCGAAGGGCAACTGAGGGTCACTAATTTCTTCACAGTAGAGTTAGAAACTATGAAAGAACACTATTAGAAAAATACCTGCGGTAGGTGCGAACCTAGTTCTGAGAGGGTAAGGATCAAATCGAAAAATTGGTACAGTTGTATGAAGGGCTCTAGCGAAAACTCCAAATCAAAGTCTGTCTACTGAGCTGTAAGCATCATAATTGGGTCGGGGAACTTGTGAATGAAGAAAACAAACCACAATATCGTAGAGTAGCTCGCGCGATGCGCACTCCATGCATGATTTTACATCGTTGTTTTCGGGAAAGCTTTTGAATGTGTCGAAATACCTATCACGATCGATCGTTGTAGGAAACGGCGGCACGTCGGATGAAGTTGAAAGCGATTGGAAATCAGGTAGTGTGGTTCTTAGACTGTCCTTTAGCCTAGCGATAGCGGAAGGTGTTTGTTGTACCATCCTGCCCTTTGCCCACAGTGATCTTAGCGACAGTAGTGATGATGATGATGATGATGATGATGATGATGATGATGATGATGATGATGTAGTAGTGGTGGTGGTGGTGGTGGTAGTAGTAGTAGGAGCGAGGGTGTGAACGAAGAAGGAGCTAGAGTTTGGCGAGTTTTGGAAGGACGCGTTCGTTTGCAACCTCACCACGAAATCCTCTGACAAGAACGACCGACTTACAACTACAACTGTATACTTAACTTAAGTAAGTATATCCTCTTCTAAGCATCATAAATACTCGCTCAAAACATATTTAGGTAACGCCTATCACCTTCATAGCTACGCCCGATTTCGATTACAGAGATGTCGTCGTATGCTCCAGATCTTGCCGTGGTCGAGGACGGCCAACCAACCTTTTCCGACCTCCAAGGCGAGAGTATCTACGCTGTTACTGCGAATAAACACTGGTTAAAGCCCGATATACAGGTTCGGTTTTCTCCGAAAGTTGTTAAAGAAATATACTCGGCTTTGGAAAAAGAGGGGTTCCCGCAGCGGGATATTTTACTTCTTGAGAATCTTCAATATATGGAACGGTGCGTTCAACAAATCCTCCCTTCACAGGGCAGCCATCCATCCTGAACAATGGGCAGTTCTTTTGGATTTCGGATCGCTTTCGGAAACCAATTCATACTCCAGACGCACCCTAGGTCTTACTAGGGACTCCACATATTCTTGGATCCGGGTTTTGACGTAAAACAAATAATTTCCTGTTTCATCCAGATACTTATGGCCGAACTACGATGAAGACTCTACCGATGAGTTTGTTATATGCCTGGTTATGATGGCAGTCGCGAAAAGGAGGGGAAATATACCATTATGGGGTGAGCTCGGGATTATGAATGATGGAAACACGAAGCTCTGACTAATATCTCAACTTCGCTATCCAGGAATTTTCGAGGCTAACCCCAGTTTATTTACATCTTTCTTCCGTCGAGTTTTAATCATGTCACTGTCCACATCATTGCCACTAACCCCTCGAACGCATGTCTTATGCTTTATCATCTTTGCGTTTCAATCATTAGACAAGTCTTTGGTGAGGAAGGAGTGTGCACCTCTTGTCTCAATTGGTATCTGGCAAAACATTCACTCAGAAAAGGCGCGAGAACTAAGGCTGTCCGAAGGCCCGCAATACAAGAAGGCTTGGAAGGCGTCGGAAAAAAAGAGACTTGCACTGACAGACCAACGGTCTAAGGCCCGGCTTTCCTTCGAGAGGTCCTGGCTTCATTCACTTGTCCTTCAGCTAGTACATACCATTTACTTCAACTGGGGCGACAGCCGGATAGGCGGTATGACCCGATCTGAACTCAAATTACCACAAAAATAGACTCCGCACACTTGAGCTAACTCCAGCTTAGAAGCCAGATTGTATGCAGAGCGTATGGTCGAATTTCTTACAGATTTGCTATCGCAGCCGCCTACCCGCCGATATGTCCATGCGCTTCTGGAGGACCTCCAAATCGTTATTTGCATTCGGCTTTCACCAGTTTATGCACAGCAAGAGAATCAGCTCCTTCGTGACTTGGTTGCTCTATTGGAACATTTTTATTATCACGACGATAGCTCGGCAGGCGACCCCCGAAAAGCTACCCTGTCGGTTGAATCGAGATACCGGCGCAACATTGCGAGGCTGCAAAATGCAGCGCTTCAAATGTCTAAAGGAAAACTAACAGTCCTAGGCCTAGCGAACTATGCTTCTATAGGGCAAAAAGACGATCTCAGCCTTCAAATCTCAATGCTGGATGATGGAGAACTTAGCGAGATTTACGAACGCTTACTTTTCCGCCAAAATTACCCAGAAGGGGTTCCTCGCCATATTGATCGGAGTTTCATGCTCTGCGCTATAGTGGAGGCCTTTTCCAAACGGGAAAGCCTAGTTGATATAGTTAGAAATTCTAGTCTTCTGCCAACAGAGGTACACAAGCTTCTCACACTCTCTGAGCGAGTTCCTCGCCCCTCTTTTCTGGCTACTTTGCTAAATATTTATTCCCCTGCCCCGTTTTTCAGGAAACTTTGGCAAACAACTTGCTTCATACTGAGCGCTACACATGGGAAAGCCCAGTTCCGGTGCCAAAGCTTAACATACAGTATCTTTCAATCAAAGATTTCCTTTGGCGCGCTTTTTTCCTACACAGGGCTGAGTCATTCTTTGAGATCCATCGGGACATCCAGGATACACTCCGAAGACTAAAGCCCATTTCCCGAGCTGGCAGTGTGGCCTTCTCTGGTAACTCAAAGATGGCAGCGCAAATCAATCGTCTCGCGTAACCCCCCCCCTCGAAAACTCTTAATAATGCATTGGTGCTAATAACGACCAGGATACTAGAAGAAGCCCCATCCAGAGTTGGGGAAAATCTAGCAGCGCATGTTCGTGCCGAGGTTTTGCTAGACCTTGGCGCTCTTAGTGAGGATACAAAACGGGAATGGGAAACTCTACGCCCTGATGACGTGGTATTCCTCTTGAGCATTCGCGCCGGAGGGGACTACGGCCATGGGCTCAGTGTCCGAACGCCAACAGGTGATAATGCAGGTGTTTATCTCCTCCGCTGCGCTGAGGTCATTCAGGTCTTGGGCGATAATAAACTTGGAAGCTTCCCGACCACAGAAAAAAGAAAGCTTCATATTCGTCTCGATCGTGCAGCTTATATGGTATGACCCTTGTATGAACCCCACCTTCATCAGCTTTGAAACTCTCTGATATTCCAGTAGGCAGACAAACGAGCCACCGAAAACATTACTGATATCTACGGGTCTCTCAATATACTTATTCGAAGGAAAGGCATTGTGAGAAATCCCCATCGATTGCGCGATCAACTTACTTCTCTTACTCGTTGTTTATGTTAACATCTGCCTGGTGATTTAATTTCTCTAAACAGGAAAACAACTTCAAGGCCGTACTATCATCAATCAAATGTATAATCGAGAACCCCGCAAACTTTGTTCCCGGGTGGTTCGAGGATGCTTTCCTTGGTTGTGGCGACCCTAGCGATGCATGCTTCCCCCGATTACTACCACTTCCAAACCGTATCAACCTAGGTGAAACCATCACAAGTCTTGAACACCTTCAAGAAACCTTCCCGAAAATTCCATTAGATTTTGATATTCCGGTGCTGAATGATCTTGGGGTACCTTTCGTCCTTACAGAACTAAGATCCCGCCATTCCTCCAACGATTCTCAAACACATAGCAGTGCTTCACAATATCCCTCATATTCGGTTTCTAGTGGGGCTGATCATCCGCCGGCGTTTGTCTCGGAAGGGAGGAGCTTAAGTAACATGACCGTCAAGTACACTGCTGCTCAAGGTTGGTTTATCAACTTAATCCAATAGTTTCATTCGTTTTATCGCACATTTTCTTGACCTAACCCTGTATGACGCATAGTCCACGCTATTCTTTCAGGCACAAACCCCGGCCTTTCTATGATTGTCGGTCCACCAGGAACTGGTAAAACCGATGTGGCCACTCAGATTATTCACAACTTATACCTGAATTTTCCAAACGAGCGGACTCTCGTAATAGCGCATAGTAACCAGTCGCTAAACCAAATTTTCCAGAAACTTGAAGAACGGGACATCGATGAACGACACCTGCTCCGCCTCGGCCATGGAGAGGATGATTCACAACAACCAAGCTCGAGTATGGGCTATAGCAAATTCGGGAGGATTGAGTCCCTCGCTGTGAGTACTCCAACAATCGTTTAGTGAGAATTGTTTGGTGAGAATTGGCTCCTGCTGATACTTCGATAACCGCTACTAGGACCTTCGCTCCAAGCTGCTAGAAGAGGTGGACCAATTATCTTCAAGTCTAGGTGCGCCCGGAGCGCACGGTAACTCCTGTGAAACTGCGTCTTATTTCTACCGGGTTTGGATCGAACCGCTTTGGGAGAAATTCAATGCGAAAATAGCTTTGTCCCCAACCCCAGCTACCATTCTAACCGAGTTCCCGTTTAGTAAGTAATCTCACTTATATTTCGAGTTTGGAAACATGCTGATAACCCAAAGTCGATTACTTCTCAGGAAAGCAACACCGGTCTCTTCCAACAGAAAGCTCATTGGAAGTGACAATGGGTGTGGCGAAGTCATGTTTCGAGCATATCTCAAAAATATTTTCTCAACTGGATGATTTAATGCCCTTCGAGCTTCTCAGAAATGGGCGAGATAAAACCAATTATCTTTTGTGCACAGAGGCCCGAATTATAGCCATGACATCGACCTACGCGGCAATGAAGGTACGCATTGCTCGTGATACTTTGCAAATAGTGAGCCATTTCTGATTTTTCATAGAGAGAAGATATCGTTCGACAGGGGTTTCGGTACGATAATATTATCATGGAGGAAGCAGCTCAAATTAGTGAAGCTGAAACGTTCATCACGTTGACACTACAGAACTCACCAGACGGGAAGTCACCAATAAAACGTGTGATACTTTGTGGCGATCACTTGCAGAACTCGCCAGTGATACAGAGCAGCCCTCTTCGTTATTTTGCGAACATGGAGCAAAGCTTATTTGCGCGCTTCGTACGACTCGGTGTCCCATTGATCCGGCTCGACAAACAAGGCCGGGCCCGTCCAAGTATCGCCTCCTTATATAGTTGGAGATATCCTGGCCTCGGAAACTTGGATTATCTTTCTCGAAGTTCCGAATTTCTGAAAGCAAATGCTGGCTTTCGACACGAACTTCAGTTCATCAATATAGATAATTTTAGAGGAAATGGGGAGCAAGAACCTTTCCCTCATTTTATCCAAAACCTGGGGGAAGCAGAGTATTCAGTGGCCCTGTTTCAGTACATGCGTTTGCTCGGCTATCCTGCCAACAAGATATCGATCCTCTCAAGCTACTCGGGCCAGCGTGCTTTGATACGGGATATTATCAACCATCGTTGTGCCAAAAACCCGCTTTTTGGTACACCTGCACATATCACTACCATAGATAAATTTCAAGGAGAACAAAACGACTGTGTGTTGGAGCTATCCCAATTATTGATGTGAGCGTTTGGAAGCTAACCCGTGATTAGATATTATCGTATCATTAGTCCGGACCAAGCGTGTGGGATACCTAAGGGACATGCGGCGACTAACAGTTGGATTATCCCGGGCTCGTCTTGGTCTTTACATATTAGGCCGACTCGAGATCTTTCAGACATGCTATGAGCTAAAAAATGCTTTCTCACGCCTCCTTCAGTTACCCACGAAGTTGGAACTAACGACTGGGGAAATGTGGCCGACCGAGAGACTTGTCACCGGTTCAGTAGAGGCCACGGTCATCGAAGGGGTTGAGCACCTTGGTGAGAATCATAACAGTACAAGACCGAGTACAAACGATAGCTAATATATTATCAATTTTAGGAAAATACGTCTTTGAAATGACTGAAGCAAAACTTGCTTCACTGAAAATTCAAAGCCAGTAATGCCTAGGAGTTGAAGAGCGAACTAAGCTTTGCGAGAATAGAGAGAAAAAAGTGTTTCGTCACGCTGAGCAACCAATGAATAGTCTAATTGTATTTACGCAGTTACCGATTTGACTGTGCGCGTTTTCGGATATAGTCAGCTATCTGTTCATGTTTCGAGACAAACAACATGCCCTTGTTTTTGTCAATCCAAACAAGAACACCAATATCATCGGCGTATTTGCACACTGCGTTAAACTCCGCGTTCGTGGCAAATTCTTTAAATAGATAGCCAGATGTAACTTTCATCCTCTCCCCCTCAATCTGCCAAAGCCTTATTTGGTCGACTACTGTTGGCGGCAGAACAGGGGAGTTTTTTCGTAATTGAGGGTGGGCATTAGCAGTCATGTAATCAATGATTTGTTCCGCGGTTATCCCTTTACCTATCGCCTGCCGAATGCTTTCTCTCGTGATACGAGCTGTCACAAGGTTTGGGAACCGAGATATCAAACGTGCAAAAAGGTTGAGAACAGCTATCTGTAATGGTGAGTCTAAATACGATGTCGTGTTAGCTAAATCAGGTAGTACGATATGTGAGGATACGGAGAGCCTTACTTGTGTATGCATACATACGGTAATTTGTTTCAATGATTAAGAACCCATTTTCATCGTTCCCTGGAGTCGCATTTGCTAGAGTAGCGGCTGGGGAGCGGAGGGAACGAATTTCTGAGGTCAGCCCGGTAGCTAGTCTCGTAGGATAAAACCGCCTTGATGAAGACTTTTTGCACTCGCGATTAGCAAAGCAAGACAAACCCAATGTGGGGGCTAAATCGCACAGACTTTCCGCTGATAAACAATACCATAATCCCTAAGGTCTTCAAGCATGCCTTTTTGAGTGGGTGTCAAACTCTTCATATCATAGTCTTGACCTAGTTCTAAGCTGCCAAGGAGAAATAAGAAGTGAAGAATATCCACAGGATCCATCCGAAGCTAAGAGGATATTAAAACCAAGAACACCCAGTTAATGACAGAACAAAGACGAACCTGTTCGGCCATGTCAAGATAGAGGAGAAGTAATGTCCAGACTTGCGAGTTGACCTCCTGTAGCAGGAACGAAAAGCCGAGCTGTGTGATGACTGTTCCCGAAGCTCTGTAGGTGAGGGTCTAGTTAGTCTATAGTTTGATATGAAAGGAAGAAGAGCATTTTGACCTGTTTTGTTCCATCAATTTTCCGTGAAGTAGCAGTCTAACCACACCCTCACTTGGCCTCTGGGATGACTGGGTTTCATTCCCAACCATGAAATGTAAGATAGATTCCCACTGCTCCGCTGCATACCGATCAAGAAAGGAGATATCGACCCGGTTCTTGTCCTCCGTATCACATGGCAATCCAAAACTCCCAGGAGAACCCCTATAGGTTATTAATCAACTACCAAAATAACCAATCTCGGGAAGTGCCTGGGCTAACCCTCCAGTAAGAGCCTTTCTCAGTTCAACTTTAAAAGTCGCATCCAGCGCAAAGGTCCCCTGCCTTTCAGTTACGATGTATAATTGGCGGAGTTTCCCAAAGGCCTCTTCCTTCAACCTAGTAACTAAATTAATAGAAAGAAGTGAGAGACTTAATTCAGACAAACTCGTACCTGTTTTGATCTGGGCGAACAAAAGCTTCGAGGCTAGATACTGGAACTGGATCGGGGTTGAAGAGCATTGCCATCACGAAGGTTTTCGCTATTGTGAAACTCCATCAGCAAAGTCTTTTAACCTGCCGTAGACCTCCTACTTAAGCTCACCTAAGTTTGGTAGCATTCGACGGAAAACAGCTAGAGCCGTTGCCGGTTGTTGGTATAGTCGTTTGAATATAGCTTCGGAGAGCCCTTCAAGATGCTCAAAACTTTTCATAGCTTGTGAATTCATGGTCGATATTCTCAACCATTTCAATAAATCCAATGTGGGGCGTTGTAAAAAAGGAATGAAGCCGAGAAGGATGGCAGTTTATTGTAACCTCGGCGACCGCTGCATTTGAGTCAGGGACAAAATGCCCAGATCCCCCGAAACCCCCGAGACTCTAACGTATTCCAACATCCGTGACCCACAATAGCTAAGCACAACCGCCCACGCGAAAGAGAACCGTCCGGGTGATGGGATATATAACCACGCAAATATATCTTGGATTTATCTCAGACTATGTGTTTATATAGATTATCTCATTACATGTACATAAATCGCCTTGGAGGGCCAAAAACGAATGAGAGCGCCCGCTAAGCCATTTGAGAAAACAAAAATGAATAAATACTACTCTAATAAATCAAGAACTCCGAGATCAAGATCAAGCGCAGATAGAGTTTAGGCCCTGACGCGATCTCGACACAATGAAACTTGTTTTATATTCCAGTCCCACAGAATTTACCACTAATATTAAAAATGGTCAATGATGATCATAAGAACTTAAGGGCGAAGGAACTTACAAATGCACACCAGCCCACATACAGTTGGCACAAGTTCTGACCACCAGCAATTAGTTCAGCACTTCCAATGAGATGAGTACTAGAAAAACAAACCTCGAGGGAAGTTGCCTGTTGTAGCAACTTGTCCACCTGATCAGGAACCGCCAATTCATCATTTGGTCGGAAGTCGTGTCCTGTCAGCTTGTCCTTCACGCGGTTCAAAACTGCTAGTGCTCGTGCGTTCTGTGTTTGGTCCTCAGGCCCAACCTGTGTTTCTGGCTGGAAACCATTTGCCCCGGAGCTAGCCTCAGCCTTCCCTCTAGTCGCTCGAGTAGGAAGCTCCGCTATCGGAACTAGATATATGGCAAAGCATGTATTAGCAAGAAGAAAGTGGGGTTGGTAGGAATCCCTATTACATACTTTGACTTGGCTCAGCAGACATCCCTGAGTCTACAGGGCTTTCACGATTTCCAAGACGCCAATGCATCAATGGGTCGTGCATGAAAGCTTCAAGGACTGCCATGAGGGATTCCTTGTTATCCCTCAAAACTCGCATTACAGCCTCGCATGTTATTCTAAAACTTCCTTCTATATTGCTCACTTCCATAGCGTACGTGAGCATCCTGGTTAATCGAAAAGGCACCTTCTCGGGATATTTCTCCCTATGCATTGCCACCTCGAAACAATCCCCAAAATCTATGTGGACGACTTTCCCTGTTACACGGTCCAACATCAAATTCGAGGGATGCCTGTCGCCTAGTCCTAGAATATAGCCGACCATCGACATCACCCCGAGGGAACGGGTATAGTTCGTTCTCCGATCGAGCCAAGCCTCGGAGCTTCTACTTTTCAGCCAAAGAACACGATAAAGGTCCTGGCCAGTTGTATTGTCGAGAGCGTACCCGAAAACCTCGACCTTTTGCATTAAAGTGAGGTTATCGTAATCTGGTGCCATCTGCAACATAATACGATGTTCAATGTTTAGCAAGATCTTACGGCTTTCTCGGTACTCCCTAATGAGCACGTGCAAGGTGTCGCTATGCGGGACCCATCCCATTAGGCCAGAGTTTTGAGAAAGTGGGATAATTGGGTATCGTTGGATGTTGAGATGCCGTTTAAAGCATTCAGAATCTACCGAAAGCAGGGTGTTTACAAGCCCGAAAAGTTGCATGACACGCTCGTCCTGCCGTAGATCCTCGTGGCCTGGGTACAGATTTGTCAGCACTTGCGCGGATGTTTTAAGACATATTTAACCCAACCTTTTAGAACATATTGATACATTGTTCCATCGTTTCCTTTGAGAGAAAGTTTCCGTGGGCGTTGTTTAGAGGATATCACGGTGAAAACTGAATCAAAGTTGACAATTTTGATAACTGGGCGCCCGGATTGATAGGTACCTAAAGTATCGAAGTTAGCACTTACGAATAACATGCTGTCGAGGCTAGTCGGGGAGTCTACCAGGGACAGAGAGTTCCAAGTCCTTGGCATTCAGAAGTCGCGGCGACACGTATTGCAAATCCAAAGAATTCAACTGGGGTAGCTGTTTCGTAATTTTACGAAATACCTAGCACTTGTGAGCAACTACCAGGCTTAGGGCGAGCTAAGCAACTTACTTGGTAATACAGATCCCAGGCTTGGTTGAGATCGCCAACATCACCGGTTCTCCTGAACGTGTTACACCAATCCCTAGCATCGTGAAGGTCACGGCCAAAGGCTTGGTGAAATGATATCTCTCTTAATGTTTCCGGTCCCTATCAAGTTGTTAGTAAATACTTATTGTTGCAATGTGTGTAGGATATGCATCATTTGCATTATGCAAGTACCTTTTCAAGCATCTCATGCAATGGCTCCAAAGTCGCGAACATCGCCTCAATATTATGGTCCCCGAAATACAGCCTCGACGCTTCTTCTAGGCCTTCATGCCACTGCTCGTGCCAAAGAACTGCGACCCGGATGAGTTCCTGACTGACAAATGCTGCCTGGTCCACAAGTGTAGAACTGTGTGTCCGGACATTCTCGATTAACGAAGACGCTGATTTCTGGCGTCTTGAATGTTGCGATTTCGTTGCGACAGTTAATGGGAAAACGAGAGCCTGTGGGTGGGCGCGGCCAACGTCCCCAAGAAGTTGATGGATAGAGCGTCGGACAATGGGGTCTGGTTGATTGATACGAGCAATTAGTTGCGGGATAACGGCAAGCCAAGTATCGATGCTAACAACGCCGAACCCTTCTGTCATAGCGGCATTGACCTGGGAATGACCTCCATGAGCGAACCATAGAGTCAATAGGCGAAGGGTATCCTGTAGCGAGCTCCCCGCGGAGAGTGAGATTGATTTGAAAAACCCACGCACAGCAGGTACTACGTGGTTAGTTAACATCTCGGGCGAAGAAGTTACATCTCGCAGTTCCCGATTAGTTACCACCTCAAAATTAGCAAGCGCCCATGCATGCCACGCTTTGTACCAATCTTTGTTGAAGTGGGTGGCTAGCCAGTATGATCGCAAAACCTCCTGTACATTTCCTAGGTACCAACTTTTATTAAGAGCTACCAACCACTCCCCTTGTTTGAGGTAGCACCGTGCAAGCAACCCCGAAAGGTCTTCGATTGCTTGGCTTGATAGAGCCGGAGGGTTGACCGCTAGGTTAGAGTGGGACTGGCCCTGGCCCTGGCCAGATATATCGGAGATACTTGGACCGATTTGCTTGGAGATTCGGTCTGTAAACTCCACAAGACTTGAGAGGGCTTCGGACTGGCTTCCAATCGACCACAAGTACTTCAGGCGAGCGTAAGTGACACTAGGGGGGACTCGCGGATCAGACAATGCGAGCAAAGTACCGTCTTCAATGTCGTATAGAGAATTCAATGACTTCTCCGCCAAACCCACCCTCCCGGACTTCCTGCACAAATTGGCGAATTTGATCCACATATCCATGTTTTCTCTAGGGGATATAACCAGAGCTCTGACTTTCAGCATCCTTTGCCATGTCTCAACATTCCTCTGGCAACCTTGCAAACTGGATCCCTCTGTTAGACAAGGAGTCTATGGTTTTTAAGGGGTGTAAATAGTATAACCCACCGTTTCATCCATGTTCGCCGCATTGTATCTTGTCTTTCGGGGTGATCATAGCTCTGTTTGTAGACAATGATTTCTTCCAACTCAGCAAGCATTTGCACCCTTACGATGACACTATGGATATAGAAAGTGAGCACAGACTCTCCTTGGAAAACCACCATTGGACATGTTTTACCTATATGCTCGGCTATAGCTCTCTCCAACAAGAGCGCTGAGCTCCGAATCCAAACCTTCACGGGCCCTCTCAATATGCAATGCTGCTTCATCAAAATGGTTCCGGTGAAGAGCCAAAATTGCACCAAAGAAGGATCTATCAGGGGATAAATGTTTCATAACACCGATATAATCATCCATAATATCCCACTGGCCAAGGCCCCATGCAGCGGCGGCGGCAAGGGGGGCTATTGCTCGTTGCATCTCGTGCGTCGCGTGCGTCCACTTTTCCTGCGCTAGCTGTGATAATTGGTCCCATTCCCCTAAAGCATGGAGACACTTCATCTTGCCCATCGTAACTTCAAAGGAATTCGGTTCATCAAGTTCCCGCAGTTGATACGCTTTCAGGGCCTCCTCCCAGCGTTGAAGCTTTTCGAACCAAGATTCCTTCAAGGGAACATCATTGTACTGTTGTGCCCGGCGAAGAATACCAATAGCGGCGTCAGACTGCTGAAGTTGGTTGTTGATCTTTATCAACGCTTCTATTGTGCTGGTCTGTGGCTCCTGCAAAAATTCCGTTTCTTTATAATGCAGCGCTTTTGCAAAGGCGTGGCACTTGGCGGCATACTTGCCCAACGTACGGATATCGATTGGTAACGCCTTGTCGTCATGCTCCATAAATTCTGCTAAATTAAGTAAAATTTGGAGAATTTCTGGAGGGATGTTTGGAGATGTAAGGGCCAGTTCAATTGATCGAACTAGTTCCTCCTTTTCAAATGGTTAATATAAAGGGGCACTAAGTATCACCAAAATACAAAAATTTCATACCTGATACTGGTCATAAAGTTCCACCCAGCACGAAACAAAAGCAGCATTGAAAAGATCTTTAGCAAGAGGGTAATATGCACCAGCCAAACCTGCACAGGCGCGAAGAGCATGGGATGGAGATTCTTTTAGAAGCTCGACGCTGAATCTTCGGATCCACTCCTGCCAGTCCTCTCGTGTAGACCTTTGAGATGCTTCCCATGCGTTTTTTAAATGCTGTTGATTCACTGTTTGCTTTTTTGAATGCGTGTCTGGAATTAGAACCTCATCATATTTCTCCCCAAACCTAAAATTTTAGATAGGTCAGTAATGATTGAAAAGGATGGGGGGACAAGGGGTAACAACTAACATTTCATCGGGGTTTAGGTCCTGGGGTAGAGACTCCCCCTTCAAAAGTTTCGATACAAGGAGTTCATAATTAGAATGTTGGGTTTTTGTTTGTACCAAACACTACGGTCCTTTGTCAGTGATAGCCATGTTCGAGAGATGGTCGGGTGCTAATACTTTGTTAATCATCGGGATAAAATGCGCATAATCTTGTCCTAATTGGAAAACAAGTGCACAAAGTGTATCCAAGGCAGCAACCCGGAGTTCGTGTGTTCCACTTTGGAGCACACGGGCGAGAGGGTGGATTATGCGAGATGCATGGTCAGACAAGTTCACCTTTCTCGAAAGACGGGCAATGGTTTCAATGGCTGCCTTTCGCGCAGAGACTGGTTGGGTTGATTTTTCAAAAAGCCGAACAACGACCGGAAGAATCAGATGCATGTACTCTTCGCTGTTAGCACCAAATACCAAAAAGGCATGCAGAACCCTCTCCGTGGGGATTCTGCGTGCTGTATTATCTACCTCTAAAACCTGAAGCATTAACGGTAAAAGTTGAGCTAGGTAAACTTTGAATTCGCCTTCAAGGGATCTTGCAATCGCCTCGACAAGTTGGAGTATAGTGGCCTGTAAATTCGTATTCAACTGCCAGTGCTCTCGGATAAGCTGTAAAATTTCAGGCAGAAATGTCCTGATGTGTTGCTTCACAATAGTAGTAAGGATACTCAGTTGGCTGAAATAAGATTCAAGCTTACTAGGTTGGCTAGTTCTTATGACTCCAATAAAGCCGGGGATAATTTGCCCAAGAAAAGGTACACATTTTAATCCCAGCGTCTTGAATATATTCATAATAGCATCCACGACTGCAGAATGTTGATTGCTTAGCGACTGATCCTTGAGCATGTTCATGAGAGAGTTGATAACCACAGTTGGATAATACTCTTCGTTCGACGGCGTAAGCCCCGTCATGATAAGAGAAACATCCGTAACAGTGCTGCTCTGATCTGCCGGGCGATTCTCAGGTCCTTGTTCAACAAGCTAGTATGGATTAGTACTACCGAAGGAGTTGAGGATAGTAGAGAATAGTCGCCTACCTGGTGTTTATAAGGGTCTATAGCACCCAATATCCCCATCAACTTGATTGTCTCTTTCCTGAGGTAGCCGGTTTGTTCCGTTTTGACAATGTTTACTAGGATTGTTAGTAGATGGGGGTATTGCATGTATGGCTCGATAACGTATCCCGAGTTGCTAGCGAGTTGCCCTAGCGTTTTCAAGGCAGCTTCTCTTTTAGAGGATGAGCCTTGGTCTTGTAGCGTGTCTATGATTATCGGCATAAGTTGTGGTATGTAAGGTACCATATCCTCGCCGCCAACGGTTGAGAGTTCCCCGATAGCACCAAGAACACTAGAGGCAACACCAGCACTTGAATCAGATGCTTTGGGGAGAAGGACAGTAACAATAGGATCGACATATGGCTTAATGAGTTTTTGAGCGGCCGAGACGAGATGACTTAAAAGTTTTGCGCTTTCCTCTTTGTTACGCGCAACAGTTGAGTATTCGAGTTCAGTAAGAAGTTGGATCAATGATTTACGCAGAGAGGGCATCACATAAGCAGGGTTATGAGCCGTTAGCCGTCCAATAATTGTGATCGCGGACTCGCGAATTGCAAAAACCTCGTCGTTCAAGGCCAAAAACAGAGTTCGGACATTTTCTGCTCTTGCTAAGTGCCTGTCGAATCGAGCATCAAGCGAATCAAGGACTGTTCTTCGTATATCCGCGTCTACACAACAAGTTAGTTCAGCAGGATGACAATAAATAACAAAGTAACATACCCGGATCAGCGATGCCGACAGTAAGTAGTTTCTCCATCACATCGCCGACTACTTGGATAGCATTGCTACTGGTTTGATAACATATTGGGTCTCGAACGAAAAGCTGGCAACACGTAAGTGCAGCTGCTTTTCTAGTCTCGGGATTATCATCTTCGACATATTTAATCACACAATCCCGGACAAATTCATTCAATATGCGTCCTATACATTTTGTTAGGGAGTAAAAAATCTTGGGTGGGGCTCCACTACTCACCCGTAAAATCAAAGCTCCCGAGCGTATGCAAAGCCAGGATAATCTCAGGGTCTTTTATATCGCCACCAGGTGCATCGCGGGTTTCTTTAAGAGGTTGCTGGACGCTTTGTAATTCCGCTGGGCTTCCCAAAGGCTTGAACGGCCGGCCACTGAGAACAATGCTCAACATGTTGAGTAACTTTTCCTGAATCTGGGGAAGCAGTGGAGGTATGTAATGAGCGAGATCGACAAGAGCTTGTGTGAGAGAATCGCTCAACGGACAGTTAAATAATAGAGATAGCAGCTCCTGTATATGCTTGGTCAGAGCTAGACCAACAGCTGTTGCCAGCATACTGATGCATTGGAAATATGCCGGTTCAACAGGCACTCGGCGACTTTCCAAAAATTGCAAGTCAGCATTTGTATTCACGTTGCAATGGGATGGGGTGTACCTTTTATTCGATAGTCCATCTTTAATACACTGAAGTACTGCTTCGAGATAAGGGTTCATGCTGCTTCCCACAGCTATAGCGACTTGCCCAATAGCAACGAATGCCACACTTCGGTCTCGTTCCTTTTTGAGTTGGGCTTGAAGGTGCATCATACAGCGGTGTAGGTGAGAACTGACAAACTCTTCAGGGTTGTAGGCTGCAAGGATAGGTATTAACGTTACGACAGACTTCCGAATGAGCGTGTCGCGATGATCCTTATATCTAAGAACAAGCTCACAGACATCTCGGTAGCGGTCGTGCATGAACATTCCAGCCCTGAGTAAAAGCTCCCGGTATGTTAAAAGGCTGCCGTGGATAGAATCTATTGTTCCAATCTTCAATCCATGCTGGGCTTCTTCCAAGATTTTATTGTACCATTGAGCCCGCAGTTGGCTATCTCTTTGATAAAGAATCTCAAGGCAAGCGCACAGGGCTTCCGCGGCTGCTTCCCGAATTAAGACTTTCGAGTCCCGGAGTGCAACCCAAAGTAACTCAAGGATTTGAGGGACATAGGTATAAAACAAGGTAGGCGAATTCCGGGCTAGATCTTTCAAGAGCAGGACAGCTGCAAACCTACGGTTTTCCTGTCGATCGCTCTGCAGCCACTCCAGTGCTTGCCGTGTCTCGCTCTCAACAAGCTCAGCTGTTAATGGCCCCCCCGGCGTCGCTAGTCGGCCTAAAGACTTGGCAGCGAGAACCATAGCAGCAGTATCATTACCTCTAATGACACTCCTAAGGTAGTGGGCGAATCTAGTTGTCTTCTGCATTGAATCATCACCCTCGAAATCTATTAGCCGATCTAGCACCATGATCCCTGCGATCTTGTCTGCAGTCTCGTTGCTGTGGATCATTTCGAATATTCGTTTATTTATATCGTTATTGAATCTCGTGTAAGCCTCGGGAGGCATTTCTGAGTTCGAGTCACAAAGTCAGAATTACCAACTTGGAATCAGTTGTGGGTATCGACGGAGAGCCCGGACTCACCTCGCTGGCTGACAACCAATATGCCTCGAAGGTCGTCGGCCGCTTTTTGACGAGCCTCTTCGGTCTTGCTAAACAATCATGCAAAATCAGGTCAGTGAGTTACTTGCTATGAAAGGGGACGGGGAGGAAGAAGAGAGAAGCGCCAGAAATATAGCCGAATCGACAGCAAACAGAGTCCCAGTTAGACAGATACATAGGCAGGTCTGAATTGTGCCACTTCGGAGGTTTCAGAACTATCTAAGTACCTGTTTTTCAAATCAGAAAAGACACGGCCGATCGCATCGTTGGCAACGACTGGGGCCGCCATGGCTCCAGTTTGTAGGACTCAAAGCTTAATTGTGCTAGAATAGAAATTTCATCCGTAGTAGTTGCTATAGCTGTGGTATGAGGATCTAGAAGAGAGCGGTTTCTAGTATCAGCATGGGAGGTACTCGAGAAGATACTCGGCCCACTACAAAAACATTATACAGTGTCTATTTACCAGTCCGTACTTGACTACGATAATTTAAACGAACGGATGCATGCGAATGGCTGGTACCCAAGCAAAAGGTTGTTTGAATATGTTGCAAATAGTAGATGGTATTGATGGCGGTGGTTGTGGTGATTGGCGATGATGGTATAAGTGAATGGACATCAAATAGATGTATTCGTCGGCTTCCACAAATTATGATCTACCCAAAAGGATGGACGAATGATGCGCGTTTGTTGCCTTGGCGCCAAGCTTTCCAGAACACCTTCTTTGGGTTCCTTTTTTCTCTTCAACCAAATTTTTTTTTTAGAAAAAACTTAATCCCTTCTTTCAGAATCTCATCACAATCATCCACCAACCATCAATCTCCCTACTAATATCAACCAGCCCCAACGTAAAAACGTAAATTTACCCATCCCATCGTCCCAAATCGCATACCACGGTAACATACCACCAAACTATTCTATGTCTTACGGCGACTACGCGCGAGGATACGGCGGCGGCAGCAACGGTGGCGGCGGTGGCAGCAACGGTGGTAACGGCGGCGGTTATTCTAATGGGTACTTTCATCTTCCATAAATTTCCTCTTAGTTTGTCCCTTTTTGAAACGCTACTAGTAGCTAACGTACTCTTCCGTAGGTACTATAACTCTACAAACGGCTACTCGTCCGGTGGTTACCATGGCCAATCAAATGGGTTCGGCGGCTCATACTCGAACGGCTATGGAGGTAACTCTGGAGATAAGATGTCAGGCATTGGTGCCAACTTGAAAAAACCTCAATGGGGTGAGAATAAGAAAGTCCCTTCTAAAAATTGTTTCTAACCGCGCATCCCCGAACCTGCAGACCTTGAATCTCTTCCAAAGTTCGAGAAATCTTTCTGTAAGTGAGACCCTAAATGCCCAAAGCAATCAGATTCACCAGCACTAAGTCTGTCTAGATAAACCCTGTGATGCGGTCCAAAAGCGAACGCCAGCGGAAGTCGATGCCTACAGGACTCAGCGCCAGATGCGTGTTTCTGGTCGCGATGTCCCCAAGCCCGTCCAATCGTTTGACGAAGCTGGTTTCCCTGGTATGTTAAGTCCGCTCTGTCGCCCTCGGTATCAACTTTTCGCTTACAGCTCGAATAGCATATGTGATGAACGAAGTTAAAGCTCAAGGCTTCAAGGAACCTACACCAATCCAGGCACAAGGGTGGCCAATGGCCTTGTCGGGACGGGATGTGGTTGGTATTGCAGAGACTGGGTCAGGGAAAACCCTTACCTATTGCCTTCCATCAATCGTTCACATAAATGCCCAACCACTGCTCGCACCTGGGGATGGCCCTATAGTCCTCGTTCTTGCCCCTACCCGAGAACTAGCCGTTCAGATCCAACAAGAAGTTACAAAATTCGGAAAGTCTTCCCGTATTCGTAATACCTGCGTCTACGGTGGCGTTCCTAGAGGTCAGCAAATCAGGGAATTAGCCCGCGGCGTAGAAGTCTGCATCGCGACTCCTGGTCGTTTGATTGATATGTTAGAGGCTGGGAAAACCAACCTCCGACGAGTCACATATCTCGTTCTTGACGAAGCCGATAGAATGCTCGATATGGGATTTGCTCCTCAAATCAACAAGATTGTTAGCCAAATCCGCCCTGACCGTCAAACGCTAATGTGGTCCGCCACCTGGCCAAAGGAAGTCAGACAACTTGCACACGACTATTTGAAGGACTTTATCCAAGTCAACATTGGATCCCTAGAGCTCTCAGCAAACCATCGAATTACTCAAATTGTTGAGGTCGTCTCCGAGTTTGAAAAACGTGACAAGTAAGATCCTCGCTTTGTCTTGGTTCTCCATCGATTTTTTACTCATCTATTCAAAACAGGCTTGTCAAGCATCTAGAGCGAATCATGGACGACAAGGAAACGAAGTGTCTTATCTTCGTGGGCACAAAGCGCGCTGCCGATGAGATTACCAGGGTATGACACCGTGTTCGTAACCCAAAGATGACCGGGGGAGATGATACTAATGTCTTTGTAACAGTTTCTACGCCAGGACGGCTTTCCAGCATTGGCGTTACACGGTGACAAGGCTCAGAATGAAAGAGACTGGGTAGGAAATATCCCGCGTTAGCTATTGCGTTTCTGGTAGAAGATCGAACTAACTCCATATAGGTCCTTAATGAATTCAAGAGCGCGAAAAGCCCCATCATGGTTGCGACGGACGTTGCATCCCGCGGGATCGGTATGTTATGTCTCCCCCCTACTTACTCATGTGTGCTACAGTACGGTCCAGCCTTTTTTTCTTTCCGTTTCGAGGGCGCTGGATATCTGCTTCTTAAACCCAACTCTGCTTTCCTATGGCGAGCCACAGCTCTTTAGTGTTTGCACCTGCTTCCTCTGTGCTATTCCCTCCTACGGCTTTGGAGCAGGCTAAGTCAGATACAACACCGTTGCTTCCTGGTGATTGGAAGATGTTCGGGTCAGGAAATGCGAGTCGGTAAGTCGAGGACATTCGCTCTATCATCAAGATAGATGGCGCTTCCTCGGCTAGAGCTAAAGAATGCAACTATACAGCCTTTCAGGTTGAGCTGTTCGCACTCCTGACGGGGTTCAACGGTGATACCGGACGCTACGACCTTACAAGGGCATCAGGCTATAATTGGACCTCCTGTGCACGCCAGGTGAGTTGCATGTATCCGCGTCCCATACTAACTAATGAACGGATGTCCGTAATATAACCCATGTTATCAATGTCGACTATCCAAACAGTAAGTATCAAACACCATCATCATGACCTTGAAGGCATCAATCAGGCCTATGCACTAACATCGGCATCATTAATTAGATAGCGAAGTATGTCCTGCCAAATTCCTTCAATCTTGCCACTATCCCACCCAATCTAACGCTTCGAACAGGATTATGTTCATCGTATCGGTCGTACTGGCCGTGCAGGGTAAAGACTCCAGACCAATCCTTCTATTACCTATCTAATCATAATTTGAATACAGGCAAAAAGGTACTGCAATTACCTTCTTCACTACCGACAATGCTAAGCAAGCACGAGACCTGGTTACTGTTCTCACGTACGTCTCCTCTGCCTATATATTTCATCCAACATACATGATACTCATTCCTCTGTTTAATAGCGAAGCCAAGCAACAGATAGACCCTCGTCTCTCCGATATGGCGAGAGGACCTGGTTATGGCGGTGGATCATCAAGAGGCCGTTGGGGAGGGCCTCGCGGCGGACGTGGAGGTACAAATAGCCCCCCCCCCCTTTTTTTTTTTTTTTTTTCTTTTCTTTTTTCTGCTGTCTCCAGGCCTGCAGCCAACTAATTAGGGTAAACAGGATTCACATCGTCAAACACCGCACCTTTGGGCAGTCGCCGCTACTAACCTGAAAGTCGGACAACCAAAGCTATCAAGCTAACAAGTAGTATCAAGCGCTTACATGCGGGAATGTTACTACAACTAAGTCTTCAATGGTTTCCTTTGGTGCTATGGCTTTTCTGGTTCTCCAAACCGAGAACGAACTTCATACTAATCCAATGCTCTTTAATATGGGACACATACACCTTTATACACGAACCAATCTCGAAGCCAACAGTTGCTACAACTTTCCGGCTCAGTCCCTTCGATGTTTCGCAAATCAGAACCGTCCCTCCTTTCGTGCTTGTCCCGTTTGTTCCCATCCCAAGATGCGGTGTGCAGGTTCCTGAATATCCTCCATGTTTTATCAACCTGATTACTTTGTTTCTCTATTGCGTTTCGGCTTCATAGACTTTCAGCTCATGAGATAGAAAAGGACAAATATAATGTATTATGTGGTGTTAGCCCTAGCTAAGCCTCTATAGCGAAAAAGTATAGACGTAGCCGTTCCTCGAAGTCGATGTCTAGCCAATTCACATCTAATAGATGCAAAGGCCGTGGTATTCCAGTATTCACCGGGTACCACCCTTCGTGAAAACTGGGGACGAGACCAATACCGCTGTATACCGAAGACAGTCGGTATGTACTTAGACTAGGAGGCAACAAGCTCCAAGTCTTCTCAAGGAGAGTTCTGTGTTGTTGCGGTCCACTCAACATTTTGCTTTTTTTTAGAACTATGTTAATTTTTTTTTTTTACAACCTGACACCCCACACACAAATAGAGGCCTCGAAAAACGCTACAAGCATCCACCTCAATTTCTCGATCACCAACGGTGCACCAATACCAACTTATCAACAACCCGATAACTCTACCCACTTATAAAACTAAGATCGTATCTACACTTTTACCCTTGCTCCCAAGCAGCCCAGGTGTCAACTATACCGTTCGCCCACGATGGCTACTTCAAGATTCTTTCACGGTGGGCTCAGCGACAGCGAGTCTAGCTCTTCTGAAGAAGATTATTCAGAGGAGGAGGAAGAACTCGAGGAAGACGTCCAAAATGATTCTGATGAATCTGAAAGCACTGAGGACGATGACGATGACAACTCGGACGATGACGACGAAGAGGAAGAAGAATTGGAGGATGGCAACGCCCCAGACAGTCAAAAAAAGAACATCTTCACCAGAGACGTAGTCGATGAAGAAGATAGCGATGAGGATGGACTACGCAGAATCGTCAAAAACAAAAAGGACAAACGATTCGAGGAAATTGAAACTTCCATTCGATTGATCGAAAATGCTGAAAAAATCAATGACTGGGTTGTGATTTCGCAAGGTAAGGTCACCATTCATCATTACAAAATACCTACCGGTTTTCAAGACTAACGGTAAGCTAGAGTTTGACAAGCTCAACAAACTCGCCACCAAGGCTGGACATGGCGACGTTGTGCCAAAGCCTTACATCAAGGCAGTCGCCGATCTTGAGGATTTCATGAACGAGACACTCTTGAAAGAAAAGGCAGCTTCCAAAAAGATGAATGCTACAAATGCTAAAGCTCTTAACTCTATCAAGCAACGTCTAAAGAGGAATAATCGACAGCACGAGCAAGACATTTCACAGTACCGAGCCGACAAGGAAAATTATCTCCTCGAGCCTGAAGTGGAAGACATCCCGGTACCCCTAAAGCCCACGTTCGAAGGGGTCGAGCCAGAACGAGTAGACGATGATTCTGGGGCGTATTCCGTTGTCACTCGAGGTGGCAAGGCGGTCCAGCTTACCAAAGAATCCATTTTCAAACATCTAAAAGTCATCGTCGAAGCCCGTGGAAAAAAGAATACCGACCGAACCGAGCAGATCCGTACAATGGAAAAGCTCCTTGAACTCGCTCAATCTCCTTATCAAAAAATCCGCGTCCTTGTAGCTCTTATATCCACCCGATATGATTTATCATCTGGTGTCCTCTCTTACATGGCAACCGACCAGTGGAAGGCGTATGTTGGAATAATATCGACCCGCGCCTTTGCTACTCAGACTAAATTTTTCTGTTTTTTTTAGTGCTGAAATCGAACTAAACACTCTCCTACAAGTGCTTGAAGAGAACCCTTCCTGGATAATCATCGAGAGTGGGGATGAATGGGATGACGACGAAAAATCGCCGCCAACACCAGCACCAGGCGAAATCTTCAAGATTTCTGGAAGCATCATATCTTTTGTCGACCGGCTCGACGATGAACTCACCAAATCCCTCCAGAACATCGACCCGCACACCACGGAATACGTCGAACGCCTTGGAGACGAGGCCGCCTTGTACAAAATCATTGTCCGCAGCCAAATGTATTTCGAGCGACTCTCAAGTAATAAAAACGCTGGTACTATCGGAGACAGCCTGAATAGGACGGTCATGAGACGCGTGGAGCATTTGTATTACAAGGTTGGTCATTCCTTTGCACTTGGGTTGGGAATATGCGAAATCTAACAAATAGTACAGCCGTTGGCCGTAATCGAAACGATTGAGGAAGCTTCCTACACATTATTAACATCGGAATCTTCATCCGATGTTCTTCGTTCAGACCTCAAAAAGGAAAACCCAGCCACTATCGTCCAGAACCTTTGCTCCCATCTGTACAAGAACGACTCAACAATATTGCGAACGCGTGCCATGCTCTGTCATATCTACCACCTCGCTCTTCGTGAGAATTTCTATAAGTCTCGTGATATGTTCCTAATGTCGCATTTGCAAGAAAATATCCACAACGCTGACATCACAACCCAAATTCTATACAACCGAACACTGGTCCAAGTTGGTCTCTGTGCATTCAGGAACAGTCTAATATCGGAAGCACAATCTTGTCTCCAAGAAATACTTGGCTCTGGCAGGGTCAAGGAACATTTGGCCCAAGGGGTCGGCCCACAGAGCCGGTACTCTACTATCACACCGGAGCAAGAGCGGTTGGAGAAACAACGACAGTTACCATTCCATATGCACATTAACTTAGAACTTTTGGAGGCAGCATATCTCACATGTTCTATGCTGCTGGAGATCCCTGCTATGGCGGCGGCTGGATCTTCTCCCGATATGAGGAAGAGGGTTATCAGTAAAACGTTTCGACGAATGTTGGAGTTTCACGAGAGAAATGTGTTCCCAGGTCCACCAGAAAACACCAGAGACCATGTCTTCCAAGCTGCAAACGCCCTAGCCGCTGGCGATTGGAAAAAGAGCTGTGACTTAATACAGGCAATCAAAATTTGGGATCTGCTCCCGAACTCGGAATCACTCAAACAGATGCTTTCTGTTCGTATACAAGAAGAAGGTCTACGAACGTACATCTTCACTTACGCACCTTTCTACGATGCTCTATCTCTAACGAGGCTCTCGGAGATGTTTGACCTTGCGGAACGGAAAGTTTCTGCTCTCGTTAGCAAAATGATCGCTCACGATGAAATAGCTGCCGCCTTGGATCAAATCAACAAAAGTCTTGTTTTCCGAAAAGGCGTCGAAGTGTCAAGATTACAGACTCTCGCTTTAGCGCTTAGCGATAAAGCCAGCGGTTTAATTGAGCTGAATGAACGTGTTTTTGAGCAAAAAGCCCAAAGCGGAGCAGTTGGGGGGCTGCAGGAGAATACTACGAGACCTGGCGGTGGGGGGAGAGGTAAGCCTCGAGGCGAGTTTTCCGGGAATTCTGGTGGTAACAGAGGCAGGGGCGGCGGCAGGGGCAGGGGCGGCAGAAATGTCCAGTTCGCGGGGGAGCGCTCTTCCGCCAAATAGTGAAACTCTACCTCCAAGCAAAGTCTGGGGTGTTATACCGGCATAAAGATAGCAAGCCTGAGGGGGTTATTTACAAATTACGTTGACTGCGTCATGTACTTAATCGAGATTGCTGAGGCTTTGGCAATTCGTGATTCTTTTTTTTTCCAATGAAGAAAGTAATAATTTTTTATCGGGGTTTGACGGTTGGGTCATAATCGTATTGTTGTGTGCCTTTTAAAATCACTCTAAGCTAAGTATCCCACTTCTTGGTGCATGATGGGGGGGATTTAGTATTAAGGTCCGACGGCCGTCAAAATCGATCGGCCTCCTGAAAGCGGATCTAAGCATATGCGGCCATGCCCTTGTTGTTTCCGATCCATCGTGTTCAGTATGGAACACACGAGCCCCAGATAATTACTATTTTAGTTGCTAGGCTTCACAGAAGTAGAGGGTTCGAACAACCTAGGTAGGTCAGGGTTCTCGGGTTTGCTTCAGCCAATACTTCTAGCCTCTACGGGCGGAATCCCAATGCAATAGCTCGCATGGATAAGTTTTGGGGCCTTCTGCAAGGAACATGCCTAAGCTACCTCTTACTACTGCTATTATTTTATTACTATTATTTTTATTTTTTTTTAGCTCAGCCCGAGTGTTTGGTACCGTGTAGCGTCTTATCGGCAGATATAACCGACGAAGTAAAGACTTGGAGCCCAAGGCGTTTGTTTCACACGTGGGCATATCTTTATCGATAGGCTCGCCTAAAACACCAAAAGAGGTTCCAAGATAGTGGACAAGGCTAAAAAAATTTTCTCTTTCGGTTTTCGGTTCTGTGGATAATCAATCACATCACCTGACAGCAGTATAATCTTATTTCAACACCCGAAAAAGTTGAACAGCAGAATAATACCAATAAGGATAATAAGAATAAGAATAATAATAGGAATGATAATAATAATAGGAGTAGTAAATAATCAAGAGATAAAATAATCGATCAGGAAAGCAAATTTCTCGCGCCTTTTGATTAATTTGATTGATTTGTACTTAAGTACGGATAATATTTTACTGTCGATCGCACCTATATAAATCAGACGTACCAACAGAACTGCCGAAATGCGAATATGAGGATTTGGTGCGAGGTAGTGACAGAATTGAACGAAACACTAGAAAGGGGAAAAGACAGTGACAATGGGAACCGGAGCAAAATGGCATATCGCCCAGTATCGTAAATGATGATGATGATGATGATGATGATGATGATGATGATGATGATGATGATGATGATGATGTTGTTGTTGTTGTAGTTGTTGTAGTTGTTGTTGTTGATATTGTCATAGATGATTCTTGCTGTTGATGATGGTGATGATGGTGATGATGGTGATGATGGTGATGATGGTGATGATGGTGATGATGGCGATGATGGTGATGATGGCGATGATGATGGCGATGATGGCGATGATGGCGATGATGATGATGCAAGTAATAATGTTAATGAAGGCAAAAGGACAATAGATGAGATGAGAAACGAAAAAACGAGAAGCGAAAAATGAAATAAAATCAAGTAATCATACAGCCACCAAACTCGCCTTAAAGATGCACACAACCTACCTGCTCTAAATTTGGGAGATAGGAAATGAATATCAAGCAAAAAAAAACGAAAAAAAAGCGAAAAAAGCGAAGGAAAAGGTGACAGAAAATGAGAAAATCGGGAAGAGGAAAACGAGATAACTATGAAAGAAGGGAAATGAAATGGCTATGCAAAGGGAGACACAAGATTTGCATCACCCGAATATATTACAGCGGAACAGACATCAAAGAAATCGCCTGTATCAATGCCAAAGGCCTAGCAAGTTGCGAATGAAGGGATGGCAGATATGTGTTGTATATTGGCGTCCCACAAAACCGTGTCCATCTCAGCCCATTAGATGAAGGGGCTAAGAAAAACCCGAAGGACCTGTCGTCATTACCAGTCTCCCGTAGATCAAGTTTCTCTCCCAATGACAACCCGGGGCCGAATATCGGAACTACGTATGGGTATATGACGCACTAGGCACATCCGGATCCGCGTCCGCGTCCGCATCGGGTTCCTCGGCTCCAGGCGGTTGCCTTGGTTGATATAGATGGTGACTCGGGGCGTGTGCGTAGGCCCCATGGGGGTACGCGCCATACATGTTGGCAGTAGGGGGGTTGAAACGCTGGAGCTGTTCCAGGTTTCCGGCTGCTTGTTGCGTATAGTGGTGCATACCAGGCTGCATCGGAGGTTGTGAATATCCAGGTGGTGGGAGTTGACGTTGCTGTGGGACGTTGTTATATTGGCCTGATGCCGTTGGCGTATTGTTGTCCATAGATGACAAACCATCCAATTGACGCTGCTGTTGACGTGCTTGCTCCTCTTCCTGTTTCTTAGCTGCCTCCTCTTCCTTTTTCCTCTGTTTCCATTCCTTCCTAATTTCTTTAAATTCTAGACCGGTTTAAAAACATGTTAGCAAAGTTATGATCAAAGACTATATAGCATGTACTAGACAAAGGAATACGCATTACCTTCTGGCGTCCTCTTGACCCCGTGAGATTGCATTGTGACATGAGCGTTAAGATGGTTCAATGTTCCGTAAGCCTTTTCGCAACCGTTCCAGCCGCATTTGTACATTCTTTCTATTTCCTCATAACGCCGTCTTGGACGTTTGTGCTGCTGTGCCCCAGGAATCGGCACGAACGAATACACTTGCTGTTGTTGAGCTAACGGGTGCTGCTGGTCTTGAGAAAGACGTTTTCGACGTGACTTATCGGTTATTCGTGGAGTGGCAGTCGTTGGGGACGATTGATTAGAAACCGACGCGGTGGGTGAGGTGTACTGTTGAGGAACGGAAGGGTGGTATTGACCCCATTCTGGTCGCCAGCCCGTGTGCTGAGGGGGATAACCAGCTTGCGAGATATCGTGGCCTGGTTGAGGTGGGTAGGGCGAGTATTGTGAGCCTTGTGTGTACGGGGGACTGGAGGCTGCCATTCTTTTACAGATCTGTATTCCAGTCTTCCGGGTGAAATGATTGTTAGTTACTGATAGTACGCCTGAGGTTTGACCAAGGAGAAGGGTTTTGAAAAAGTCAAGAAAAAGGAAAGAAAGGACAAAAATGGTAAACAAAAAATATATACTTTAGGCAGTATATAAAATAAGAGGATATGGGTACTTTGGCGTTTCCCCCACAAAAAAAAAAAAAAAAAAAAAAAAAAAAGGGAAGGGAAGGGAAAGGAAAGGGAAGGGAAGACAGAAAGAAAGAAAAATAAAAATGTATAATAAAAATAAAATAAAATAAAGAAATAAGTACTGATGAAGAATAATATAATAGAATAACGGAGAGACGAAATAAGAAATAATCGAAAGAATGGCGAATAAGGAAAGGTGAGGGAAAACAAACTGTAAAATCAATCCTGTAGTGGGAAAAATGGTGTGGGTGATCGTGGGCACAGGAAGCTAGACAATAGATCTGGGTGTGAGAAGGGTAAGGTCAAAGCAGGAAATGCAGGTAATCGAGAGTAGCCCGATCCTCACCGCTAAACGGTGTTTGTAAAACGTTCTCGAAAGTCGAGTAGCAAAATCCGAGGGAATGAGAAGCTGGACGGCTTGCTAGTGGGAAAGGGAAGGGTTAAAAATAATAAAAAAAGAAAGAAAGAGAGAACAGAAGGAAGGGAAGAGAGTAGAAAAGGGAAATAAAAATAAAAAATATAAAAAAATATAAAAAAATAAAATAAAAAATAAAAAATGAAATAAAAAAGGAAGAAAAAGGAAAAAAAAAAAGGAAGGGAAAGGATGTTGAAATCGGCGGAACCTTCAGAGCCAAGAACAAAAGCTGCACAAAAAAGAAGCGTAAGGGAGGTAAGGAGGGTAGGGGCAAGATGGGTGGGTTGGTTGGGTGCAAGTAGGTAAGTAAGAGTAGGTAAACAGGCGTGAGTGGGTGAGCAGGTAGGTAGGTAGGTACCTCTTGGGTCGGTACGTAGGTAAGTATGTATGTATGTAAGTACTTAAGTATGTAGGTAGGTAGGTAGGTAGGTAGGCAGGCAGGCAGGTAAGTAGATAGTAGGCAAAGTAGGTAAAGTACTACTTAGTAGGTAGTAAGCAAAGCAAGCAGACAAGCAGACAAGCAGACAAACACATAGACAGACAAAGCAATGCAAGTAAAGAAGTAAAAGTACCTAAAAGCGAAGCTAAGGCTGAACAATTAGCTGCTTTGTGCTCCCTGACAGACAGACAGACAGACAGACAGACAGACAAACAGACACGGTCCCAGGCCAGGCCAGGCCAGGCCCATGATAGGACAAACCACAAAGCAATAACGGCAGGCAGGCAGGCAGGCAGGCAAGCAGGCAGGCAATTCAAACAAGTAAGCAGTAGTTCTTTAATGTATGTATGTACGTTACCTTGAAAATAGTAATAATAAATAATAAAATAGCAAATATCCTGACAGATAGCGTAGGGTTCTGGATGGGAAAGAAGCGAGCGAGCAGTAGCTTGAAGATAAATAATTTAGCACCAGCTGCACCACTAAAGTGCCGTGCCGACCTCTCCAAAAAAAGACGGATATCGGGTTGGATTATGTGGTGAATGATGAACTTTTTTTTCTTTTCTTTTCTTTTCTTTTTTCTGTTCTTTTCTGGATATTTACTTCTTCCTTTGAGATACTTACATGCTGCAATACATAGATCCCGGTCGGTCCCAGATGCAGACAGACACACCCACACGCACGCACGCACACACACACACCCATACGCACACAGACAGGACACAGACACAGACAGACAGACATACATACATACATACATACATACATACATACACACACACAAATAGTCCTGGGTACTAGGTAAGTAAGTACTTAAGTATGTATGTATGTAAGTATGTAAGTATGTAAGTATGTAAGTAAGTAAGTAGGTACTTAGCAAGTTATCCTTATTGTTTTCTTTTCTTTTCTTTTCTCTTATTTATTATTTTCCCGATTCCGGAAAGTTTTTTGTTTCTTTCCGGCATCAAATACGGAGCCAACGGAAATAGTAGCATGTAAATAAAATATATGTATGTCTGGGGGGCATCGTCACGAAGGGACCCCCCGGGCCCCCCTACATACCTCCTAAGTACACTTACCTACTTACCTACTTACCTACCTACTTATCTACCTACCTAGATATACAACCCCGTATGTAAGCTTTATAGACTCTATTGTGCGTACAATGTGCGTTATGTACGTATGTATGTGTGTCTGTCTGTATGTAAGTATTTATGTATGTGTGTACTTATTTACCCTGGTCCCCACTATAGTTTAATATCCACTCTATATATACACTACCTACTTAAGTAAGTACCTACTTAGTACCTAACTTACCTACTTATACATATACTCCGTACCTTTTTGCTTGTTTTTCCTTTTCCTGGGTTCATAAGTCCAAAACACTTGCTTACTATCTACTGTAAGGGCTAACTACCTACTTAGAACTTACTTGGCTATACATATGCATCCATCTAAGATGCATCTACCTAAGATGCATGTATATGTGGATGGATGGGCAGATGGATGCTTTACCAACAGGTAAAATGAAAATAAAATAAAATAAAATAAAATAAAATAAAAATAAAAATAAAAATAAAAATAAAAATAAAAATAAAAATAAAAATAAAAATAAAAATAAAAAATAAAGACTCCCAAGTCCGGAGATATCATCCATAGCATCCGGACTTGGGAAATGCCTCCGGGATTTAAAAAAAAAAAAAAAAAAAAAAAAAAAGGATAAGAAGAAAGAAAAAAAAAGCAGAAAGAAGAAAGAAGTCGCATTTATCTCCTCCTTCTCTACTCAGTACACGTGAGCATCAATTACTTCCGCATCCTTCTTTTCTTCATTCCTGTTCAGAGCCACACACGTAAACATGCACATGGGTCGAAGGGTAATTATAAGCAGCTGCTGAATTCCTCCAGCCATCTGTTTTGAATCAACGTTGCCACTGATATCTGTATCCGGTCTTGGCCATGATACGATGTGTTTTTCTTCTTCATCCCTCGTTACCAGTCTCTGATCGCTCGCTGCCATTGGACCGAAGTCTGCGCTAGTGCGTTGTCGGAACTGCTCGAATTGCATGGCAAGACAAGACTGACGGCGCCCGTGAAAATATGGAGCTGCAGACATCCTCGACTCAATTCAATCCAGTTTCGATCTCATTCCCTCTTAAACCTTGGCAATTGGCTCTCGGAGTCCTCCAGCTCCCTAAAACAACTTTAGGCTTCCCAATGACGCTGGTGCTCTTGGAAGGTCCCGGCTCCTCTCCCTTATCTACCGATTAAATTGTTCAAAGAGGACGCAGTCCTGTATTGGTAAATACTCTGAGGAATTCAGGATTTGTTTGCATGTGGCCACCTTTTTTTCCCTTCACTTTTTTCGGTCACCGGAACCGGCAAAGTGCCCGGGCTCTTCAGCCAGCTCAGTAACTTGCTATCCAGATCCAGGCTAAGTGACGAGCTGAGCTCTTCCCGTTTCTGCTCTTTCATCGCCCCACTGTGAACTCTGAACTTCCTGGAAACCTCCAATCCCCACAATCGTACAATCTTTCTCTCCCTTCCCTCTCCCTTTTTTTTCTTCTCACTTTCCTGCCTCCCATTGACCATACATCCATCCATATAAATACCTACTTAAGTACTTACTTATTAGTATTAATTGAATTGGGTACTTGGTATATAGATGCGATAGGAATAGAGGCTCGTGTTGTTGCAATATATACCTGGTACTTACAAAATAATCAGAAGACTCCACTATTGTTCCGAGGCCAGAACTTTGTGGCCAGAACATTCGAGTCTCCGTGAAACAATCCGAGTTTACCGAGACGTCTTGCCTCGGATCTAATACCCCCCCCATCCCATCCCGCACTTATACATGTACATATACATTCCTAAGTCCTTGAGTACTTATTACTGTGTATACCGATCTCATCACGACGTCGTTGCCATCACCCTTCGGGAAACCCAAGCCCTTTTATCAGAAAATGTGCATTCTGCTTTGGACAACCGCATGTGCCAATAAAGGATATCCTTTGATACTACTCTCCAACCGAGATGTGTGTGTGCCCATGCCCGCCTGTGTTTATCTGTATTTATCACCATCCCCTGACTTATAAAACTCTCATTTTGCTCTAGGAGTTTTTACAACGCCCTACCCAAACCGCCGGCCCCTGGGATAAGGATACATATGGGGGGCGAGACTTAGCCCGACCCGAAAATGGTAAGACCGAGCCCTCGAATCAACCCAATTCTCAAGAGCTTACACTCTTAGATACCGCCAGGCACATGGCTCGGGATCACCCGACGTGGTCGGTTTGCTGGTCTTACCAACATTCGCGAGGCAACCTCCATCGCGGCCGTGGGAACCGCTAGTAGAGGGGCCGTTGTTTCGTCCTTTCTAACCTCTTCGGACAGCACTTGCCAATCATGGATAGGCCTAGGGACTCAGGGCCCCAGCGCCGGTCTGGATATTGACCAAGTTGGGGGTTTCTCAATGTTATGCGGTCAATTCTCTCGGGACCAACAAAACCGTGTCCAGATTGACAGCCTTGGGGTGATCTCAAATCGGGCAGAGGGACAAATACATGAAAGAAAACACGAAATCATTGATCCTACGAAACCGGGAACATATGGTCTCAGTAACTCCGCTTTCACAAACCCATGGCCCAAGGTGGTCAATGGCGAAACCCTTCTAAATGAGCTCGTCGAAAATATCCAACATGACAGGCTCACCGACCGCGAGATAGCACAGAAGGGTTTCGAGATCCTTACATCCGATTCAGTGAGCGAGGACGAGGCATGGAAAGATATGCGTAACAGGTTGGATCTTTTAAAACAGTCGGTGTTTATACCAATGTTCGAGACTCAAAGCTTCGTCAGTCCTAGCGATGCAACTACAACTGGGCAAGACCACGCGTTGTCAGGGCTCTATAATTTCTATGGTACCCAGAAACAGACCGTTATAATCGTTCACGAGTCGGGTGCCGTGAGATATGTGGAAAAAACACTCTTTGATTGGCTGCAGGGAACTACCCATGCGGCAAATAACACAGTAGATATTATCTTTGACCTTGATCTTTGAGCACAGCTCAAACTTTCTGTGCATATGTACAAATATCGAAAAAGGACAGTACACAAAAAAAACAGTTTTAGGGAAGCCAGTTACGTTGGAGGAAAGAAAAATAGCTGCTGTCCTGCACTGTTCAAAAACTCACGGCCTCTCGAGGCTCAAGGACCCGCAACCTAGGATTTTAGAAGGGACTCGAATTTAACATACACAGCCGCATTATGCTAATATTTAGACTATTTAGCAATTTAAATGCGGCCTTAAGCATATGATCGAGTAAGATTTCTCAGATACCAATCCACGAGCTTCCGCCCGACCTTGGCTTCCGAAATGTGTATCAAATCCTAAATTGATAATATGTTAATAGTTGTCTTAAGAATCCGGATGAAAGAGGGTCCTACCTTTTGGAGAGCATAGTCGAGATCAGACGTGTTGATGGTCTCCCCACTCAGTAGCCCACCCTCTGTCCATTTATACTGCCTAGATTTTTGTTTGAAAATCAAGAGTTTGTTGCGTAGATCGTCCGGGTCGATTTCTAGGAAAGAGGCAAGTTTATGAAGATCCATACTAGTATAGAGCTTCAAGTAACTCCGGAGAATTGGGGCCATCATATTATTTTTGACGTCAAACATGAAAACTTGCAGATGATGCTGCATGGGGTCAATGTTGTTTGCTGGGCTATCGAAGTCTGGGGGTATGGGTGATATGAATTTAGGTGCGGATGCTTGAAAAAGTTCCTCAAAAACCGCAAGGCTGTCTTCTCCACCACGTTGAAGCTTTTGGAATTGATCGGCATACTTTTCGCGTAGTGTCGAATGGATAGTATCATCGAGACGAGTAGGGCAGAGTGCCACACACATAGCCAGTAAAGCATACATTTGGTCCATGGTTTTCGAGATCTAAGTCATATGTTAACGCATCTGTTAAACAAAATACGGGCTCGAGGTTGTGGACGTACTGAATCAAATTGGCCACCCTTATTGTGTAAGTTTTTTGTACGTGTTATGTAGAGCAGAATATGAGAGAAGGCCTTGATGGCATCGGAGTATCTTCCCATCATCATATAGCAAAATCCGACATAGTAGTATGTCGTAAAGTGGGCTCCCATCACCCTAGCGAACACAGCTTTCTTATTGAGCTCGATATCGTCGAGAGTTTTAAGGGCCAGCGTAAAGTCACCCAATAAGCAGTGGACCCTTAGCAACCCAATAATACTAAAATAGCCTAGCATGCGGTAGAGAGGGCGGGAGCCATACTCTCCTGCAACAGTACTATTTGAGACGTTTCAGCTTGAGGCTTCCAAAGGCCGGAACGAACGTGCTTACTTTGGGTCCTCTCCTCGCTTGATTGCCGCCAGTTGCTCGTTCATTTGGGATCTCTGAATCAAAGAATATAGTATCTTTTTGTTTGAAACGTGGTTGCCATTAGCAAAAATCGAGGATTAGATAGTCAGAGGTATTACATTTAGAACACTATAGCAACCCCATATTTGTTGGTTCTCCCGGAGTGATGCTATTTCCTCTTGACTCTGCCCTTTCTTGGCCAACCGATTTCGATAGGCACAAAAATTGTTGAATTGATAGATAAATTCGTCAATCACGTCCCACGCCCAATAGTACTGTGACGAATTAGCGAAATGTAAAATCGAAAAAGAAAGCCTTATTTGTCGTTGGTATCACAACTGCAAATTGCGGGACGTACTGTGGGAAGGTCAAGCTCTACTGGGCCGTTAGAGTTTAGAATGAAGTGAAACAGACTGCAGTAATTGTCGTATGATGCGTATCGTGCCTCGAGAGAGGCCTGGTATTCAAGTGGGGTTGCGGCGGCTTGTAATCTGCTCTGAAGGTCATCTTCCCGAGATTGTAGAGTTTGTAAGGTTTGTGATGGGTCTTCATCATCATTCTGGATTGCTTCGACAATTGAGGCGGCTAGGATGCCTTCGTCATCGAAGTCGTCGTCTTCGTGGGTACCATTCTGGTACTGGGTTTGCCTTGTAAGCATCCTTCTCGTGCTAATATGAGGGAAGGGTATTGATTATTAGTGAAAAGTTATGCGAGTGATATTTTGGAGCGGTAATCCTTGATCTTCTGTCCGATTGGACTGCTGTGTTTAGAGTTGAAAGCTCGACAAAAGTGCTACAGAGAACAGAAATTGGTTTCCAAAGGTTCTCGGTGGTGTTGTAGTTGTTGTGGGATAAGTACTGGTTTAAAAAATCTCCTAAGGGAGGAAAAGAAAGAAAAGTGAGGGAAGGATAGCCCTGTCGGTCACGTGGATTTAGATATCAAACCTATTTGTAACGTCCCACAACACGAAACGGACAAAATACCGATTCCGACACTACCTTAACACCAATGCCCAACGAGTAATAACTCGGACTACACTGTTGAAATGCTACCAAAAGATGATTCCAGGGATGACGACGAATGGTAAGCTCTTAAAACTTCGAGTTACTTATATCGTATTTTAAACATCCTCGGTGATTCTGACAGTTCCTATACAGGGACATACGGATCCAGAAAACGGGCTGCGCGTGTAAGCCAAACGGCCTTTCATGATTTCGGCACATGCTGACCCTTTACTTAGGGGAAAATGAGAACCTTCAAATGTGCTTCGACAAGAATAAGGATTGGCGCGTCTGTCAGAAACAAGTGAGCTGACCGTGTTCGATATCCGTAGTAATTACTTATCGTTTGTTGATTGGTTATCGAAATAGTTACAGGAGTTTAAGAACTGTTGGGAAAAATACAAAAAAGACGAGGCAGACACAGGCACGAAACGGGTAGACTGATCAACTTCCACGCATCGGATGGATATACCAATGACAGACGGGGAGAGGGGGTTTTATCCCGCCAAGCAAAGAAAGCCCAGATCCTCCATGTGATCAAACCATCCCCCGGGTCAATACCACCATCACTAGAAACAGGACTTCATTGTAAGATGTATTTGTGGAATTCAATTGTTCCTCAATTGATCACGAGCTCTTCCATCCAGGAGATTTGGCGCTTTTTCATTGCCACTGAGTTTGATTATTAAACAAACCATCCTCCAGGGTCCGGTCTTCGAGAGTCCTGATAAAATCTCGCTGGGACCTCTGCCCGCCTTGACCCGCCTGACTGCGTCTCCTCGACTTACTACCACTCGCTGCTTCCCCGTCTGATGGGGGGGGATAGTAAGCGGGACTAGGCTGTAGCCGGATAGGCTGATTGGGATCTAGCAGCATTGCGTGACGTGAAAGTTGGGGGGGTATACCACTATCATTTTGTCCTATTGTAGAAGCACGTTGGCGCCCAGCCCGGGTGGTGGCAGTCTGGTATAGGCTCGGAGGCTGTTGCTGCGCATGGTACCCGCCCCCGATTGGCTGTTGGCTCGGTTGGTGTTGTGCTGTTGGCGAAGCATTATACCCTGCGTGGTTTGTGTTATAGGGTGGCGGCGGATTGACAACTTGCTGTTGGAATTGCTGGCCACCGTTGGTACCGTAATTTGGGCCACTATACGTTGGGGGTTGGGTTTGTGCGGGGTGGGACGCCGGGTTAGTGTATCCGCCAGCAGAGGGGTTTTGGTAGTTAGCGGTTATCTGCTGAGGTATCCCGCTTGTATTAGATTTATTCTTCAAGGCCTGATCAGGGTTGCTGCTAATGTGCTGCGATGAGATAGTTTGGGGGTTGCTGCTTTGGCTTGTATTCGATGCCATAGGCGGGTGTGGAGATTTTGGCAATCCACCGGATGGGGATGACTTGAGATTCATGGGCGGTACGAACGGCCCGGTAAATTTTTGTTGTGTTATGAAGGGATGAAGTTTTGCTTGTTGCGGAGACCATCTTTCCAATGGATTTATGTTCAACAACCCTCGAACAAAGTCAATGAAAGCCACCCGGTTGTTCATTTCTAGAGGCATGTTAACAGGGGTTTCAGAGAGCAATAGCAGCGGTATCAGGATAACGGTTAATACCTCTTTCTATCTCTGCTGGTTTCATGTTTTTTCGCGGCATCGCATATTGATTTATGATGTCGGGGAGTGTGGTAGCCTGGAAATATCTCTTGCTAGGTTGTTCTTTAGTGCCATGTTCACGGGAGTATGTTTCCATACTTTTTAATCGATAAGTCTTCCTTCCGAATTCGTCAGTGACTTTCTCAAAAAATTCTCCCGATTGCTTCCCCATTTCCAACATCCAAGTTGGTGGAAGCCCTAGCATCTCGACGATCCGAGCAACTTGATTATATTCGGAGCTACCAGGGAACAAAGGGAGTCCAAGAAACAACTCCACCACAATACATCCGAGAGACCACATGTCGATGGCGGAGGAATATCTGGTTTTATAGGGGTTTTCGTTAGAAATCTTCTTCTTCTTCTTCTTCTTCTTCTTCTTCTTTTTATGCAGTTGGGGTATAGCATACGGTAATAGGAGTAAGACCTCGGGAGACCGATAAAATCGGGACTGAATATACGTGTAGACAGTTTGCCTCTCATCACAAGCAGATCCAAAATCAATCACTTTTATAATGGGGCTCTCTAGGCTGTATAGAATGACCCCATGTTAGTGGCTGTAGAAGAGAATTCTGGAGACATTACTTAAACTTTCTTTTTGAGGAGAATATTTTCAGGTTTGAGGTCGCAATGGATTAGTTTGGCCTTATTCAGCAGTGTTAATGCGTTTAGAAGCTGCTGGGCAAACACCCGAACTAATGTAGTACTCAACCCCCGGAACTGGTTTTGTTTGATGAGTTCGTAGAGGTTGACACTTAGGAGTTCGAAGACCAGGCAGAGGTGTTGCCGATGTATGAATGTATCCTTAAGTCGGAGTATATGATGCTCGTCGTTTTTATCAAGCTTGCTATTCAACTATGTTCCAATACAGTGTCAGACGAATTCGTTGATCTACCGGGGGGGGGGGGGTGTAGATTTACTGACCAAATCCAGTACGGAAACCTCCATCATGCTCTGGTTGAAATATGCTGTGCGGTTTTTGACAACTTTCACGGCAACAACCTCTTGCGTTCTTAAGTTTTGACATTTAACGACCTGGCCGAATGTACCTTGCCCTAAGACATCGAGGATAAGGTAGCGGTTCCTATATTGCTAGTTAAGTCCCGAACACTTTCTAGGTTCTATAGATGCTTACTTATGTCCCGCCTCCTCGGAGCCAAGTATGTCATTTACATATAATATGTAGTCGCTGTCCTCGTTGTCATATCCATCATTCTTAACGCCTTTGCTAGGCTTCGTTAATACCCGTCTAGGATTTCGTGATGATTCGTATTTAAAATTTGGGTTGCAAATCCTGTATGTCGCCGGCAAGTAGCTGGTAAGGGCTTGAACTGGCTGTGCAATAGTTAGTCTGGTTAAAAAACGATGGGGGATATGGTAGCCCTCGGGGCATAATTACACTGATGAAACCACCTTCGGGGTGCGCTCTCCGGTATGCTGGCTGAGCATTTGTGTGGCCAACGATGTCCTTCGATTGTGTAGTTCGGACAAAACTATGTACGATTTCTGTTTTGGGCAGAGGATAGGAAGAGCTCGTGGCTGAAGCACCACCGGGGCGAGGCGCCTGTGTTCCAGGTATATGCATCATAGTGTGTGGTAGAGGCCGGGAGTCTGAATCAAGATTTGGCTGTGGGATCTGCGAAGAAGTGTGGGAAAGGGGTGCTATAGTCGGGGGGGGGAGAGTGCTATGAGCTCCGTGTTGTAGAGGCGATGCAACGTACTGGGAAGATGAAGCTGTGCCTAAAGCCGCCTGCGGTGGGAGCGCGTATGACTGTACTGGTGCAGCGAATTGTTGTTTCTGGGCGGGTGAGTTGCAAGGTGGCTGCTGCTGCTGCTGTGGTTGTTGATGTTGATGTTGATGTTGATGTTGATGTTGATGTTGATGTTGATGTTGATGTTGCTGTTGCTGTTGCTGGAAGTGAGGGTTTCCAAGAAGACCCGATGGGGTTGAAGCCATGTTGCTGTTGATCAATCGATCGACTGGTTGATTGATTGATTGATGTTGATTGGGGGAGGGGTTCGGTCGGTAACCACGCAGTGAATTGGGTAGGCTTTTGTCGCTACGACGACGATGACGACAAAATTTAATCCCGAGCTTAAGCTTTAGTTGTCGAATAGGCTAGAGCAACTGAGGGAATAGAATCAGAGGCAAGAGGCAAGAGGCAATTCAAGAGATAAAGAAGTAAATACCTACGTAGGTAACGACCTAAGCCGGGGGTACCTTAGGGTACTTGTTTAACTTCTTAGGGACGGCGGGGGTGCTGTGCAGTTACAGTGGGGTTTCGCATACATATAATATATTTACTTAGGTAAGAACCTAGATAGGTGACCTACTTATTTAACCACATAAAGGTACCTACCTACTACCGAGACCTACCTACCTACCTCTTACCTACTTAAGTACTTATTTAAGTAAGTATTTAAGTATTGACCTACCAATGATAGTATCCCGCCGAGCATGAACGTACTCGTGTACTCGGGCACGTCAACCCAAATACACCCCACAAATAGAGCCATCCATTAATATCGTCATTTCCTTCATAAATATCTAGGTCCCGGTACCTCCACCGAGTCTGTCAAGCAATGCATCGACACCCTAAAGCGTTTACTACTTCCATATTACGCCATCGCACCTATCAGCGCCGAGGCTATCACGAAAGAGCCCTGGGCATCAACCTGCGCCTTGTTTTGCATGCCCGGTGGCGCTGATCTGGGATATTGCAAAGCTCTCGACGGGTCTGGGACTCGAATTCTAAAACAATATGTCCGTCGAGGGGGGAAGTATCTTGGTTTTTGTGCTGGAGCCTACTTCGCCTGTGCAGACATCGAGTTTGAAAAGGGAGACCCATCCCTAGAGGTTACGGGATCGAGAGAGCTTGGATTTTTCCCTGGGCTCTGTCGGGGGGCAGCATTCAAAGGGTTTAAATACAATAGCGAAGCTGGTGCTCGCTTCTGCAAGCTGGATACGACCAGTAAGCTTTTGGATATGGGCGCGCCGGATAATTTCAAGAGCTATTTCAACGGAGGAGGCGTTTTCACCGATTCCGACCTCTTGATGAATCGAGGGATTGAGACCCTAGCCCGGTACCGGGATAAGCTCGACATCAGCGAGGAGGGAGGGAACGCTGCGGCTGTGGGGTGTCAGGTTGGTGCCGGCTATGCCATATTAGTTGGGGCCCATCCAGAGTGAGTTTGAAATTGCATGATACTTTGGGAATCACAACCCGTTTTAATAGTATATAGGTTCGTCACAGGAACGCCAAAACAATTATCATCCATAATACAAGGGGGAAGGAATGGTATCCCAGACGAATGGGGATCAAATGAAAAACGGCGGCTGATGTTTATGTCAGCAATATTTAAACTCCTTGGGCTCAAAAGCAACAGCAGTACAGAGTTGAAATCACCTCCTTTGTCAGACCTTCACCTTTCAGGATTAAATCCTGGGGAAGTTTCCGACCTCCTGAAGACTTTGGGAATCCTGAGGAATACGAATGGGAGTGAAGCTAACCCCACGGTTATTGAAGCGGAAAACACCACATTTCTATTCGAGGATGGAGGCATCACAGCACACAAATCGATGCTCGAGAGCTTTGTGGGTGACAGTTCCATGACCACTCGTGTAAAAACATACGAGAAAGCCCCTCCTTTACATGAAAAAACCCCATATTTCAACATCTCAACCTACTTCCAACATTTAAGAAGCTACCAAGATCAACCAGCCAAGAAGATCAGCTACGGATCAATTCTCCTTTATGGCGAGCTCATGACGAGCACAAACTCCATCATTGACAAGTAACCACCCCTCACCCGCGTATCTGTGTTCAAACTTGCTAATGCCCATTCCCGCCAGAAACTTCAAACTCCTCCAGAAACTGCCATCCGGCTTCACAGTGGTCGCAACGACACAGACAGCGGCTCGGGGACGTGGCTCTAACCCGTGGATCTCGCCTCTAGGCGGGTTGGTTTTCTCAGTAGTCGTGCGGCACAATATCAAACATGCTTTAAAAGCGCCAGTTGTATTCATTCAATACCTGGTTGCCCTGTCCATTGTAAAGTCGATAAAATATTATGATACTGGTTATGATAAAATTCCCATCTATATAAAATGGCCAAACGACATTTGTAAGTCATCCCCCTTCCTTGAGTCGAATGGAACCTAAGACGGGAAACAAATCGCAGATGCTAGAGCCAAAAGTAATATGCTGGGCAAGCCGGATAACAAGAGTGATTTTTCCAAAATCGGGGGTATCTTGGTGAATGCGAATTTTTCCAGTGATGAATTTTTCTTGGTGATAGGTAATAGCTTATGCTGTCTGAAAAAACGATTTAACGTTACTAATTATCGAAGGATGTGGCATAAACGTTACGAACACGATGCCTACGACTTCGCTCAAGATACTTGCGGAATCTGTGGATCCTCCACTTCCTGCATACGAACATGAAAGGCTCCTAGCAAAAATAATGGTCACATTTGAGCTCCATTACGCAAGATTCCTCAAGGAAGGGTTCCAGGCTTTTGAACAAGAGTACTATAAATACTGGCTTCACAGGTAATTCCCTCTACGCGCGAACAAACCTGTAATAGTTGTCTCTAACTGGCTAGAACAGCGATCAAGTCGTGAATCTCGAAGACAGCCACAACTCTAAGGCGTGTATACAAGGGATATCCATGGACGATGGGATGCTTGTGGTTTCGGAGCTTAATGAGCATAACGTGCGTACAGGAAAGCAATTCAAATTACAAGCAGATGGAAATAGTTTCGATTTTTTCAACGGACTCCTCCGGAAAAAAAAATAAGACAATAATCCCAAAATGCAAGTGATAGATTTCACAAGTAGCATTGACGATATACGATCATGTTCACATACTTTTATGGCTCTCCAACCCGATACTGTTGTCATTCCTCAGGCAATGATAAGTCGAATTTCCAAGCCGTAACGCCATCATAAAATATGTTTCGTAACTAAACCCTCGCTATTAAATCAAGGAAGAAATGTGAAGAACAATCCAAATGACAATGAGAAAAGAGTACTAAAGAGCACAAGCATACGGATCGCAGTGGTATCGAGTGTAACGGCAGAGGATGTGTCACAAGTCGGACATTCGAAGTCTATACAGCAAGGGCATATGTAAGCTAGAAGTATTGGTCATCTAAAACTAGTCCAACTTACCGGCAAGAGGCGTGTATGGTTTAGGAGTATACATCCCAAATCTTAATCCATTAAACGGCGCTAAATTCCCAGCGACAGGTATGGCAGTGATTGCCGACTTCTCGTCATAAATCAAAAGTGTATATGTTCCCCTACGAATGAGATTTAAATATTAGCCAATTCGAAAGCAGACAACCGTTCGTGTAGGTGAGGCATGTTACATTGCGAGAGGTGGTTGGCCGTTTTGTGGCTGAAATGAGCCAGTATCCCAAACTACCGATGGTTTTGCGATCGATAGATTTTGCGCAATTGTATATGTCTGGCTATTCCCAGAGCAAAAGGCTTCGACATTTACTGCAGACGGACTAACGATCAAGCTCGTGTAATTCCAGCCAAATGTAATTTTCTGTCCGATTTTATAGTACTGAGATCCACTAGTTGTTATAGGTGTTTTGATGGCCACGCCCCCTGGGGGTAATCTTGGATCAACGAAAGTTGCTTTGGCTCTGGTCGTTGGCGATGATGATGATGCACCATTCCTCCCGGTACTTCGACTCGCGGGCGTGTCAGAACCAGTTGTCCTTGCTGGAGATGATGTTCGCTCGGGAATAGATGCTGATGAGGCTGGCTCCGGGTCTGAAGTTTCTGGATACCCACGGTATTAACAATAAAAATCATAAAGTAGCTTCTAGGAGTTATATCATTTACCACGGGCTTGTCGCCGATAGTTCGGTCCAACTTCAAGGGCTGATCCAAGAACGCACGGAGATATATTGAGCAAAAAGACAGACGATAAGACGAAGGTCTTTAGAAGATGCATTTTCCTATAATCTTCTCAAAGGAGAGGAGGAGATAGGGAACACTAAAGAAATTCTGAAATTCAAATATTGCGATCCAGCAGGTTTCGTTAGAAGACGTTTAACGTTTAGGATGTGCTCTGCAGTAAATATGGTTCCAGGGACAGGCCTTTTTGGGGGGTGAAAAGTGCTGACGGAGGGAACGAGTGTTGAGAAAAGGAGAAGGGTGCAATTCAACAAAGAAACTATTAAAATGGAATTAATAACAAATCGGAAGATTATTCAATCGGTGCAGAGGAAGAAGATGAAAAGGAAAGAGAGAAAGAGAGAAAGAAAGAAAGAAGGGGGGGAAATGCTTTTGAACGAGAGTTTAAGATGATTGAAGAGATGCAAGAATGCCTGAAAAATGAAAGGGGTGTTGATAGAGGAGACGGAGATGGCTGAAAGAGAAGGCAGTAAAATTAGAATGAAAAGAAGTTACATCAAGGTGCTGCTAATTTGGGATGCCACCATCCAGACCAGCTTTGCCAAGATTCCCCTGTCCCCGTCCCTAGTTCGCTTCCCGTGGTCACGTGTATGATATTTTTCTCATTCACTACCACCACTATCATTACCACTCTCACTGCTATCTCTACCAATATCGTTACTGCTATCATTACCACCACCATTACCACTGTTATTACCACTGTCACTACCATCACTATTGAACTTCGTTTTTAATCTCTTTGACTCCCTCGCCGTCTCGTCCAGTATTGATCGCTTCTGGCGAGCCAAGGGCATGTCGGGTTGTCCATTTCCGTCTGCATGGAGCGTTGCCTTGCTCATAGCCTCCCGTAGAACTCGCTCCTTTTCAAAAAACTCTTGATCTCTTTCATAATCGGAATCATCATCCGAAGACCCAATATACAGCCCACTTTTGATCCCCCGCCTCCTTTCCCTTTCCTTAAGTTTATGTTCCTCGCGTCGGCGGTGTGCCTCGTTTTCGTCCATGTTCATCTTTTTCGCCAATCTCACCTCTGGCCCTTTCGTACTTCGCGATTTTCTAGCTTTGAGGTTGTCAGGAAATTCGGGTTCAAATGCTTCGCTTGCGGAATCTTTTTTCCATTCGCCACTTGAATCCGAGGATTTTAATTCAATTTTTTTCCGTTTCATCGTAAAACAATCAACCAACGCCTTCCCATCCCCAAATTCTGATATCGGCGACTTCATATACCGCAAAAATGTCGTAATACTTTCTTGAAGTGTCTGAAAGGAAACTGTATCGGGTAACACATAGCAGAATTCCTGTGGATCTAGGAATCATTTCTCGAGTTAGATTGTTCGAGATTTCAGCGTCAGGGATGCAAGGGCTTCCTAAGCGCTTACGGGATCCTTCGGGTTCGAAATCGAGAACCTTCATCAAGAGTTGCAACTTATTGCTTGAAAAGTGCAGCTGGGTATGGGTGTCGCCTTCAAACTTGACAGCTATATACGATCATCCATCAGTGATGAGAACAGCTCGTCTTTAAAAGGTGTATTGCTCACCAATCGGGCAAAGTTTTCTCAGGTCACCAGGACCTTTGTTAGGATGTACCGATGAATCCTTTGTCTCCCAGCCCCGACGTTCCTCAACCACACAGTACAGCACCCTTTCCACCCAACCAAATTGTTTGCAACATACATCATCCTGCGAGACAAGCCAAACAGCAACTGCTATTCGCTTTTCTTTGTCCAAGCCCTCTTCAAGTTCAATCGTAAGGGAGGGCCTACTTATTGTGTCAGAAAGCAGAGTAGATTATCAGGCCTCTATCACTCACGGTAGCTCTCGATTGCAGCGGCTCCTATCCTCACCGTGTTCAATAAAATAGCCGATTCTTTGAGACTTCTGGAATAGTATCTATAGAGATCTGTCAGTTACGATCTCAATGATGAGGTTCTTACATGTGCACATACTTCCACGAACAACACCGGATATTCGCTGAGTTTACGGACAAGATGTTTACTGAAGAATCGAACAAACCCAGCAATCTCGGTATAGCCTTGTGAACCCTTGGTGTCTCTAGCTACGGCTTGAAGTATGTATATGGCTTTGAGATGAAAAAGCCCTACAGTGGCCCCTCTTTTCACAAAAACACGGTGTAAAAAGCCGATACACCGCTTTATTTGTGGCCAGCCGAGTTCTCTGTAGTGACTAAGTAAATCTAGGAAAGGTTCAAGCGAGGCCGGGGAGAGAAATTTACTCTCATATTGTTGGAAATTGAATGACTTTTCGGCTTGTTTTCGGTCAGGCATTTTGGTGTCTGATTCCGAATCGCTGAACGCTTCAATTTCGCCAGAATGCGATTTTGATGCCCGCTTCGATTTAACAATGAGGCCAGAATTGCTTTTACAGTACCTTTCTAGGCACCTAAGGTACACATGGATCATCTGTGTTAAAATATCCAGATACCTAAGATGTCTGTAAGCGCATTTCAACCCAAAAATTAGTGGAATTGCCATACTCTACAGTTTGCTTACGCCCAGAACGTAGAACAGCTATCATCAAGTCATGCAACGTCTCCTCATAGAATAATCGGTTAAAGATATTCTCAGCAAGAGATTTTTCGTCGTGATCTTGGGAATGCATCATTTCGGAAACCACAAGCAACTATTTTTATAAACGTTGGGTTAAGTATCATGACATATTTCCTTTGGTGGAATTCCAAACTTACGGCTTGCGTAAAATAATGACAACCGGATTGTACGTAATCCCACGACTAGGGACATAATCTTATAAGCACAGCATGCATGGTGCTGAAATAATGCGGATACAAACGTACCTTTGACTCTAAGCCTTCCCGAATATGTCGGAACAAAATGATGAATGTTTCGGGTTGAAGCAGTGTCGAGAACTCCCTCGATCTCAGCGTTCTTGGGTCTCCTAGCATGGCCCCACCCTGTTTCATACCTCGCCCAAACTCCATCAAAGAACCACCGACAAAAAACAGTTGAGCAATATGAGTATTACCAAGGATTCTTTTAGAATCCCTTTCGATGGCTTTTCTAACATTCTGGAAGAGGGCTTCTTGATAGTCAGCTAAACGAAGTGGGCTTACTAGTCCCTCGTTCTAGGGAAATCACGAACAGCTAAAACCAGATATCAGAATTTGGCCCAGGAACCGGCATAGCTTGCCCCGGGCGGATAGATCAAGATATGCCTGCCCCCCGAACTAAATATCATCGTCAGAAAACAGGTCACTTAGATAGCAGCCTAGGTTTAACATACTATAGTATGCTTTTTGTTCACGTTATGCTGCGGTTTTCGCCATTTTTTTGCGTCGTCCAGCTTCCGTAGCCCCGTGCTTTCAGCTAATAAAGCGCTATGACCGGTAACAACTTTGTTTTGGCCATCCTAGTTCTTCATTAGGAAGTGTAGTTAGGTTCCCTCGAAAAATACAAGCTTACCTCATTTTTGAGCACTACCGTCGTACCAAATCTAGTGTGCCTAGATTGTGCTTTCAATCCCGCCGAGGGCGTTTCGGTTTTCAAGATATGTGCTAATGGATCCAGAGTCTTCATCACCCCAGCATCGGGCGCTGAAGTCACAAACTGTCGCATATCAACCCCAAGAAGTAAGTGGAATAAGATTTCCACGACGATCACATCTTGCTGCTGGAACAGTTCTGGTACACCCGATATTATCGAAAGAAGGAGGTCGAAGATTCCTTGCCCATCGAAAGCTTCAATTGTCGAGCTTTTAGAAATCTCATTCCAGACATTGTCGTTTTCAAGCTCGAGTTCTTCAATCTGTAACAGATTCCTGATTAAGTAAAGGACCAGTCTGATGATTCCCTCGTCCCGAGGAGTTCGCTCTGGCAGAGCCACGGCCATAGGAGGGAGTGCATTGACACAGCAAGCCTTCAATATGCACCCCGATTGGTGCGTCAATATATTTTTCTTGTAGTACGCTTGGGATCGTCGCAAGACTGCTAAATGCCGATGGTGATTAACAGTCATAGAGAGCTCGGTCTTGTTGAGTGGCCAGGTCAGTGGCACAAGAAGTTCGACTGCAACGATTAGATACGACGCACAGCCAAAGCACAGACGCCCGAATCACTTACCGCAAGCAAGACCGATTTTGTTTGGGTGGTTCAGTGTGGAAATGCCCTTGGTCGAGGTGTGGGAAAGTATCTCCATAAGGTCGACGACAAGATTAGCTTCGGAAAGACACCGCGCAACATCGAGCCGATCAAGCTTCTCATCATAGCCTTTCAGCCACCGTTTGATATCACGGAGGCAGCCAAAGACATCGTCGCCAAGAATGTAGGTGTTAGGGTCGTCCGGTGACGGTCCACCAAGCTATAGGTGACATTGTGAGTTCGTCCAGCTTATCGAGGGGTTTAGGTAATCAACTTACAGCTGAAACAAGGCCATAGATGTGACTACGGAGTATCGGATCCACACCATCAGCACTGCTTTTTTGAGAGGGTTGCCCCGTAATATCCATTTTGCTTGATAATCGCAGGCTCTGGGGAAATTGTTTTGCTTGGGTACAAGCCCGACTTATACTGCAACACAAGATATGTTGTTTAGTGAAGGGAGACCCTCCTTTAAATTAGAACACATTGGTCCCAAACCACCACGCTTTAATCCATAGGCTTCCTTAAAAAAAAAAAGGGGGGGGGGGTTCAGTTTTGAAAGTGGATAAGGACGAGTGGAAATCGATATGCGTAACATAATTTGTGAGGCGTAGCTTGTTCACTGAATACAGCCAGTGTTATCAGTCATTATTCTAAAATAAGTAATAGGGTAAAGATGGAGCAGTTTAGAACAGTTTGATATTTTAACAATTTTAAATTGCATAGGTTTATAGAGTTAAAATTTCAAATTCAAACTACTTCAATAAATTTAAAAATAATAATAATAAACTTGTTACACCTGTCCCAGGATCCTTTGGCAAGGTTTCCTAAAATAGCTTAGTACTCTGCTTTGTTTTTTAATTCCATATGTTTAGATTTTTTAAAAAATAGTATAGTATTTGGGGTGAAGATATAAAATTATATGAATAGAAAGTGTAATATCGTAGTTAGTTATAAGATTGAATATTGTTTAAATAAGTTATAAATTAAATTAATAAATTAATTAATAGAATTTTAAAATAAATTAAAAATTATTATTATTTAAAAATTCTTAAATATATAATAAAGTTTATATATAAAATTATAAATATAAAATTTATTATAAATTATAATTTTTAATATAAAGATATATTTAATTGAATTTATAAAATCATTAATGATTATTTTATTTAATATTAAATAATATAACGTATTCCACCTAATTTGCACGCACACCTAATTTTGCCGCAGTTTTCAGAATCAAATACCCCATCAAAAATCATTACTAAACCTTTAACCTCCTTATATCTTTTATACGACAATACCCGATAATACACATTTCAAAACAATATCATTTTATTATATTATAATAACCTCAAATTTTAAAAAATTATAAAAAGATACAATTATAAAAAAAAAAAAAATTTAAATATAAAAAAACTTTATTTAGTACAACAACATTACTTTAAATAAACTTATTTTCCATAACTATAATAACACACTCAACATATTTTATTTTTATTATCTTTATCTTTATTCTTATTTTTATTTTTATTTTCTTTATCTCTTTTATTTTTTTTATTTCTTCTATTTTTATCACTATTATTATTATCATTACCTCTATAATTATAAAATATAATACTAATTATTAAAACTTCTAACACTATAATACAAATTTATAATATATTAACTTCTTATATTATATTAATAAACTAGATTATTATCTCTTAAAATAAGAAAAAAACTTCTTAAATTACATTAATAGGTAATATATTATTAAATTTAATAACAAGATTACCTATAATATAAGACAAAATTAGTACAATATAATTAATAATAATATTAATACTTTAAAGTTTATTAGCAAAAAAAATAAAATTATTTAGAATAATAATAGAAATTTTAGCTTGATTATTTCAAATTATAAAATTATTATTAATCAAATTAAAAAAAGTTTGTTTGATAATTAAATAAATAATATTAAATTTAAAAGGAATTTAAATTTAATTAATAATAAAATAAGCTATATTGTCACGGCCCAGCCATATTGACTAACCCGATTAGGAAATATGTTTTGGCGCAATAAACATGCTTCTTGTTTTTACCTTTCTTTATTTTACAAGAATATTTTTAATTATAATTATTTAGATTCTTCAGATTGAGAATTTATACACCTATTTTCTACTTTATGTACAAATGTATTATGGAATAAACACATTTTTTGTTTTAATTAATAAACAAAAGTATTTAATACTGGTCTATCATGCAATATTCGACGCTAAATCTTTTTTATCGAATATGTCAATTAATTGATTGTCAACAATATCAACAAATCAATTAAATATTTGTTATATATCTAATTACTTATTTATAGGAAATTTTATCATATATTTAAAAACTTTTAAACAATGGTAATTCTCAGTTTATTTTGGAATTTCATCAATTAACTTATTAATTTAATTTATAACTTACTTAAATAGTATTTAATTTCACAATTAATTATTATATTATATTTTCTATTCATACAACTTTATATTTTCATTCTGAATACTATACTACCTTTTAAAAGATTTAAATATATAAAATTAAAAAACACAGCAAAATACTAAGCTATTTTAAAAAACTTTATTAAGAAATCCTAGAACAGGTGTAACACTTTAACCGATCCAACTTTTAAAAAAAAATAATATATATTAGGAAGTTACAATTTATTAAACATAAACACAAGTAATAAAAGTCAAGAAAACTTCTATGATCCTCTTAAAACTTCAGCATAACTTGTAAATTAAAGAGTAATTAAATACATTACAACACAAACTAAATTATTAGTAAGTTAGGTAAGCCCTAATTTTGAACTACAAAGTAGAATTAATATTAGAAAAAATGAAGAATTTATCAAAATTTATAGATTATTAAAATTTTAAAATAAAATTATAATAGTTAAATTAAACATTTAAGTTTAATTTATGAAAAGACCACAAAAAGATATATGCAATAGATATATAAGAAAATTTAATATAGATATTAACAACCTACTAACAATATTAAACATATTTATGAAGCAAATAAACATCAATCCTACTAACAATAAAAAAGGAAACTCTACTAACCCCCAACCAAAAAATTTTCCTTCTTTTAAAATCCTTAAAGAATTACAAATGTAATTAGAATTCTTATAAAAGAAATATAACCAAAACATCGAAAAAGTTATTACTAAAATCTCTATCATAAATTCAAAAGGAGTAAAAATAGAAAAAGAACATAATAAGCTCCAAAAACAATTTAATAATGTAAAACCACCACAAATTAGCAATTTAATTAAGTTCAACAAAACACCTGAAAAACTTGATCACTTTTTTCAGCAACTTAACACCCATTTTTAATTCTAAATTAGATGATTTCTTAATAATAAAACCAAAATTTTCTTCACAAGAATATACCTTAAAGATACTATCCTACAAATTTACATTACTTACTAACAACATTATTTAAAATTTATTAAAAAACAAAAAAAGCATATTATCAAAGTTATAACCAACTACAATACCTTCACCAAATTCCTCAAACAACAATATAAAAAAAACGATAAGATCTCTCGTACACAACAAAGCATCACCTCTCTTAAGCAAACCAACTCCACTTAAAACTATTTTCAAGAATTTAATAAACTTATAGTTCTAACTAAATAAAACAACAGTAATCTTTACTATCAAACAAGAAAAAGACTCAAAACTAAACTCCAACAATATGTCTACATTCAGAAAAAAAAATAAAAAAATAAAAACCTCCCTAATATGACTCGCATAAAAATATAACAACATACTATCGAAATTAACAATATCAATTTCAAAACTCACACTAACTAATCCTCCTATAACAATAAAAAAAAACAATAACAACTCCAACAACTTTAAAAACAAAAAAAATAAAAAGAATAACAACAAATAATAAAAACATAATAAAAATAGAAAAATGCACCCCAATCAGACTTTTAGGCTTACACCTATAAACCTCAACAACACACAACAACAATATCCGCACAACAAACCCAAAAAGAATCCAAAATCCAACACGCCACTATGCTAGAATTATAATAAAACTGGACACTTTAAGAATAATTACCCAGAAAACCAACGAAATACCACATACCAACACAGACAATTTTATAACACTAATCAAAATCCTAAAACTCCAACAAAAAATCAAAAGAAATTTATTAAATTTAAAATAATATTTCAAAAGAAAAATTTTATTAAAGATATTTAATAATAAATCCTTAAAGTTGTTTATAAAAATTTTTCATAAATTTTTATTTTTAATATTTAAATAAATACTTTTAAGTCAATAACCTAAAACAATAACAACAAAAAAATCGTTATTTAACTCTTAAATATTAATTATTTTCTTATTAAAAAATAATATCATTAATTATAATAAAATTTTTTACTAGAAAGATATTTTTGGTATTAATAAAAGTTTAATAGAAAATTTTATTAATACTACTTACAAAATAGGAAATATAAGTATCAATTTATTAAAAATAACCCTAAATTTTGAAACCTAATAGTTTATTTAAAAATTATGTAACAATAACTTTTCATTAAATAATTTTTATTAATTATTAATTTTTCTGAAGTATATGAATAATATTTTATACTACCTCTATTTTTTAACTAAAATAATAATATATATTTTCCTTTATTATTTTTATTAAAAAACTCTTTTTTTTTATTTCAAATAATAAAAAAAGTTTTTTTGTTAGTAGTAATATTTATAACTTTAATTATAATAATAAGACTTATATTTAAATAGATTAAATAATTAAAGAAAATTAAGAATATATTAGATACTTTAATTGCTATATAGGATATAATGGATATAACTATATACAAAAATATAAGTAGATAAACAAAATAAAACTTAGAGAAGCCTTATATCAAACAAACTTCAATTTATTCAAAAAACTTTATATTAACTACTTTAAAATATATTATTTCGTAATTAACATCGAATACTCAATTAAAACTTATAACCCACTTTCTAGCTATTTAATAATAAAAAAATCCAAATTCTGTAAAAAAGTTAAATGTTATTTATATATTAGAAGAATTACCAAATATATTTTGTACAACAATACCTTTTATTTTTGTTTTAAATACTATAGTAACTAATATTACTATATAAAATATATAATTATACTTAATATAATTTTTAAAAATAATTTAAAATAATATATTTATTTTATTTATTTAAAAAAACTATAATTTTAAATCTACATCTAACTCCTGATTTATATAAACAAATATATCCAAAAATTACAATTTAGTTTCTTCAAAGACTTTTTTACTTACAAATAAAATATTAAATTTCCACTCAACGAACACTTTCT